ACTATTCATACCTTTGATTGATAGGCAAGCAGTAGATTATGAATTCTTTGAAGTGACAATGTTTTGACATGTACAAACCTTCCTAATTCATAAATATTCAAATCGTCATAGTTACATTTCCTTTTATGACCAGAGATTCTAGAGTTCTCAAGATTTCTGCTAAGTCTAATAACCATCATATTTGTAATGTGTGTGGGGTTGGTGTAAAAAATGGTAACAAGAGGACTGGGTACCAACTATGTTTCCATTGCAAGAGTACGTACAAAACATTTTCCAATTAGGTAGATTAAATCCTACAGGGAGCTCAAGTTGGAACTATACGTAATCATTTAGTAAACTGGACTGGGAAATCAGAGGTCAGAGGGTTTTTCAATAAAATATATTCCAAAAATTCTTGACACCAAGTAAGTCGTAGGGTCGAAGGGTCGTAGGTCGAAGGGTTTTTAGTACATTCCCTCCCAGAGGGTATACACATTTTTCACCAAGTGGCAGGATATACACATACCCTATCAATTTCCACATACTCAAATTGCCTTATTAAAGAAAACCTACTAAAAGTTTAGTGGTCAATAAATATCAGATCTGTTAATTCCAAAATCAGAAGCGAATTGAATAATATAGATAAGAATGCACAGATAAATTATTGGCCAATGATTCAGGGGTTTCATCAGCAACAGGCAATTTTTACAAGTTGTTTTTAAAAAATTGCATGTTGTTTTCAATATAAAAAAAATCAAATTTTCTCTTAATTTTGAGAGTTTGCAATGGCGTTTTTGCGTATATGATGCTACGCTATTGGCTGCACCGCCTTGTCATTTGCTAGCTTTGCTCCTACTTAACCATATATTTGAGTCTACAGAATAGAAATAAGAGGATGGTTATTCAGTTGACTTTTGAAAAGGGTTAATTTTATTCTGCCTGTCTCAACAAAACAGGAATATCCCAGAATTCATACAGTCATACTTCTCTTATGTAAACTATATCTTTGATTGGCCAAGGGTTCATCTATAATCCTGGGAAATGACCTCTTCTGGACGTAAAGCGTTGGAACATCTGATTTGACCAGTTCCCAGTGTGTCGCCTGTCATTTCTCTGGAATTATGTACACTTTCCTCCAAAAGATTGGAAACAATTGTAGTACAGTAAAACCTGTATATCTGAACACTTGGCTAATCCAAACACCTCCCAATTTGAACATTTTTTGGTCCCGTTTTCAGTACTGTCAACCCCCGAAGATTTTCTCGCGGGACAGATTTTTTAGACCCAGTTCCAAAAATTCGCGGGATTTTGCGGGACATCCACCTAAATTCGCGGGATTTCGCGGGACATTTAAGGGATTTGTGTGATTGCGCTAAAAGGTCAAATTTTGATCAAATTCGCGGGATTTCGCGGGACCATTCGAGGGACAAACACGCTACTTGCGGGACAATTAACAGGGTAACCACCAAAGACTTCAGAGGGGGATAATTTTTCTAGACAAAGGGCCTAAATTCGCGGGATTTTGCGGGACATCCACCTTTTGCGGGATGTCGCAGGACATTCAAGGGATTTTTAATGTAAAAGTACTCTTGAATCAAACTTTCAGATACTGATTTATCAAATATAATGCACTTAACTTAGTAAACGTCAACACAATTCCACACAATACGCATAGAACTATTATAAACTATCAAAAACCACGCTTTAGGTGTGAGTACCGTAATCCGACACGAAATTCAAAAATTCTTGTGAATACTTTGCACTTATGGCGTTCGTGACCAACTATGAAACATTTACCCCCATAGTGTTATATATCAAAATGTACCTATTCGTATAGGGGTTCGATTATTCTACACCAAATTATGGGGAGTCAGGTTTCTTTTCGAGATATCAGTGTCCATTTATTGGAACTCGCGTTTGCTAACATTTGTTCAGTTCTGAGATGAAGGCCATGACACGCGTAGTAAAAAGGCCAACGTTGGAACTAATCGTGACATACATCCCTTTTTCCGTAATTAAAATGAAATTTGCACTCTTCCTCTTTATTTTGATACCAATCGGCATGCTAGAAGCCAACTATGGTGTTATTTGGATCAAAATCATAGTTTTATAAGTGTACTATATGCTCCTTTAAAAGCAGTCTTCGATGATCTGATGCACTGGGAGTTCGGCAGCACTTTTCAAATTAGGTAAACTTGACTCCTCAAAAGTGCAAAAAGCTTAGCTTCTTATATCACAATATAATCACAATTATTTAGCCTCGGGGATTGTTACAATTTTGAAAATTCGCGGAGGTCAAAGCCGTCATTTGCGGGAATTCGCGGGACATTGCGAGACACGCGAATAAGCCAAATTTTGGTCAAATTCGCGGGATAATCCCGCCATTCGCGGGACACTTGACAGCTCTGCGTTTTTCCTCCCATTGACAGGCCTGTCAACTGTCCCGCAATTTGCGTATTTGTCACGCATTTGCTGAAGAATTTGAAGTCACGCCAGTTATTTTTGCGTGACAGAAAATGTCACGCAAATACGCATTTCACCTGGTAATTGTCAAGCAAAAATATTTCTGTAGAAAAATTTCTAAAAAAGATTGTCTGCACAGCAAAAATACGAACGCGGGCAAAAAATGTACGCATTTTGTTAGGACTTTTCACGCGAATTACGTATATGTCACGCATTCCGTTCGAAATTTTTCGTACCTACCCCCCCCCCGTTGAGGGATGTTTGAAACGCGAGTGTACCGAGCGCGAAAAATTTGAGGTGTTCAAAATTTGGCAAGATGTAATAAAATTTAAACCAAGGTGTTCAAAATTTGGATCAAGGTGTTCAGATTTGGACCAAGGTGTCCACATTTTGAGGGGAGGTGTTCAACATTTCCAAGTCACTCATGTTAGGTGTTCCCAAGTTGACAGGCCTGCATTGACTCAAATGTTAAAAAACCTTGAAATATGAACACCTCCCAATTTGAACAGTGAACAGTCATGTTTGAAAAGTTAACCTATCTAATCTGAACATTTTTCATATAATATCACATGTTACATACAAAATTGATCAAATATTTGAAAAAACGTGAATGATCTCACTCATGGTGATGCTTTCTAGGATGAATTAATTCATTTGAATCAGATTTTCATGTCACTCTAATGCCAAAAAGCTATGTAGTCAACAGAACTATAAATATTTATTGAATTTGTTCCTATTTCTTCAAAAATCCGAAATCTTGCAAATGCAAAACCTCAAAATGTGAATACCTCCTAATCCGAACGCTTTTAGCTTGTCCCTCGGATTAGATAGGTTTTACTGTAGGTACAATCCCCTCTAAAAGTTACTGAGACCACTGGCTGGGAATTGGTGTTTGCTTACAGACAGGTGTTCAATAGAGTAGACTTGTGTGTTCATTGGGCACAGATCTTCACTAAAGAGGTGTTCATTATGACAGTTTTACTGTACTGGAATCAATCCTGGGAATTTACTATATACAAAATTGAAATGTGTGTATCATGCCATCCCTGCAAAATAATTGACTCGCCCACTTGGTCTCTTGGCTCCACTTGCAAAATATATATTACCATATTTAAGAAACACATGGCAGCCATCTTGAAAAATGGCGGCTTTTACACACAATTTTACAATTTTTGCTATAACTTGAAAAGTAGTGGAGCGAATTTGTTCATATTTGATATGAGACTAATTATTGGCATGGCACACTGTTAAATGACATTTTGGCCATTTTGAAAATCGGCTATCGAGCAGAACTTCTACTCCCATCTGTAGGGTATATGTGTCTACATGCATAAACTACAAAAAAAGCACTCAGTGAAAAATGTGTATACCCTCTGGGAGCCCCAAAATCAAGAAAATGCATTTTCTTGGTGTTGTATTTTCTAAACTACCGAATTCTAGGGTTAATCCCCCTCTTGTAACAGGAAATGACAAAACAGGAAGTGAAAACCATGTTTGATTTCAAACATTTTTTGAACAAAGATATCAGAGTTCTGTTTTGACCTCTAGTCAGTTTAACTAGTTCCACATACAGGCCTGTCAACTTGGGAACACCTAACATGAGTGACTTACAAATGTGGACTTACAAATGTCCTTCCTTCAAATTGTGGACACCTTGGTTCAAAACTGAACACCTTCGTAAAAATATTGGACAACTCAAATTTTTCCCTTTTAATTACCTATTTATGTTAATAGATTCTTGAGCAGTGCTCAAATCTTTTAAAGGTAATTCCATCCACATGATTGACCTGTTGGAAAATGTTCACATGGACATTGTTGGAAATACCTAGAAAAAACTTGTGCTCTGCTTGAGAATCTGTTAAAGTTAAAAGTCTTGCCAATTTAAAAGCATGCACATGATATTAAATATAAAATACTTCATCATATTCCTTAGATAAATCTTTTAAAAACTACATCACAATTTTTGCTTCAAACACGACAACATACAGCTATAGTGTACACCCATATATTTTGTCACTGTACATTGTCGATGGTTAGGCGTGATCAGTGGATGTGAGTATTCAAAATGTAAAATAAACAAATTTTAGGGATATGTCAGACCCCATCCTCCAATCACAGGGCTTCAAAATCCATAATATCTTCTTTCTTTTTACACCCTGCTATAAACAGTTAGCATATCCCCGATTAAGAACTCGCAATCTGATTGGCTGTCGCAACACTGCGACAGATATCATGTATAAGTCATTGCGCATAATTAGATCACGTGATTCAGTTTAATCGGGCGCTTCCAAATTGGTTATAGCAGGGGGAAGAAGGAGGTACGGATTCTGGATACCTGCTTAGGAGGATGGTCAGACCCAGGCCTGTCAACTGTAATTGTCAAGCAAAAATATTTCTGTAGAAAAATTTCAAACCACCATAGTCTGGAAATGGTGAAAGAAATGGACTACTCATTTATTTATGGTCCAAACTATTGGCCTTTACTCAACTGGCTTCTGTCACATTGGTATCTAGTAAATTGGCCAACATATTTAAAAACGGATCATTATTTATTATAGCATTTGGGGGTCAACAAAAGCATATTTCATTCAGCCAACAAAATAAATTTGAAGCACTCGCTAGTGCCTCAACAGGAAGCTCTGGTGGGACAAATGTCAAGCTCAAGGATCTGAACCCACAAGAAACCGTGTAAGTTTTTATTGGGCTTTTTCTAATAATAATAGATTGTGAATAACTTGAAATATATTGAAATCAAGGCTACACTTTTAGAGTCTTTTTAGATTGTATTCTATATCAGCTTGGGATAGGGGGCATTATAGGGGATACATTACTTTCACTCAATTGGCTTCATAAATTATATTTAAATTACTTCTTATGCTGTATGCTCAGTATACTGTAAATACATTTAATTTGGCTTCTGTTTTAATTTGACGGATTGGCGGATTGAAAATCCGCCAATTTTCAGATCTATTTAGAAAAATCCCTAGAGAATTCGTAATTTGCAATTATTTCACTTGTGTAAGTATTTCTGTTTGGATGTCAGTGCTATACCAAGGCTTACTGAAAGCAGAACACATACATCTGAAATGTTTATTTCCAGATCTATTATAAATCCTGAGCTGAGTCCTGACTCCGCCAAATTAAATACCAGCCAATATTTGAAATTGAGCAAATCCGCCAAATTAAGTAGTGTCAAATTAAGTGTACAGTATTGAAATTTATCATGCATGTGAAGTGATTCAAACAAATTAAACATTTATACTACACTAAAACCTGTATAAGTGGGACGCCACTAAGGAGGTGTTCCATTTATAGAGGTGCTCCACTTTACAAGTAAGTAAGGTATTACTGTACATGCATTTGTATTCTTTAGTGAAGTGCTGTGTAAAGAGATTCAGCTGTGGGAAAAGAGTAAACTTTGGCCATTCTCATGTGTGGCTGTTTCTAAAGAAGCTCAAAATCTTCCAGGTAAATTATTTTTTGCTAGTAAATGGGAATTACCTGGGGAATGATTAACAATAAAATTGATATTGATTCATTATATTGAAATCAAAGCTGAATGTTTATTGATTTAGCAACTTGAAAAACTTCAATCATGTTGGACTGTTTCTGTTGGTTTCTGTTGGATGTTTAATACTAGCTGTAAATGTACCGTAGATTGCTTTAATTTCATGGCCCATTTTAATCTGGCAGCTTTAGTGGATTGATAAAAACTCCCAAATTAAGTCTCTGCCAATTTTTTCAAAAAAGATTCCCTAAGATTTTTGTCCAGTGGCTTTTCCATGTGTCACCTTGCACAATGAAACTTTGGTGAAAATCTGGAAAAAACATGGATAAAATCTCTGTTTGAAACTTTTTCCAAAGATCTCCATAATCCCTGCTGGTTCAGACAAAACAATCTGATACAACGAGAGATAAAATTACGTTATTTATGGCGAGCTGTGAGGTGAGTTATACGATTGATGATGGTCAATCCACCGAATTAAATAGCAGCCAAAATTTCAAAATTTGTCCTATCTGCCAAATGAAAGCAATTTACAGGACTGAATTGTATTTGTTGTAATATTTGGACATCTTAAGAGTTTATTAAAGGAACACTCCCTGAGTCTGATTGTAAAATAGTCCAAGATTTTAAAATGTAATTAACAATGTATGACTTGCACCACCACCCTTCTTTTATGTAAACACAAAAGTAAATTAAAAAATACTCAGCCAGCTAAGTACAGTTAATGAATTTATTAAGTAATACTACTCTTTGAAAATACTTGAGACAAACTTTGTAAACTTAATCAAATTTGATTCTTCCATATCCTAGGACTTTCTTCAATTTTCTTTCTTTTGGAACATTAAGACTAGAGTTTGAATCATAATTTTTATTATATGTCAACATATCATACATTTTTTCCTTTAAAGGTTTTGAAGATATTTCAACAGAGGAGCTGAGACTCGAGGCATACACAGCCAAGGCTAACAACACTCTTCCAGCTTATGTATGTATTAAACAATAAAGCGACATCTATTCCTGGCTATATAATATTTGTCCAATTAGAAATTAAAGTGCACTGTACACATTATTATAAAGTAAATTGCTTGGTATGCTATTGAGACATGAACAGTAGTCTGATATCTGAAATTAAAATGTTTACTTCATTCATCTGTTCATAAACTTTCATTGTTAGCCTCAGTCTAACATTGTTTATATTGTATCCAATACTTTTGCTTCTTTTAGCAACAGAAAGTAGCCCAGTTGACTGCTGAATATAAAGCCAAGAGAGAAGAGCTACAGAGACCCTCATTACAGGTGAAACAAAAGCTGGTAAGTTATTCAGCAAAATGTTCTGTAAAAGTCCTACTCTTGGTCCAAGATACAAAAGTTATCAGGATGTTAATTTTATAGGTAACTGCAAACATTAATGTGCAATGTCCATCATGATAAACTCAAAGTTGGATTATTGAAGTACAAATATCAAGGTTAATATCTATCTTGGGAAATATATAGCATGTTTAAGAATTATTTGTTTTGGGGTTTTGATATTTGGTTACCATCAAATTGAACTATGTTAGAACATCAGGGTCTGTCTTACATCTTCAAACCTTCTGCCTGCATGATCAAAGTTGAATTACAGTCTAGTTGTCATGTTATTTTCTTTTTCTATTGTAGATTGCTGTAATTGAGGATATCAAGAGGTCCGAGCAGAATGTATCTACTGGTAGGATTTTTAGTTCTAAACAATACCAACACGTAGATATATATTCCCATATTCTGACTTTCTTCAATTGTTTTGACTGTGTATAACATGTATAATAGTTATTTATTCATCTATCCATCCCCCAAGAGAAGATTATTGAACTAAGTCCTTGATCCCCATGTTCTGTTTAGAATCCTTATGTACATGTATTATATTTTCAACCATGCTGTTGATTTATTATTACAGGAGGTCTATTTGGTCAAGCCCAATCAAACAACACATTTGGAGCAGCATCTTCACCTTTATTTGGAGGTACCCAAACCACTACAAACAAAGCCTCATTTGGACAGCCATCCAGTGAATTATTTGGACAGTCTAGTACTGCTACAACAGGCACTTCTGGTGGTTTGTTTGGTACATCAGCCACATCAGGGGGGTTGTTTGGACAGCCCTCTACTCAAAATTCAAACACATTTGGACAGACTGGATTTGCAGCCAATGCTGTCCAGCCTGGTACATTTGGGGCCTCTAGTTCAACAGGGGGAGGTTTATTTGGTTCACCCGCTGCAACGACAGCGCAGCAGGCATCTGGTAACACAGGACTCTTTGGAAAGCCCAGCACCGGTTCTACAAGCACTGGTTTATTTGGAAAACCAACCACAACGTCTACAAGCACTGGCTTATTTGGAAAACCTAGCTCAGACACTACTAATGCTGGAGCTGGATTATTTGGGAAACCTGCCACTGGTTCAAGTACTCAATTATTTGGTAAGCCGGGTGCATTTGGTACCCCTAACCCAAGTGCAAGCGGAGTGTTTGGTGGTGGACAAACCACAGCAAGTGTTGCCAGTTCACAAAGTGCTCTGCCCATTACATCCACATCTTCAGTTACTCCTGCTGCTCAAGCCACAACAGCAGTAAATGCAAGTAAAATATACACTCCTATGGATCAGTTGACTAGTGCAGAAAAAGAGCAGTTTGAATCGCAAAAGTTCTCACTGGGAAATATACCAATTAGACCACCCGCTAATGAGTTTTGTGTCTAATTGACATACAATGTAAACTGATAGTAAATAGGCTAAATAAAATGTAAAATGGTGGTGAATGAATTCTCTCTATATTTTAATTGTATTTTATTGCATCTCAGTTAGTAATGGTTAGTCCCAGTTGACCTGCTTATGTCTCATTCCACAGCTTATCTAGAATCGAATTCTCATTTTGGAGAATGTGTTAATTGGATAATTTTTAAAATCGTCAAAATAGAACAGATGCCATTAACCCAATTAACAGTATTTAATGAAATGATGTGCCCCTGAAAAGAACCAGATGTAATTAAATTAAATAAATTGTGATATTACAAGAGGCTAATATAAAGAATCAGCAAAGAGATTTTATACTATGATAATTAATAAAGCTCAAAATGTGCAGGAACATTGTCTTGAATTCTAATATATACAATGGACAATTGTCGGTACAGGAGACTGCCAAGTGAGGATTTGCTCCTGTACCGACAATTGTCGTTACTGGAGACTGCCCAGTGAGGATTTGCTTGGGTACCGACAATTGTCGTCACTCTATCGTCTCCTAGAAGGGCAAGATAGAGGACTGACATTTTCAAAAATAAATACACTTGTTTCACTCTTGTTTGTATCTTTCACTGATAGTGCAGTGGTTAGCGTCCCCGGCTCTTGTAACGACAATTGTCGGTACTCAGCCTTTACGTTTAATAATATCTGCCAATTTATGTAATCAAGGGAAGAGTAGATGGTAAATGTTACATTGTGACATACCGATTGTTGAATATAGTGTTCGTTGTGATTTGCTACACCATGAAGTTCCCGTTTTCTAATGTAGTTTGTGAATTTTGACTTTCCAGAAACAGAAAACTGTTGATCAAATTAGGCGATGACATCCCGTGGTATATATTTTTTTAATTGGTATAAAAGGGGTTCTAATCGTTCATATTTCAATTGTAAATCGGTGCATATTGCTTGCTGAAAAACATGAATATGAGATGAGAATCAGAATGTTATTAAAAGTCAGTTTAATTCTGCAAACTTTATTTATGTTATGGATTCATGTTGCACATTCATCCAATGGCCTGGAAACAACACATAGGGGATTACATTACATCACCCACAATGCATTGCGTACGCTTAAATCATAATATCTCAGTACTTGATCCCTGCTGGTGTACAACCCAAACGCTGCTATATTCACATCGGAGCCTTACACCCCAGTCGCATTTGTCGTACGGAGGGCGTGCGTCGACCGCAGATCAATTAAATCAGTGTATTTCTGCGGCGAGCGTAGAAAACTACGCTCGCCTTGCGGCCTCCGTACGGCGTATCCAGTTTTTTACAGGCCACAGGATCGCCGTAATTATAACTCTGAGTTATAATGTTTGTTCATTTCTGAGGTCCCCGTAAAAAATCAACTGGCTCAACAAGATTGAATCATAATTTGTCAATGTTTCACGATCACTTTTCATTTGATATTACATCCTAGCACTATGAATAACATTTATAAATTGTCCAGATGTAAATAAAATGAAAAAAGTATTATTTATCAACAGAAATTTAAAATTCACCGTGCGGCTGCCGCGGGAAATGTGACTGCAAAAGTATGAGAGCGCAGAAATTCTACGGCGAGCGTAGAAAAGCTACTGGCCGCAGAAATGATAGACCGCACGGCGGCCGTGGGAAATGTGACTGGGGTGTTATAATTTCTACGGTGACCCTGCGCCCTGTAAAAAACTGGATACGCCGTAAGGAGACCGCAAGGCGAGCGTAGTTTTTCTACGCTCGCCGCAGAAATACATTGATTTAATTGATCTGCGGTCGACGCATGCCCTCCGTACGACAAATGTGACTGGGCTGTAAGGCTCCGATGTGAATATAGCAGCGTTTGGGTTGTACACCAGCAGGGATCAAGTACTGAGATATTGGAGAAGTTAAGCTACCGTATAAAATCCAAAACGCAACTTAAACGTATCAATCGCCCCTATACAAATACATGTAGAGTTCACACATAAATAGCCGTTCAGCTCTAGTGTTTGTTAACCCTACTATCACACCAAACTAGTTCTCACTGCGTTCTCGAAAACGGGCTAGAACTGTATACGAACGGACTGGACCTACTAAGAACCGTTTGGGATCTATTTACAAACTTCATCGAACGTACTCGAACGGGTAGGTCCTCTAGAACTTAGACAATGCTCAAAATGTTCTCGTGGTCGTCACGTTCTACAATTAGAACGGGTGACAACGTACTAACGACGAGCTGGACGTACTACGAACGGAACCGTCGTACTTCAATCCTACTAGGGACGTTTTAACAACGAGTTGAACTGTCTGCGGACGTGTTGAGAACGAGGTAGAACTAATTGCAAACGGGTTTAAACTGATTAAGAACGTATTTAACACTGCTTATGAACGAGTTAGCAAAAATATAGCTATCACACCAAACAAGTTGCCACTGCGTTCTTCAAAACTGGTTTTAAACTGTGTGCGAACGGAATGAACGTAGCTGCAACTTTCTAAGGTCTATTTACGAACTTTATGAACGTTCTCAGACGGGAATGTGATTTTAGAATTTTGAATCGATTCAAAATTCGATGACGACCATACCGTTCTGTAATCAGGTCATGTTGACCTACTAGACTAAGGGACGCGTTCTACGACGTAGCACTCCGACGTGGTGCGACCTGAACGAACTGCGAACGAGATGGACGTATTGAAGACTGTTTAAGAACAAAGAAGCTAATTATTTCTGACATATTTCCCGACCACAGCCAGATTGAGCCCGTTTGACGACGTTTTCGTAGGACTGGCAAGAACGGGTAAGAACTAGTTTGGTGTGATAGGGGGGTTAGACTACACCATAACTTGTAATGATTACATAGTATGCCATTGATGAAGTTCAATAGCTGGTTTTCTAATACATATTTTAAACGAGCTCGTTTCGTAAGATTATTGGAGTTAAATCATGCGTAACATACATCATCTTCTTCAGAAAGAATTATACTCTGCATCGAAATCAAAATTGCAAGGATAGTATTCAACAGACATGAGTATAATGATTCCCGTTGATAGCAACGTGAAATTTAAAATCTCCCGTTCTAAATACGCAACTTTGAAGTTGAACGGGTATCTGAAGTAGACTAAAGCGATACAATCCTATGTTGATTCAATGTACTTTGCGTTTACGTAAACGTTTTGAAAAACCGTATTTGCTTAACCTCTCCATTATGATTTAACGTACGCAATGCATTGTGGATGATGTAATCCCCCTATGTGTTGTTTCCAGGCCATTGGATGAATGCGCAACATGAATCTATAACATAAATAAAGTTTGCAGAATTAAACTGACTTATTATAACATTCTGATTCTCATCTCATATTCATGTTTTTCAACAAGCAATATGCACCGATTTACAATTGAAATATGAACGATTAGAACCCCCTTTTATACCAATTAAGAATATATATATCACGGGATGTCATCGCCTAATTTGATCAACAGTTTTCTGTTTCTGGAAAGTCAAAATTCACAATAGAAAACGGGAACTTCACGGAGTAGCAAATCACAACGAACACTATACTGTAGATTGGGTTAATTTGGCGCCCGCTTTAATTTGGCGAATTTGGCGATATTGAAAAATTCGCCAATATAAATCTTCGCCAAAATTTAGAATGAATCCCCGGGAATCATCTAGGGTATTTCGTCCAGTGTATTTAATACTCGGGGAAAACTAGAAAGGAAAAGCGCTGAATAGTAGCAGAATCGATCGAGGGGCAAAATGTAAAGGATGATCTCACAAAATGTACAACCGTGGTGAATATCGCCAGTGCTTATCCGCCAAATTAAATAGCCGCCAATATGCCAAAAATGGCAAAATCGCCAAATTAAGTAGCGCCAAATTAACCCAATCTACAGTATTCAACAATCGGTATGTCACAATGTGACATTTACCATCTACTCTTCCCTTGATTCCCTTGGTCCCCGTAGAAATCAACTGGCTCAACAAGATTGAATCATTATTTGTCAATGTTTCACGATCACTTTTCATTTGATATTACATCCTAGCACTATGAATAACATTTATAAATTGTCCTGATGTAAATAAAATGAAAAAAGTGTTATTTATCAACAGAACTTTAAAATTCACCGTGCGGCTGTCGTGGGAAATGTGACTGCAAAAGTATGTGAGCGCAGAAATTCTACGGCGAGCGTTGAAAAGCTACTGGTCGCAGAAAAAGTCAGGCGTTTTGCCCTTTTGCCCATTGACTAGTATGGCAACGTAAATTAGGACTGTTTTGCCGTTACTAATAAAAGTAACAGCATTTGGGTTATACACAGTGTAATCTAGCATTGGATATGTTTACTTATTTTATTCTGGATTTCTATAGAATTACCATTTCCCTGTTTGAAAAGGCTTATTGAATAAAGTTTAGTTTCAAATTATCCATCCAAATAATAAAACATGAATTTCATCTTTTATGAACACATGCGTAAAGTATGACTGACCAAGGAATTTTTAGAAAATACACAAACATGGATTACATATGATATGAGCAAGAAATATTCTAGAGTCGAAACAGTTTTGATAAAAGTTGCTTGTCAGATCTGATTTGCTCAAGTATTGCTAGTGAGTGTTAATAAAATAAAGCTGTTACACTGCAGGTTAATTTCAGGGTATTAGTTGACATAACAGAAGACGGTAGAGGTTATTACTTACAAACACTGATTTAACAAAGTTAAATTCAGTACTCAGCTGTAGTGTCTCATGGAACAATGGGTAGAGGGAAGGAAAGACACTTTGGATTAATCTCTCTAGCACTTTTTACTAATGTTATATTTATAATTTTTGTAATACATAACACTAGGCGAACACCAAAAATATATTCAACATTTACCATTGCTGGTAACTCGGATACTAAAGGTTTGGCGAAGTTCAACAAATCAACAAATCGTAGGAATATAACAAAAATCGTAATTCTCACATATTGGAGAAGTGGATCAACTTTCGTCTCTGAATTATTTTCGCAGCATCCAGATGTGTTTTACATGTATGAGCCACTGCGTGCTTGTGCCTGCTCAAAACACTGTGATCATCCCAAAGACAATATAATAATACAAAATGCATACATAAAAGACATATTGGATTGTGATTTTGAAAACAATGATTTTCTGTCAATGATCAAAAATCATAAACAGTTCAAATGGAATGTAACTTTTCGTGGTATTGATGACTTTGAAAGTATTCCACACCTTTGTGCCAGTAAAAAGATAGTGGCGATAAAAGTAATCCGTGCAGAGTCATTAGAGCGTGTTGCTGGTGTTCTAGGCAGTGACACTGCGTTGTTCTTCTTGATCAGAGATCCTAGGGGTGTACTAAATTCGAGGAAATATTTTCCGTATACATATATGAATGTGACTGACAAAATTCGAGACATGACCATTTTGTGCGAGAAAGACGTAGCAAATTATGAATTCATACAGCGGCTCACCAGAAAATCAGCATCTCAATTACATAATATGCCATTGATAAAACTGATTCAGTATGAACACATTGCTCATGATCCATTAGGAAATGCAAAGGAGTTGTATGAGTTTATTAATATTCCATTTCATGATGAAGTTGCTGATTGGATAAAGAAAAATACATTGTCAGGACGTGACCCTAGTCCTTTCGGCACTAAACGCAATTCAAAAAAGGTCCCAAACAAATGGAAGGCTGGTTTGACCGAGGAAGAAATACACATGGTTCATAGTATCAAAGATTGTGCCAGAGTTATTGAATTTTTGGGATTATAATTGGCATTACATAGAAATGAAATTTTTTATTTATATTCAATAGCAGACTGCAACTTAAAAAACATTGTATTTCAGATTAATGATTAATATTTTGATGGTGATAATATTGAATTCATGTTCTCCTATATTAACACAACATACAAGATATGTATGAGCCAGGCCACGGGAAAAGGGGTCTAATAAGCCTGCAGATTTTTCAATATTCTGATATTTTGTTTATCTTAAAAAGCACAGAGACCTTTCAAATGAGCCATGCATGTAAAGAAGAAATAGTCGAATTTGAATTAACACCCTTTCTTTTAAACCTTGGACGCATTTTTAGCTCTATGGCACAATTTTTCATTTTTGTGACCGGTTTTCATGTGGCCAGCCTCATATATAAAAACAATGCTAAACATGACGCAATTAACATACTCATTTGTTAAACAGCAATTTTTCAATTGAACAGAAATTATATAAATAAATGTTATGCTCAAAGTGACTCAATCTTTGTCGACATATTTTTAATCTATTAACAAGGGCCGATCCGGAAGTTTTGATAAAGATGCTCTAACACCCCAGTCACATTTCCTACGGCGACCTTGCGGTCTATCAATTTTGCGGCCAGTAACATTTCTACGCTCGCCGTGGAATTTCTGCGCTCTCATACTTTTGCAGTCACATTTCCCACGGCAGCCGCATACTTTTTTCATTTTATTTACATCGGGACAATTTATAAATGTTATTCATAGTGCTAGGATGTAATATCAAATGGAAAGTGATCGTGAAACATTGACAAATAATGATTCAATCTTGTTGAGCCAGTTGATTTCTACGGGGACCTCAGAAATGAACAACTATTATAACTCCGAGTTATAATTTCTACGCCTTCCCTGCGGCCTGTAAAAATCTGCATACGCCGTACGGAGGCCGCAAGGCGAGCGTAGTTTTTCTACGCTCGCCGCAGAAATTCACCGATTTAATTGATCTGCGGTCGACTTGCGGCCGCCGTGCGACAAATGTGACTGGGGTGTAACTTAAAACTTTATCATTCGTTTTCCACAATATTTTCAGAGTAACTGGGTCATTTATTCCCTCATAAGATATAAACAATTTAGATGATGGTAATGAATGTTTCTGAAGTAATGGTTGCTATGGTATCCTCAATAATGCTATAGCGGGACAGGGTAAAATTTGTGGAGTTTAAAAGGATAGGTATCGATATGGTGAACTGAATTCAACAATGTTTTTCTCTTAAACTTAACTGTTTTAGTTAAAAACCTTTTTTTTAGTGCAATTGCTTTTGTTCCTTTTTACCAATTCTTGAGAATGAAATAAAATGTGGGAGCAAAAGTCCAAATATGAGGTTCCGTGTCCTTTTTAGAGGCGAGCTAAGCGACATATGTTTTTATGAACTATACGTGATACTGATCAAGAAAAATGATGTTGGCAATTCTGAATCCGCGACGGCGTTGCTATGGTAACCAAGTAAATATGCCACGCCCACTTTTAGGGGCTCTTTTCAGTGTATGGCACCTACCTCTGTCATTATTGCTCAGATTTAGATGAAATTCACACCAAATGGAAGGTAATGGATAATGCAATCAGGAAATATTAAGTGGGCAATTCTGAATCCGATATGGCGTTGCTATGGTAACAAAGTGAATATCCCATACCCACTTTTAAGGGCTCTTTTCAGTGTTTGGTCCCTATCTTCGTCAATATTGCTCAGATTTAGGTGAAATTTGTACCAAATGAAAGGTAATGGAAAGGGAAATCACACAATTTAAGAAATATGCAAATAAGGTAATTTGCATATTAATTATGACGTCATAACCATTTGTTCTTCTACATTTTATTTTAATCATGATGTATAAATCTGGGAAATTATTGTCTTTTAAATGGTCAGTAATGCTTTTAAGTAAGTAATTAGTTTATTTATTTTCATTGAGCTTATTAGTTTATTTCATTCATACATGTATGGTCATAAAAATTTGAAAGAATGTAATGAATATATCCAATTAAAGTTGTTGCTATGGTAACAGTATGTTGCAAAACTATCTGCTTTAAAAAAATTATTTGGGAAATGTTACACTTTGACCAGTTGACTGACATGTATTCCTTCTAAAATTTGATGGCAGAGGATAACCTAATAACGATAGAAACTTATCTAATTTAAATTGTGTTATATTATGATGTCATAATGGCAATTATTAATCAGGGGCGCAGCCAGCTTTCAATCAGGGGGGGGGGTGTGATCTCGGCATAAGCAACTCAAAAAATGTTTAATGTGTCTTAAACTTACAAAAATTCCTTCAAAATTGAGCTAGAAGCTTCAAGTCAAAAGCATTTTAAATCTCTTCTTCTCTGTAATAGTTCTGTTTTTATTGGTTAATGGGAGGGGGGACTGGGGTGACCCCATCACATCCCCTGGCTATGCCTATGTTAGCTATGGTATTCAGGTGAATATGCCGTCCCAAATTTTTTCTTTTCCAAAGTTTTGATTCTATCAGTTGTCATGATGATAGCTCTGGTGTATATGAAATTTTCATCAAATGGAAACTAAAGAATCAGACAATGCATTGGGAATGTAGATTGACAGACTGGCATACCTGTTATGGTATGACTATACTACACTATCTATACATATATAGACTATACTACTCTACTATCATAGCTGTTATCGTGATTATTTTCTTGAAATAAGGTAAAATTGCTCAAGATGATTCCAAAATTGTACCTTGTCCTTTGACATTCACAATAAAAGTAGGTCAAAGCTGAAAACTATGATTGATTTTCATTCTATTTCTTTACATGTATAAAGTATGATCAATAAATATTATGGGCAATTCTGAATCTGCGATGCTGTTGCTATGGTAACCAAGTAAATATGCCATGCCCATTTTTAGGGGCTCTTTTAAGTGTTTGGCCCCCCTCTCCACCATTATTGCTCAGATTTTGATGAAATTCTGACCAAATTGAAGGTAATAGAAAATGCAATCAGGAATTCCACCCATTGTTGCGGTGCTTCAACTTGTACTTTTGAACATCCGCGCTAAGAGAATATAGTCCGCAACATGTGTTCCAGGCAGGTGCTCAAAATTGTCAACAGACATTTTTATTTTGTTGTAACTTTCTTCTCATATATTTTTCATATATCTCTGGTAAAAAATGGAAAAGTTACATTAAGTTTAAAACAAGTGATTGACTCGGGATGAATTTCGCGTCAAAAATCAGTGGATTGATCACCATAGATTACTACGCGACTTGGCACGAAAGAACAATTGAAATGACGTCGTGGAATTCCCAAGGATGGCGTTGCTATGGTAACAAAGTGAATATGCCCAATCCACTTTTAGGGGCTCTTTTCAATGTTTCGCCCTTATCTTCTTCATTATTGCTCAGATTTAGATGAAATTTGCACCAAATTAAAGGTAATAGATAGAGCAATCATACAGTCAGTAAACTATGCAAATTGATTTGCAAATTGATTATAACGGTCGTCATAACTGTTTGTTCTTGCATATTTTATCTTAATTTTGATATATTAATCTGTGAAATTATTGTCTTTAAAATAGTCAGCAATGCTTTTAACTAGTTAATTAGTTTATTTCTTTTAGTTGAGTTTATAATTTTATTTCATTCAAACTTGTATGGTCATAAAAACTGAATAAATATAAATATGTAATCTCCAGTTTATGCTGTTGCTATGGTTACAGCACATAGCAAAACTATCTGATGTAAAAATAATTCTTTAGGAAATTTTACATTATGACTAGTTGACTGACACATGTATTCTTTTTAAAATATGATGACAGAAAATAATATTATAACTATAGAAAACTATTTAATTTAAATTATGTTATATTATGATGCCATAATGGCAATTATTAATCAGGGGTGCAGCCAGCGTTCAGTCAGGAGAGGGGGGGGGGGGGGTGTTGCGATCGTGGCATAAGCAACCCAAAAATGTTTTTAAGATTTGTTTTGAATTTTACAAAAATTGATGCAACTCCCTTCAAAATTGAGCTAGAAGCTTCAAGTCAAAATGATTTTAAAGCTCTTCTTCTATTTAATGGTTCTATTTTTTTTGTTTATGGGGGCGTACCCATCGCACCCCTGGCAATGCCTATGTTAATCCAATATGATCTTCCTATGGTAACTAGGTGAATATGCCATTTCCACTGTTCAGGGCTTTTCCAAAGTTTTGCTTCTATCTTTGTCATGATTACAGCTTGAGAAATATTCACTAAATTGAAGCTAAAGATTCAGACAATGCATGGATTATGTCGATTGACTGACTGGCATACCCATCGTCGCATTAATAGCTGCTAATGGTTTTGAAATCCGAAAAATATGTTCAATGTCAATTTACATATAAAAAAATCATTTCATGGTATTGGTCAATACTTTAGCCTATTTCATCTTTTTAGGTCATGTAGACACAACTGTATCAATTTTGAACCGAATGGTCGGATGTCGGATTTCAAAACCAAAACATATCTGAAATCAGGGGCTTCCATACTTCATACGAGGGGCATTTGAAAAGTTCCTTTCTTTTTGCTCTAAAAAATACGAGGAATGATCAGAACAAGACAAAACTTCTAGGATGTGTAGTTTGAATATTTATTATTAAGCTGTGAAAATTATAGCGTGCAACATATTATAGCCACAGTTTTACATCCGTTTGAAATATACTTGTCTCGATATCGCGGAGCAGTTTGAATGTGGATACTTTTACGTCACAATCAATGTATCCAACCATAATGTGCAGTCCATGGACTTATCATTGCCACAACATTAAGCCAGTTGGCCTAAGCCAGGGCTCTATATCTCCTTCGAAGTATTCTCCCCCAATAGAATGCACTTTCGAAACCTCCGTACACAATCCATATAGGCATTTTCCTGTTCAATTATTGTCTTCACTAAGCCAATATTTTATTTTAATATTGCTGTCCTTTTTCACCCGCTTCTTGGCCCATCCTCGCTGGTTGAGATGCCTTTCTTGAACTTGTTGAACCAGCTTCTTATCATGGGAAAGGAACAACAGGTGTCTTCATATGTTGCTGTTCATGTTCTTACAGTCTTTTCCTTGTTTTACACAGATTTTAATGCAAGGTCTCTGCTCTTTGATAAGTTCATTCACCATTTCGCTCCACTGTTTGGAAACACCTGCTCCACCCAAATTTTAGTGAATAAAGTGAGTCTGTTTTGACGGAGGATTATGACATCACACTGACAGCACAGTGAATCCATTCAACTGTAGAACACTATTATACCACTAACTTTTTGCTATGACAACACATTTTAAACAAATAACTGTTATTTTCAAAAAACGTATTAAGTTTTTTTCATTGAATGCATTGTTTCATTCATTGAATTTTTAAGGTGCTCCACGTAACCAAGTCTCGCTGTTGCCATGGCAACCAAAAGTTCACTTCCTTATGAGGAATTATATTTATATTGATGTAAACTCAAGATATATGTATATGGCACATATGCTGAAAGTTTCATAAAAGAATTCGAGCAAAAAGAAACGAACTTTTCAAACGCCCCTCGTACTTGTAAAGAAATGGAATCAATTATAGTTTTCAGCTTTGGCCTCATTTTATGGTGAAAGTTAAAGGACAAGGTTCCAATCTGGAACCATTTTGAGCAATTTTACCTTATTTCAAGAAATAATCACAAAAAGCAGCTATGATACCATATCAGGTACTTAGAATGTCAGTCAGCCAATCTACATTATTCATGTATTGTCTGATTCACCTAGCATATTCACCTAATGGTTACCATAGCAACATCATATTGGATTAACAGAGGTAGTGCTTAGGGGGATGGGGGTGCGCTGGGTTCACCCACCCACTAATTAAGAAATATAGACCAAAGAGCAGGGTTTCTAGTTTCGAATAACACCCAGCTGGTCTCGGCACAAACGTTTTCTGTACCCCGAACGACCGAAGGGAGTGAGGGGTTCGAAAGCTTTTGTGCCGAGACCAGCTGGGTGTTATTCGAAACTAGTAACCCTGCTCTGAGGTCTATATTACGATTCGAACACGAAAACTCACAAAATTGTTTCGAATATTCATCATGGTCCGCCATTACTACGACCCACCGTTATGACGTCACACATTACACGTATTAACTGGGTGAGTGTTCTCGAATATAACCCAGCTGAAGCATTGACTTTGTTTACAGTTTATAGAAGGCGTGAATACAGTCATGTTCGAATAACCAATAAAAATAGAACCATTGGATAAAAGAAGACTTTTAAGTTGAAGCTTTTTGCTAAATTTTGAAGGAAGTTGCATCAATTTTTGTAATATTCAAAACCTATCTTATAAATACTTTTGGGTTGCCTCCGCCACGATCGCAGGCCCCTTCTGACTGAAAGCTGGCTGCGCCCCTGATTCAAAATTGCCATTATGACATCATAATATAACACAATCCAAATTTAATTATTATGGTTGTTAGATTATTTTCTGTCACCAAATTTTAAAAAGAATACATGTCAGTCAACTGGTCAAAATGTAACATTTCCTAAAGAATTCTTGTTTATAGCAGATAGTTTTGTTACATGCTGTCACCAAAGCAACAGTGTGAATTGGACACTTTCATTATATTTATTCAATTTTAATGATCATACATGTATAAATGAAATAAACTAATAAACTCAACTAAAAGAAATAAACTAAACTAGATAAAAGCATTATACTGACCATTTTAAAGACAATGATTTCCCAGATTTATACATTATGATTAAAATAAAATATCCAAGAACAAACAGTTATGACGTCATAGTTGAAATGCAAATCACCATATTTGCATGTTTTAAACATTGTTTGATTGCTCTATCTATTACCTTTAATTTGGTGCAAATTTCATCTAAATCTGTGCAATAATGACAAAGTTAGGGGCCAAACACTGAAAATAGCTCCGAAAAGTGGGCGTGGCATATTTACTTTGTTACCATAGCAACGCCATATCGGATTCAGAAATGCCAACTTAATATTTCCTGATTGCATTATCCATTACCTTTCATTTGGTGTGAATCTCATCTACATCTGAGCAATAATGACAGAGATAGGGACCATACACTGAAGAGACCCTAAAAGTGGGCGTGGCATATTTACTTGGTTACCATAGCAACGCCGTCGCAGATTCAGAATTGCCAACATCATTTTTCTTGGTAAGTATCAAGTATAGTTCATGAAAATATATGTCGCTTAGCTCGCCTCTAAAAAGGACACGGAATGACCTTTGCTCCTTGTTGGAACAAAATAGCACAACATTTTCATAGACCTCTCAATATTATAGTTTTACAAAGGAAATTTTGGTTGATTTAATAAAAAGTACGCAAAAACACCCCAAAATGGATAAAAATTAAGATAAACCTTATATTTCATGAAAAAGATACTTTTTTAAATCAACCAAACTTTCCTTTGTACAATTACAATATTGAGAGACCTAAACACGTTGTGTTTATGTCGTTTTGTTCCAATGAGGTTCGGATAGATGTTTCATTTCATTCCGAACATATCGGATACAAATAGCGAAAAAAGTGTCCGATATGTTGTCTAAAACAATATAGAGAAAAATATATACGTATATAATTCATATTATAATGTTACCATCCAAAAGATGACTACGCTATTTTACAAAGCAGTCTGTTTTAATAGTAGCTGCTGTTAATGTCCTCTTCTCATAAGGGTGAAATCGTTATAAATCCTGTTTAATACAGAAAACATGAACGCTTCATGATACATTAGGCAAGACATGAGACAATAAGCTTTCAGTTCATTTACGTAAATCAATTCTTAAAAAGCGACCAATTAAACAGAGTCAAAGATTCAAACATGTTTGACGATGACAACACATCATGTCACAAATCAGTCATGATCTACAATATTATCAGCAACAAGTTAGATATGTAGGTGCTGGCATTCATATCCAGAAATGGCCCTGATTTCTGTTTTTATCAATATGTGTAGAAACTGAACACAGAATATTCAGTTTTTACAGAAAATATGAAATCTGCAACCCTCAGTTTCTGATTTTCATAATCAGCAGATCTGTCAGTTTTTACAGGAAATGTAAATTCTGAAAATCCAAAAATCAGATTTGTCAGATTCAACAGATTCTTAACAAAATGTAAAATATGATTCTTGAATGTGCAAAATTTTCATTTTCTTTAAAATGTAGATCTGAGAATTCTGTTCCTGGAATACTATAGTAATTAGTATTTTCAGATTCTGTTAAAACTGACGAATCTGCATGACAGAATTTTCAGAAAAACTGAAAACAGTGCCGTTTCTGGACAATGTTTGGACTTTGGGCCGGCCCTAAAGAAAGGGATCCAAGCGTCTCATACTAGTATTTTAGAACATTTGTTGAAAGATAGAGCATTTTTATCAGAACTTCTGGATCGGCCTTTGTATATGTTTTTGATGAAAACTAGAAATATCGAAGTCAACACTTCGTCCACCATCTTAAAATCGAAGATGACGGCTGTTACCATCTCTTGATACTGACTAGTATAGGATTGTTTAGAAATTTTTCTTTTTCCAGGAACCCTGTCCATATTATTATTGAAAACAGTGGTTCTTCAAGATGACTTAAGACGTTTTAATGTAAGGTATTAAGATTCTTTTGGTCACTACTAGATTGGAAAGTATCATAAATATCATTTGCTTAAATATCATTTGCTTTTCTATCATTTTACTCAACTACGATTATTCGCGAAAATTGAGTTTTTGAAGACCCTGTATATCACGGCACTAACAATTTCAAAATCAAATTCTTCTCATCTATTCAAAAGAATTTCAAAGTGAGTTTTAAAGGTGACACAGGAGTGAGTCGACATTTAGGTCTGGGGTAGCCGAGTTATCCCAAAAGTGCCAAGTAAGTTGCAAAATAGTATACCAATGAGGGTTAAACATACATACATGTATATGGAGATTTTAAGATGTGTAAAGCATTTGTGAACGTACAGTGCTTACTAATCTTGCATTGGTTATTCAAGCTTATTGAATTCATTCATCTAGATTTGCTACTATAATAGAATTGCCATTTTCCTCTTTGTAAACCGTCCTAGTGGATAAAATTAAGCTGCTAATAATCCATCAAAATAATAATGTGAATTTTGTAAAAGTTACTTGCTACTTTAGATTTGGTCGGGTATTGTTAGTGACTGATAATAATAGTTTTCTACTATACTTTAGTTACAGTTGTGGTGTCTCATAAAACAATGTATGGATGGAAGGAAAGAAAAGGTGGATTAATTTCACTAGCACTTCTTGCTAACGTTATATTTATAATCTATATAATATCTAACGCTTACAGAACCCCTAAAATACATTCAACAATTACCGATGGTGGAAGCTATGATATTAAACGTCTGGCGAATTTACCAAATACAACAAATCATAGGAACATAACAAAAATCGTGATTTTCACACATTGGAGAAGTGGATCAACTTTCGTCTCTGAATTATTTTCGCAGCATCCAGATGTATTTTACATGTTTGAGCCACTGCGTGCTTGGGACTGCTTAAAACACTGCGATCATCCCAAAGACAATACCATAATACAAAATACATATATAAAAGACATATTGAATTGTGATTTTGATAAGAATGACTTCTTGTCAAGGTTGAAAGATCATGAAGAATTCAAATGGGAGGTAACTTTTCGTGGTGTTGATGACTTTGAAAGTATTCCACACCAGTGTGCCAGTAAAAAGATAAAAGCGATAAAAGTAATCCGTGCAGAGTCATTGGAGCGTGTTGCTGGTGTTCTAGGCAGTGACACTGCTTTGTTCTTCTTGATCAGAGATCCTAGGGGTGTTCTAAATTCGAGGAAACATCTTCCTGATACATTTACTAATATGACTAACAAAGTTAGAAAAATTAAAGTTTTATGCGAGAACAATTTAGAAAATTATGAATTTATACAGCGGTTCTCTAGAAAATCAGCATCTCAATTACGTAATATGCCCTTAATAAAACTGATACAGTATGAGCACATTGCTTATGATCCATTAAGCAATGCAAAAAAGTTGTATGAGTTTATCAATATTCCATTTCATGATAGAGTTGCCGATTGGATAATGAAAAATACATTGTCGGGAAGTAAACCTAGACCTTATGGCACTAAACGCAATTCAAAGAAGGTCCCAAACAAATGGCGGACTGGTTTAACCAAGGAAGAAATACATATGGTTCATAGTATCCAAGCTTGTGCCAGGGTCATTGAACTTTTGGGATTATAATTGGCAGTACAAAGAAAAAAAAAATTTGTATCCAGTAACAGACTGCAACTTAGGATACAATTACAGGTCGCGCAAAACAGGGGACAATTGGCGTAACATTATGGCGTCGAAATGCCGGAACAAAACAATGGGCAAAACATGAAATGTTAACATCAAACACGACAGGCGTTACATTTTGTCAAGTTTAGTCAACCTAAAAATAAAATGCTTTATCCTTATTCAATCCTGATACGATTCACAGAGCAACAGGATCTCGAGGTCAATATTTCTAAAATGTCTTTGAATTTTGAAAAAACGGTAAGGAGATTTACTTGAAGCGGTCAAAACTGATATGCAAGGAATTTGACGTGAAAAATGGATGCGTTAAATTTTATCAAGTCTCGTAAATCAGCTCTTATTTTAATATTATTTGTAAAATCTGTGATGCGGTTATTGTTTTGTACATTTCGCAAGGACAACATGAGCAATTAATCTTCTATTCAAATCAGACCTCAATTAGAAGGTCAAATAAAGGTAAACTTCTCGCTCATCCCCTTCGCCTTCAAAACCTTACAATTTTGAAGATTTTAAAAACGTCCACATAGGAAAATTCGAATTGTGATCGTTATGACGTCGTAAAGCAAATGGTGCATTGAACAGAGCAAAATGTGACATTTAGTGGTGTTTTGATCATTATTTCAAAACTTATCCCAATTTAATGCAAGGGTAAATTGTTATGTCTTCCAACGTATTTTGCGATGTCGAGATATATTTAGCCTTAAAAATATGGTAGATCACATCAAATTTGGCTAGGAACATAAAGAATGCTTTAAAGTGATATATGAGTCACGTAATTAGCTTTTTGACAAGGCGGGAACTAACACTTTTAAAATGTGACATTAGCCCGTATTCTCGAATTGTCCCTAGGTCCGCGCACGTCATAATTGCATTTCAGATCAATTAAAATATTTTGATGGTGATAATGTTGAATTCATGTTATATAAACACCACATACTAGATTTAGTATATAAACAATGTTAAACATGACGCAATTAACATGCTCATTTGTTAAACATCTATTTTGCAATTGAACAGAATGCTATTATATGAATAAATTCTCTCCCAAAAGTGACTTAATCTTTGTCGAAAATTGTGCATCTGTATGAAAAGGTCCAAAATACATGAAAAAGATTCTTTTTGTCAGCTAGATTTATGATCTTTGTTCACCATATGTTCCTAATGCACATTCCAAATTGAGGCTGACTAGAATGAGTAATCTGGCCATTAGTTTTAATTGAACATTTGAAATCCTGATATTGACAGTTTGTTAATGTTTAACAACATAAAAGAAAGACATTACGCAAACAGCTATGTCATCATCCCATTGAAGTTCAGGAAAAAATGAAGTAGATCTCCACCCGTCCTTCTGTCTTACAAACCATTTGGAAAAATGATAGAAAATGTGCCGTTGGAATTTAAGTTGTCATTTACACAGGCTGGTATCGAAAGATTTGTCCGCTGTGACGGAGCATGCTATTTTTCATAAAAACACTAAGAATGGATCACGATTTATTTTTTAACTCATATGTTTCGTTATATCAAAGATAATTACTTACTCCATGCAATGGATATATCATTTGCGTGTAACCTTCACTTCTGTTTGAAGTTCAATAACGCTAGGAGTATCAAACTCAAAAATGTACCATTTCTTTTTTAACTTTTTAATGGCATGATATAGTGACACGATGATATTAACATATGTTTTAAGCATAACTCTGAATGTATTAATGAGATATTAATGCATTGGGTCTTTTTAATTTTTTTAATAAAAAATAATATTAATATTTTTTGTCTGCTGTGACGGAGCATTTTCACAGTTCACATTTGCAACTGCTCCGTCACAGCGGACAAAAAAATTAAACATTTTTTTTTATAAAAGAATTAAAAAGACCAAATACATCAACATCTCATTTTACCTTCATAGTTATGCTGAAACCATGTGTAAATATTATCGTGTCACTATATTGTGCCATTAGAAAGTTAAACAAGAAATGGTACATTTTGAAGTATGATACTCCGGCGCCATTTTCAATAGCTTTTCTTCCCAGCGTAATTGGACTTCAAACAGAAGTGAAAGTTACCCGCAAATGATATATCCATTGCATGGAGTAAGTAATTTTGTATGGTATAACGAAACATATGAGTTAAAAAATAAATCGTGAAGTATTCTTAGTGTTTTTATGAAAAATAGCATGCTCCGTCACAGCGGACAAATATTTCGATACCAGCCTGTGTAAATGACAACTTAAACAGTTCATGGCTATGGTGGTTATGTATTTCGGTAATCAATGATGTTTGTATATATTCTTTTCAAAATATATTTGGGGCTCAAATCATTATTGTAAGTTTACAGCAAATCCAGCCTTAGTGGACACCTCTCCCGTGAAAAGGCAAAACCTATAGAATTTAGGCCATGAAATAGCGGTGAAGCTGAGCTTTTTGTACGTACGTCTCTAATGTTAGAGATAAATATGTATGTTTGATTATTTTTGGGTAGTCATGGTCATGATTTGTATTCTGCATGTGTCATGGAGGATTTCCAATTTATCTCTGCTTGAGACATCACTACTGAAAATATAGTATCTTTCATACCATACAATATGTACCCTTCAAATGGTCTCAACACAATTTCCATCAATTAAAACATATGTAATTGTCTTTAGGAGAAGCAAGATATGTCTCCCTTGAATCATTTGGCTTAACTGACCTCAGCTCTTTTTCAAAACTGACACAATATGTCTCAAAACATCATTTAAGCCATGAATGGCTGCCAAATAGAGCTCAGACTGATTGTTCAGGTTGAGGGAGTACAAGTTCAGAAAACTTTTGCGTTGAATAAAAAAAATTGGAACATTTTTCCATTGATTGTAACTTTTTTGTTTATCATGTATTATCTTCAATACTTTAGAAAATTGAAAAACAATTCATCGTCAACAGCTTCTGTAAATATGAACATACAAGCACATTTAATTACTGAACATGTCCTCCACCCACCTGATCAATCAGCATGACCTGTATTATGCTTGGCTTAAATGATAGGTTTGAGACATATTGTGCCAGTTTTGAAAAAAGCTGAGGCCAATTAAGCTATATTATCCTACACTTAGTGTACTAAATGTATAATAACATTAAAAAATGAATAACCGGAGGATATCGTGATGATATACTCCGGGCGGAGGATATCGTGACGATATACTCCGGAAAACCCAATATGCGGAGGATATTGTGACGATATACTCCGCTTGTTGATTTCCCGCCAAATTGACTCTATTTGGCATGAAATTCATTTTGCAATGATATTATACATTTAGTACACTCCTTTTAAGTGTAGGATAATAAGAACATCCTATGATTTTTTTCAGAATATCATTTTAATCTACTCGGTGATATTGATATATGCACTCGTTCGCTTTGCTCTCTCGTGCAGATATCAATATCACCTCGTAGATAAAAATGATATTCCTCAAAATCATAGGATATCCTATAAATATGTGCCCTTCAAATAGTCTCAACACAATTTCCATCAACTAAAACATTATGTAGTTATCTCTAGGAGAAACTAGACATGTCTCCCCTGGATAATAGTACAATAACGTCATTTCAAAGGGCAATATAGTGAATTATTATATCACTATCTAGCTAGCGACATTATGATTGGTCAAAACCGGGTCACATGTCGTGGGATATCTGGCGATATTCAATGGCAATGCTAATCAGATAAGACAACCGTGAGATATCTAGCGATATCCCACACTCCCGGGAATTTTCAAAGAATTTGTTTTCGTTCAGTGTAAATAATTTAGAAAAGTGTAAGTCAAAATGGCAGACGAACCGAGTAGATTCGTAAAAATATCTGAAGACGAAAAGTTGATGTTAGAGTGTACATGCATATACATGATACAATAAAACATATATTTCACTCTATTTTCGGTGAATACCTGTACATCTTTCACAAGGTGATATTCCACTTGCCCTTCGGGCTTCGTGGAATATCACTTGTGAAAGATGTACAGGTATTCACCTCAATAGAGTGAAATATTTGTTCAATATTGGACCAAGGGCCGCTATTTCACTATTTTGTCCGCAGAAATGACGTTATTACTATTATTACCACCGTTATGGCCCAGGGCTGAGATAGCAAATTTGAAATAGAAAATCTTACGCACTGAACGACATCACTTTTCCCGGGAAACATAGCCGGGCGGATAATGTCATTATTGCCCGACTAAAGTCATTAACGCTCGACACAATATTGCTCACGTCAATATAGCAATTTAAATGCCTTCTCAACTAGTACTAAAACCCCTAGAACATGCCCTGCAAGGTGGTAATAATGTATGATATGAGATGCTGTATTTCCAGTAATGATGTTTAAAGCAGAGAAAAATTGGAAAATTCCATGACTTACGCAGTATACAGATCATGACCATGACGAGCCAAAAATAATCATACATACATACTTTTATGATTAACATTTTCACAAATAATTATTATATCATTATCTGAATTTTTGTGGACTGAACTGCAAGTATAAAGAAAATTGAATAAATAGAAAGATGTTCCAAATTTTATTAGCCAACCCTAATTTAGTGCATTGAAAGTTAAGGGGAATGTCTAAAGAAGAATATGATGCAAATATGTGCATGCTGTGAGGCAAATTATAAAATGATAACAAATAATAACGAATCAAATTGTTAACAATCCAGAGGCAAACCAGTGGATTTTTAACAGTAAATGACGGTTAAAACGAACTATTTCTTCTCAACTTTCACTAAATTTCTTTGCATTAATATTAGCATGGGAGTCAGTTTAAAGCCAATAAACATATTCCGAAATTAAAAAAAGCAAAGAGGCAAAACACAGAAAAAGTAAACAACCATCCTTTCTCTCTACAAGCCTTTTGGCCCTGGAAACGATCAAGTAAAGTACATTTATCTGTAATGATTCCATAATCTAGACAAGTATCTCTTAATACGTTTAATTAATGATATTATCATTTAGACGATTTCTTCCACTGTCCTAATCCACTGTGATGATTTGTTGGAAATATATAATGTTTATGGAACTGTTCCACACTTCTAAATGGTTCAACCTCAATGTGTGCTACAAGTCAGAATCGTTCCAATAACAGAATAACAAGTCAACATCATTAAGTGGAATATTTTGGTCACGTCCAAATGGTTCAATCTAAAAAAGATTGTTTCGACAATTGCTACTTATCTAAACTCTTTTAAATCGTGATTTGCGTTCACAATATGGCTACTTTCATTATGGATTGGTGTATTCATTAGATACAAAACAGGCTAGTGATTTTCAGGCAAAATAGGTAAAAACACTGACAGAATCGCTCATTTCCCGAAATAACCAGACTATAGCAAACGGTTCTTACAATTAACGCGTTTGCGGGTGCCTGAAGTTGAAGATAAAGTATGGTAAGTTATTGAAATCCAATATATTTACATAAAGTCAAGTGAAAGCAATGTCATAACCAAAAGTGTGGTATCGATATGGTGAACTTTTTAACACACGTTTCTCTTAAACCAGTCTTCAAAACATTCTGAAAATTTTACACATCGACAATTTAGTGGTCATCTTTTGGATGGTAACATTATCAATATGAATTATATATATACAGGGTGTCCCGAAAGTATGGGGCCCCCCTAGGCAGACATATACCAGTGTTGTCAAAGTATGTGTCATATTTCATTTTAAAGCTTATCCAAAGTTACATTGATTCGCCAAGTATCATGGTTCAACTCTCAAATGTTAAAAAATTACAGGCATTTCAAAATTTAGTGTTTGGTCAAAATTAAGTTCAATTTTACACCAAATCACTAGTCAATGTGTCCTCCCAGGCCATCTTAACAGCAGCAATTCTTTTCGGGTCGGATGGATATTGAGTTGGAAAAAGAGAATGGTGAGGGTAGAAACTCTAAGGAAACTCTTCTAAAGTGCCTTAACAGGTTTTAAGAGGGTTATGAAATTCCACATCCCTTTTTGAAGGGCTTTTAAGGTCATATTTGAAAATAATTGCTGCTGTTAACATAGCCAAGGGGGGTCTCATACACTAGTAGTGTGGTGTAAAATTGAACTTTATTTTGACAAAACACTAACTTTTAAAATGACTGTAACTTTTTCCCATTTGGGAGTTAAACCATAATACTTGGCAAATCAATGTAACTTTGGATAAGCTTTAAAATGATATATGATACATACTATGAGGACACTGGAATATGTCTGCCTAGGGGGGCCCCCATACTTTCGGGACACCCTGTATACAAGGGTCGATCCAGATATTCTGATAAAAATGCTCTCATTTCTTTATTTTTGGAAGTTATTACTTGTAATTTGGACAGACAAAAGATATTTTATTTTGGCAAAAGATATAAAAATAAAACTTTTTCGTTGCCATGGTAACTGCACCTGGGACAATAAAACTAGAATAAAAGTTTAGCTACAAAATCAAGAGTCTCACAGACTGATTAAATCAACTATTATGTCCTTTATGTACGCATGCGCTCAAAATAATGTCCTTGTGCAGCCACACATCGTCTACGTCTATCAACCCAGCGAGTATATACATCATTGCAGTCAGGGAAGTTGGTGTGCAGGGAACGCATAACTGCCTGTTTCATCTCATTAATTGACATCATGAAAACGCCTGCCTTTGAGGTCACTCTTCAGTTTCCCAAAAATCGCAAAATCCAATGGCGCTAAATCAGGGGAATATGGGGATGACCGACAGCTCCATACCCATGCTCTCTCTGATAGCAGTTTGCACACATTCACTTCAATGAGATGGGGCACTATCATGGTGGAGGATGAAGTCAGTAAAATCTCTGTCAGGGCGATGTTTATTCACGGCTTATCTCAGATGGATTCTCAATACCTGCAAACTTGCTCAAGTGATTTGAATTTGGAGCCAGCTTCTATTCGCTCACAATGGACAATTGTCTGTTGTGATGTCACAAAGCACTTAATTGATTGTAGGTGCACCTGCTAAAATGCTAATTGAAGAATATTTGACTCAAAAATGGGTCATAATGGATATAAAAGTATGTAAAGACAAAATATGAAGAGACAGAAAAGCTACTTGTCCCAGGTCCCGTTTCCATGGTTACCAAATTTTTTACCCTAGCAACGCATTAGTGCCCGTATGTTGACTAAACTTACATATTTTATGAGCAATTAAATTATCCTCATTTTGTGCAAGTTTGATGTTATAACTCCCAAAAATAAAAAAATGAGAGCATTTTTATCAGAATATCTGGATCGACCCTTGTATACTTTTCTCTATATTGTTTTGGAAACCACATCAGACACTTCTTTCGTTCTTGTGGTGTCATATGTTCAGAATGAAATGAAACATCTATCCGAACCTCATTGGAACAAAGCGACATAAACACAACGTGTTCAGGCCTCTCAATATTGTAATTGTACAAAGGAAAGTTTGGTCGATTTAAAAAAAGTATCTTGTTAATGAAATAAAATGTTTATCTTAATTTTTATATATTTTGGGGGGTTTTGTTTTAAGTTTTTACATACTTTTCGTTAAATCAACCAAAATTTCCTTTGTATAACTATAATATTGAGAGGTCTAAGAAAATGTATATGCTATTTTGTTCCAACAAGGTTTGGAAAGGCACTTTATTTCATTCTTAGAATTGGTAGAAAGGAACAAAAACAATTGTACTAAAAAACAAAAAACGTTAACAAAAACAGTTATATAAAATATATGTAAATGATTTTTCCATTAAATTGTTGCCAATCAGTCAACATTACATAAAGGACAGTGTTTTTTATAGAATGTTTTCAGTAATTGTTGGATTCAGTTCACCATATCGATACCTCTCCTTTACAAACCTACCACACTTTTCCATAAATCGAGTCCAAATGGTTGTGAAAAAACAAGTCAGGTGTGAAAGAAATTATGTTCCGCCGGGGATTATGGACAATTTATGGTCCCCTTTCTAAACGGCCCTTACTGGCCCTGAGTGTGTGTAAGATAATAAAGGAAAGAGTTGTATTTAGGTCACCATATAAATCAATGGAGAGTAGGACCATAATTTGATAGGACCTCCTACCCTTTTACACCGGAACGATTTTTTGGGCACCGTGCTTCTGTTTCACCCGAAACATCTCAGGGCTGAGAAGATATAAGATGTCATGGTTTATGATGATGGCCGTACAACAATGGGAAATGATGGGGGCTATAGAGTGAAATATTTTCATGGGACATGAAGGGACAAGCTCGGACATTTCCAGGGGACACTCATGAGACAACGTGGACATTTTTGATGTACGGGAGACAACAGCCAGACAGCGGATCAAGTTGGGACAAAACGGACAAAGGGACCAAGTCAGACATGTCCCATTGGTGCACGGCTAGCTTAACACTAACCATCCTGAAAAGGTGAGATGTGTTGATATTTGGAACTTTTGAAATTGGGATTAGATCGTCGTGACAGTCGACATTTTGCTCGTGTATCTTTCATCTCATCCTCAAACTCAGTTCACTGGCCGGTGATCCACTCGATTTTAATTGGCATGGAAGAAAATATACAGACTACATGTTGTAACTGTGTTGGCCCTAAAAGGTCGAATCGAAATATTTACGTTTTTTGACCCCTTGTGATGAAAGACATTTTTCGACCCGAAAGCCTTAAGTTTTTTCAGCAAATGGTATTTTAAAAGAATCAAGACATATGCACCTCCATAAATATTGCTTCAAATGTTGCTGCGCTTGTCGTGTACGGATCCATATTCGGAAGTCATACCATAGACTATATGTTATTTCATTCATTGCGATTTGCAACTATAATAGAATTGCCATTCTTCTTTTGTAAAGGCCTATCGGATAAAATTAAGCTGCTTTTATCCATTTTTGAAAAAGTTGCTTGCTTGATCCGATTTATAAATAATGCTTGTGACTGTTGTGAAATAAAGCTGTTTCATCGCAGGTCGCAATTTCAGGATATCAGTTGACAATTTACACATATACACAGTGGAAGTGCTTCATGAAACAATGCCTGGATGGAAAGCAGGAAAACATGGATTAATTTCACTAGTACTTCTTGCGAACGTTATATTTATAATCTATGTAATATCTAATGCTTACAGAACACCAAACAATTTTTCAACACTTACCAATGATGGTAGCTATAATACTAGGAATATAACAAAAATAGTTATATTTACATATATGAGAAGTGGATCAACTTTCTTTTCTGAATTGTTTTCGCAGCATCCAGATGTGTTTTACATATTTGAGCCACTGCGTATTTGTGGCTGCTTAAAACACGACTTCGATTATCCCAAAGACAAAACAACAATACAAAATGCATACATAAAATACATATTGAATTGTGATTTTGGTAACAATGATTTTCTGTCAAGGGTGAAAAATAATAAAAAATGCAAATGGAAAAGTACCTTTAGGGGTGTTGACGACGTTGAAAGTGTTCCACACCTTTGTGCAAGTAAAAAGATAGTGGCGATAAAAATAATCCGTGCAGAGTCATTAGAGCGTGTTGCTGGTGTTCTAGGCAGTGACACTGCTTTGTTCTTCTTGATCAGAGATCCTAGGGGTGTACTTAATTCGAGGAAACAGCTACCAAGTCAGAATATGTATATGCATATGGCTGACAAACTTAGAGACATGAATGATTTGTGCAAGATGGATTTAGCAAATTATGAATTTCTACAACGGCTCTCCAGAGAATCAGCATCTCAATTACATAAGATGCCCTTGATAAAACTGATACAGTATGAGCACATTGCTTATGATCCATTAAGCATTGCGAAAAAGTTGTACGAGTTTATCAATATTCCATTTCATAATAGAGTTGCTGATTGGATAAATAATAATACATTTTCAGGAAGTGACCAAATACTTCATGGCACTAAACGCAAGTCGAAAGAGATTCCAAACAAATGGCGGACTGGTTTAACTAAGGAAGAAATACATATGGTTCATAGTATTAAAGCTTGTGCCAAGGTCGTTGAATTATTTGGATATAACAATACATAGGAATAAAAAAAAAATGTATTCAGTAGACAGCAGTAGCAGGAGACAGTGAACGTTTTTTGAAAAATACACTTTAGATCAATGATTTGATCATATGCTATGGGCGATAGAAATCATTTTTAAATAAAGATGGCATGATAATCGATCTGTGTTTATCTATGTTTCTCTTAACAGATAATGCTGGATTCTGTTGATGCTGCCATCTTTATATCGGCCCAGAACCTATGGATTTGATTTTATTTATTTCGCAAACTTCTAAAATTGATCAATTCTTAATAAAAAGTAGCATACGTGAATCAACCATTGTAAAAATTGTAAATTATTTTGTTGATGATTTATGACTAGAGCTGGAAAGATCAAAGTCAAAATGTTTACCTAATGTTACTCATGTGTATAGAAACTAAATACTATATAGCTAGATGTATAAATGAGTAATCTGGACATTAAAGTCTATGTCAATGCATGAGGAATGAGCATTTTTGCTATAATTTGCAATAAATTTTTTTATCCACAAAACAGCAAATGTTGCAAATAAAATGCCTCTGTCCCAAATGAATTTGGGATTTAATAATTTTTCTTTATTTGATTTAATTTGTCAAGTTGTGATTTTGAACATAACACAATTAATTTACTATTTGGGAGTTTGTATTTGTAGTAACCACAAAACCTGGCATATTAATTAAATAAATTTAATATCAACATTCTACTTCAACTGTATATTTGATATGAATTACATCATTTGGGATTTTGAAGTTTGAATCACATGAAGACTCCTCTCATACCATCCTCCTAAGCAGGTATCCAGAATCCGTACCTCCTTCTTCCCCCTGCTGAATCACTGATTTAATAATGCACAATGATGTATACATGATTTCTGTCACACTGTTGCGACAGCTAATCAGATTGCGAGTTCTTAATTGGGGAAATGCTAACTGCTTATCGCAGGGGGTAAAAAGAAAGAATATATTCTGGATTTTGAAGCCCTGTGATCAGAGGATGCTCTCATACATACACTGCTCACAAGTGAATTAATATTTTGTGTATTGTATTTCATGTTTGAAAAATATCCATTTTAAATCAGGTAATCCCTTAAATGAACTACTGTAGTATTACATAAACAAATGTGGAAATTAACTATACATGGTCTGATTATAAGTTAATGATATATTTTTGCTACCATTTTGCTCTTATAACTCCTGATAAATAATTATAGTCTGCTAAATGTCTGAAGACAAGTCTGCTGACATTCCAACGTTTTACCCTCCCTCTTGCACGTGATGTGACAGCACACCGATTGGTAAGCATAGTATTGGCGCTCCTCTTTGGAAGATCTTTCATTTCCTTGTCAGCTATTTCCTGAAAAGATCATTCATAACATCAGCCCACATATGAAGGACAATCCATCATTTAACTAGACAACAGCAACGCCAATGCGTAGCAAATCTCATCGAACAGCCATGGCTGGCAATTTTACAAACAAAGTATATAGCAAAAATGGCCACCTTCTAACAAAAGTGTCATTAGACAATGTGCCATGCTTATAGTATCACATACCAAATATGAACAAAATCGTTCAACTACTGTTCGAGTTATAGTAAAATACGTTAAAATGGTGGCCATTTTTCTATATGGTCGCCTTCTACCAAAAGTGTCATTAGACAGTGCGCCATGCTTATAGTATTCACATACCAAATATGAACAAAATCGCTCCACTACTGTTTGAGTAATCATAAAAAACTTTAAAATGGCGGCCATTTTTCAAAATGGCCGCCTTCTACCAAAAGTGTCATTAGACAGTGTGTCATGCTTAAAGTATTCACATACCAAATATGAACAAAATCACCCCACTACTTTTTGAGTTATAGTAAAATACGTTATAAATAGTACCGTGGGTACTGGGCTCACATGGTGTTGCTCAAAAGTGAATGATGGCTCAAATGACAACAAATTAAAAAAACGGATATTATTTATTATTTTTATAGGTGAGCTTTTGAACCAGTAGTCATAGGGGAGTTTTTTTGAATTGATGTTGAACAAAAATAACTTAAAACTGGAATCCTACTGACAGAGGTTTTAAGGCAAATCATCCAAAAGTGGATTTCGAGAGACAGATGGACAAATCAATGTTAACTAAAATGGCTGAAAATAAAAACAGATATAATTTTTTGCCGATTTTTTGTAACAAAATTATTTCATACGACTACTCTTTACAGTGACATGGCTTTTTACAATGCAGGACACCTGAAATTATTTGTAAAGCTAGGAAATGGGCCAAAAGTGCATTTCGGGAGACAAAAATGGCGACTATTTTGAAAATAGGCGAGCTTTTGAACCAGGAGTCATAGGGGAGTTTTTTGTATTGATGTTGAACAAAAATAACTTAAAACAGGAACCCTATTGACAGAGGATTTAAGGCAAATGGTCCAAAAGTGGATTTTGCAAGACAGATTGACAAATCAATGTTAACTAGAATGGCTGAAAATAAAAAAATGGATATAACTTGTTGCTGATGTTTTGTTACAAAATCATTTCATACAACTACTCTTCACACTGCCATGGCTTTTTACAATGCAGGACACCTGAAATTATTTGTAAAGCTAGGAAATGGGACAAAAGTGAATTTCGCGAGACAAAAATGACAGCCATCTTGAAAATAGGCGAGCTTTTGAACCAGGAGTCATAGGAGAGTTTTCTGTATTGATGTTGAACAAAGATTTCTTAAAACAGGAATCCTATCGACGGAGGTCTTAAAACATGCCACTATTGTTTATGGATGGAGGGACGGATGGATGGACAGACAGACAGACAGACTAGTGAGCTCACCATGTGAGCTATAAATGGTGGCCATTTTTCAAAATGGCCACCTTGTACCAAAAGTGTCATTAGACAAAGTGCCATGCTTATAGTATTCACATACCAAATATGAACAAAATTGCTCAACTACTTTTCGAGTTATAGTAAAATATGTTGAAATGGTGGCCATTTTTCAAAATGGCCACCTTCTACCAAAAGTGTCATTAGACAGTGTGCCATCGCTCCACTAATTTTCGAGTTATAGTATAGACAGTGTGCCATGCTTATAGTATTCACATACCAAATATGAATAAAATAGCTCTACTTTTCAAGCTACAGCAAAAATCATAAAATAACGAGTAAAGGCTGTCATTTTTCAAGATGGCTGCCATGTGCTTCTTTAATATCTACATTTCTAGCTTTATTAATGTTCTATATTTTTACATTTTAAACATATTACTATTACAGTTATACATATTGCACCTAACTTACTGTAAAATCGGCACTAAAATGGCCGCCATTTTTCAATGAGCAGCTATTTTGAAAATTTTGAGCAGAACTTCTACCCCCATAGGGTATATGTGTACAAAATATGAACAAAATCGGGCCATGGTATGAGTTATTGCCCAGACAGACGGACGGACGGAGGCGTTCCCTATCGCTCGGAACTTTGTTCGATGGAATAACAATTTGCTGGGGGACAATACATTTTATCACAAAGGAATATTAATTTCAGAAGCCACAGCTGATCCTAAACTTTTTCTGTCATAGTAAGAGTTCAAAATACTGTATGCCCGGTATTATTCGCGTGCGATTTAGTTTCGAGCTTTTTGCGAGGGTGTTAAAATCGCGAAAAATTATCGTCGCGAAATTGCCATTTAAATCACCGGGAATTTGTTTTTACCCGGGGCTCTGATGCATTTCATTTTGTGTTGCTTTATGAGTTTTCTCTACTAGTTTGGATCGAGTTATAGTACTTCAATAGTACTGTGCAACTCCATGACTTTACTATGCGCGGCAATGAAAGAGCACATGCGCACGATTGTTCACGTGATCGTAGTCTGCAATTTGATTGGACATCATATACTGGGGAATCCCCGAATACGATAAAATACAGTATGAAGTACAGTAAAGTTATTATGGGAGCCACGCACTTTTGCTTTAATATTAAAAATGACGATGCAATAGAGGTTGATATGCAGCTTGCCGATGATAAAGATCCCAGTTATTGTAAATCTCATCCAAATATGACATCAGGTAAGTGCAATTACTGTACATCTAACTTAATTTACACACGAGTAGCTCGAGAATTCCTGGAATAGTAATGAATTTCAAACTTGTGAAATTGGCAAAATTTAATAGCCGCGAAATCGTGTTTTCGCAAAATTCGCGAAATTAAATCTTGCGAATAATACCGGGCGTACAGTACTTTTTTTAACCACATTTGTACATTGATACTAAATTTCAATAAATTAAGACTAAAGACAGGGTTTTCCAAATTCTCAAATGGAGGATTTAATATTTTTAGAATTCACATCTGAGTACAGTCAAATTATTTTAATCCTGTGAAACCAAACACTGAATGGTTTGTGGGCTCAGGGATCCATATTCTAGTACAGTAAAACTAGACTGAATGGATTACAATTCAAAAACAACATAAAACTGCCCCCACCCACAAAAATTACCTTTAATTCTGTTGGTAATATGGTATTTTTCCTGATGCAATTTAGACGAACTCTTCTTGGATAGTATTCCACAACAAGTTTTCGTCTTTTATTGTCTCTTATCATCTTCCAATCAGGCCAACGTGTACGTACTTGCTGTTGCTCACAGGATGTTAATTTGTTCAGAACATTTTCCCCAAATGCACTTTTGAACACCTAGATAGAAAGGAAGATACAATATAATATAATACTATATCAAAGTATGCTTGCAGTGGACATCAACATTGCATCAGTCACACAAGGATTTTCCAGATTCACTCATAAATTAATAGTTTTCATATATTGAGCTCTTAAAGGATGTATATTATCAAAGGCTTAGAAAACAATAAAAATGAGTTTTTTGAAGAATATCATCAATTAGATTCATTGTCATCAATTAAATACAATAAATACACTTTTGCTTTCTAATCAAATGTGAAAGTGCTCTAATAACGAAAGTGAAAGTATTTGGCCGTTGTTAGGAATTCGCCAAAACAAATGTCACAATGAATGTCTCAATACCATCCAACATATATTTATGACATATATTTATTTATTTAATATGGAATGAAAGATGAATATCCACTCCAAGTGTGTAATTAAAATCAGTGTTGTACATGTATATTCACAGCAACATGCTGTATTAAAGCTTTGAAAAGGAGTGAAAATCACGTTAATAGTTATAGTCTATAAGAAAGCCAAGAGGGGGTTGTTTTGGAGTATATACAATGTTTTATTGCATAATATGTTTGTTTGAGGTGTTCTGATGAAGATTTGACAAATTTGCGGTAATGTGACCTTGAGCAAGTAAGGATTTTAAGAATCTTGTTTTAAGAACTTTATACTTGCTTTTACGAGGCCCGATCAGAAAGTAGGTAACCAACTGCTCTCATTTTTTCATACTTCATTCAATCACATTGAATTTTTCACAGATGATGTAGAAAATATTAACCTATTAAAGAAGACCAAGGACAATGGGTTAGCGTCAATGCCATTGTTATAGCTGTTGCTATAGTGATGATTGTTTTGGGTAGGCGAGGCACCCTTTTTGTAAGCGGCTTTTGAAGATGGTTTGTTAAGTTTTTTACATGCCATATTCCTCCAAACGACCTTATATTTTTTATGCAAGACTGAATAATTTGTTTTATGTATTATCACAATGGTAAGTTACTACGCTCCATTGCCTCATTTATAAGTCATCGACACAAAGATATCGAGGGTATATCTGTCACAATGATGGTCATGATTCAGTCACAGTTTCAATCCAGTCAAATGTTGTTCAAGGGGGATTTTACTGGCATGATGACAATGGTGCACCTCCATAGAGCCAACATTACCAAAGATACAGTAGATATAGCCTTTTCCATGGCCACACAACTACCCCAGGCTCACTATTCCCCAGACCTGTCTCCACGTGACTATATTCTTTCCAAATGCAAAGATGTTGTTATGGAGAGTCCGTTTGGACAGAAATAAGGCCATCATTAAAGCTTTCAATAGCAGTTTGCAGTCACTGAATGGCGCTATATTGCACTTCTTTAAGGACGGAGTGAAGCATTGCCTCAACTGCATCGACTTTGATGGCAATTCATTTGAAGGACTATGTGTTAAAATGTAGTCTCACATTTGAATTTGATATATTTGGAGGTATTACAACATGTAGAACAACTCTACAAATTATCTCAAACGCCACTTAAAACAGGGTGCCCCACCTACCCAAAACAATTGTCACCATAGAAACAGCAATAACAATGGAATTGACGCTAACCCATTGTCCTTGGTCTTCTTTAATAGGTTAATATTTTCTACATCATCTGTGAAAATTTCAATGTGATTGAATAAAGTATGAAGAAATAAGAGCAGTTGGTTACTTACTTTCTGATCGGGCCTCGTATATGGTTTTATGATTACATGTCACATTTACCTGTTTTTAAAATAACAAAATGACCCTGAAAACTGAATTTTTATTCACTTCCATTTTGTTATTGTCCGTATACCATTAGTCTGGCCATCTAATTATACAGAATATTACCCATGTTCCATTTTGACTGGTAAAAGTATAACAGGTCAGTAATTGATTAGGTTCACTGAATAAACTTTTAATTTATTAACAAATAATGTGCAAATCTGCTTTCTTTTGTTTGTACTACATGTATAGTGTCATGATTAATGATCTCCTTTGTTAATTACCTACAAAGTATACTATTGACATAAATAAAGAACATGTACCTTGGAAAGTATCAATGCTGATCATGTACAATTCTAGTGATAGTTCGCGCAAGTATTTCAATATACAAGAAACATTGATCTGGGGGCCCACTTTAAGGCCTCAAAAAGGCTTTCGGTCATTACTGAGCCTTCCAAGGCCTTATTTTTTAATTCCAGGCCAAATTTTGAAGAAAATGGGCTTCAAAATTTGGATCCACTTTTTGGTTTTAGGGGCCCAAATTTTTTTCCGTGCAAGTTTCTCTGACCTGATATTTGCCCACCTCCCCCCCTCTTTGGTTCCCAGATCCCCCCCCCCCCTGATTCTCATCTTGCCAATCAGTCCAATTACCTATCGATTAATTATCGATTGTTCTATCCAATTACCCCCCCCGATTTTGAACATCAAAATTCACATTTATTGAAAGATTTACAAGAACAGTACATGGTTTGACTTTTAAGTGCTGTTTACTTCATTTAAAACATGTATAAACTGAATTTTAACCCCATGAGCATCGCACAGACACTTTAAGGATGTAATTCTGAAGAATGTGAGGAAAGTGAGAAGAGGATTATGCAATGCTACACCTTTTTTTGACTTTTTATTGAACTCATATCCAACCAGATACATGTAAGCTGCAGTTCGAGCAGCAGCTGGTGGCCATACAAACTACTAAGAATCAGCTGTAAATCTGTAAAATTACTATTTTTTCATGGCCTGAGTTCGTCGCTAACATGCTACATATAAGAGTTAGCTGACGTTTGGGAGTCTGACTTACCTTCTAAAGGTTAGAACCCGAATCTTAATGAAACCATATCACCTTTGTTGCGTCGATGATGATGCATAAACACAGCATTTGATATAAATTAATGTAAATGCTTTTCCGACTTTTCATTTTTCATCAATGTTGACTTCCGGGAAGGCGTTGTAGTTTTCACAAAATAACGCATTGACCCTTGAACTTTACTTTGTTGACGTGTCAACCAAGCATGTCTGGTGTGAAAATTAAAAGAATATTAAGCAATGTTCTACATCCGCCAAGCTAAGTGAAGTAGCCAATATTTAAAATTAGCAATTTCAAGTGAAGTACGCAACGAACGAAACTGCGTGATCTACACTTCCACTATTGGTCTGAACGAAATGCTACGTAGAAATATGAGCCATCTGCTGTATTAGTCGATTAATAGAGTAAGACCTGTTGGTGATGCTTTATAATTTAGACCAAAACATTGGAGAACAAACGAACCTGTAAATCGTGAAAACAACGAACAAATATTCGGTTTTCACATATGTTCGGTAATTTTTCGTATTGAAACTTCCCGAACTTACAAGGAAATCATTCATTTTCACGGTCCATGATTTACCTCTTGGATGTTGTGGCAAATGCTCCATGGTTGACGGAACAAAGGTGATATGGTTTCATTAAAATTCGGGTTCTAACCTTTAGAAGGTAAGTCAGACTCCCAAACATCAGCTAACTCTTGTATTTAGCATGTTAGCGACGAACTCAGGCCATGAAAAAAATAGTACATGATATAAAGCTGAAATTTCTCAGGTAACTCAAGAATTGTCTTTAGAATACATGTAATTAAAGATATGACACATCATGTAACATTAAGTACTTTTTGCTGGGAGGGGGGTGCCATTGTTTTTTGACACCCTGTATATTTGGGGAAGTTTGAACACAATGTAAATTTTTATTGTTGTTTAGACCTAGTGTGCTGGATATAATTATAAAGCTTGTATCGTTCGCAGAAGTGATATGCTCAGGATTAAAGATTCCTAACTAGACAATGGCAACTCCGCGGAGTAGCAAATCCCAACGAACAAAATATCAATTACCGAATTCCAATCAATTATACTCATTACTTTGGTTAAAATTGAAAAATTTAGATTTTAGAATTGCGAATTCCTGCAAAGCAGCCATTTTGAATTTTCTGAGGTTCAAATCTGAAGAATAATACCATAATTGTGATCCACTCCAAAATTCCTTCAATTTGAGTATAATATAGCCATACTTTGAAGGGATCGAAAAATTATTGCGAAATCGTACATTAGACGGCCATTTTGAATTTTACGAGGCTCGAATCAGAAAAAAGATACAATATTTGCAATCTACTCTTAATTGCCTTTCATTTGAGTATAATAAAGCTACACTTCAGAAAGATCTAAAAATTAGCGAAAATTACTGTTTTCCTGACCCCCCATACACGGCCCCTGGGGGTCAGGATGAAAAACACGGAATATATGTGAAATAGATAGATGTTGCGAATATACTTCCAAAATTTCAAACAATAATATGAATTACTTTGGTTTAGAATGAAAAATTTATGGTTTTTCGAAAAAGTCCCATCATTTTTAAAGCGGCGGCCATCTTGAAATTTTTTTTTTTTGCATACAACTTTTCACCAATATACATCTTTCCACTAAATATGAAGAAAATCCGTCAACTCGTATTTGAGTTATCTTCCGGACGGACGGACGGACTGACGGACTGACTGACGGACTGACTGACGGACTGACTGACGGACTGACTGACGGACTGACGGACTGACAGACGGAGGGCTTCACTTTATCCCTACCGAACTTTGTTCGTTGGGATAATTAATGTTAAATGTGACATTATATGTGATGTGTCAAGGATCATGTTACAAAATCAAAATGTAACTCTAGAAAATGGCAGCTCCACGGAGTAGCAAATCCAAACGAACATATATAAATCATCAATCTGTACAGTCACAATATAATATTTACCATATACTCGTTCCTTCAATAAATATTTTAGATCATTGCAGTATAATGTAACCATACATATACAGATTTACATTTTAAACGTACGTCATCTTTGAACCCTATTTCATCATGGGCGATAATATGCGAACTTTAAGAAATTATACGTTTAGACATGGAATGCTCATCATCTTAAGCATCAAACGGGATTTTAGTACATTTCTCGAGCACTCCTAAGTACTTAACTCATATCCGCTTGTATATTTAAAGCACTTACCTGTCTAGATGGATTAAAAAGGAGGTTCGATGCTGAACCACATATTTTTTGGACCAAACTCATGGTTTCTATTTGATGACTGCTTGTTTTGAATCACGAAATTCTCTATGCATATTAATTATGTCAAAGTAAAAACTGCTGATCACCTCGGTCGACTCACTGTAAACGTATTTATTAAAACTATAGTAACCATATTTACTAGATAATTATATACAATACAATATCCCCATGCGATAGGTAATTGGACTGATTGGCAAGATGAGAATCAGGGGGGGGGGGGATCTGGGAACCAAAGAGGGGGGGAGGTGGGCAAATATCAGGTCAGAGAAACTTGCACGGAAAAAAATTTGGGCCCCTAAAACCAAAAAGTGGATCCAAATTTTGAAGCCCATTTTCTTCAAAATTTGGCCTGGAATTAAAAAATAAGGCCTTGGAAGGCTCAGTAATGACCGAAAGCCTTTTTGAGGCCTTAAAGTGGGCCCCCAGATCAATGTTTCTTGTATATTGAAATACTTGCGCGAACTATCACTAGAATTGTACATGATCAGCATTGATACTTTCCAAGGTACATGTTCTTTATTTAAAGTTTCATTTTTTATAAGGAAAATATTATGTCCACAGGTACTGTACCTCAAACATAGTCGTATGGAGGAATTTGTATGTACAAGAAGCTAATTTTGAATCAATATTAATTATTGTATCATTTTGACAGATAACAATAACAAAAATTTGAATTTTTGAATTAACTATATTTATTGCAATGTAGTGATAGTTGTATAAATATTTAACAATAACAATGGACGTGTTCCATCCTTGGTCCAAGGGTATTTCACTTCTTTCCATATGAATGTGAGCATAAATGAAGTCCTTTGAAGAAGGATGGACGTGTTTTCACAATTAAAAACCTCCATCCAATAACATAATACAAGGTATTAGCATGACAAAATGTCACCACCAAGTTGCTCACAATATCATAAGTTCAAATCAGATCTGAACTTCTGATAACTTAGCTAATCTTGGAGAAAAAACTAGTCAATTTGAAGCTAGTTGAAAAATACATTTTTTGACCTTGAGAGAGTCAGATTTGAATTTCTTAGAGTGTGTACTGATTTTGAAAAAATAATTTGTCAATTTGAAGCAAGTTGAATAAGACCTTTTGACCTTTTTTACCTAGAAAAAGGCCATTGGAGGTCATATCTCAAATCTAAAGTCAGATTTGAACTTGTAATTTTAATAAATAACAGCCAGATTGTGTTGGTTCGTATAACAAATGACAGACTTAAAACAAGACAGATACAGTACTGTACACTGTACATGTATATGTAACACATTGTCCATCCTTTAATTCTTCTATGAAACAAATGTCGCACTAAAATCTTTACTTACGAGAACAAGCAACTTGCTACTCAAAATAAGTATTCTCTGGTATCCGGTCATTTCCTATACTGAATACATAGCTATGATTTTATGGTACCTTTCCTACTGTCTTCAACAGAATGATCTAAATTGTCTTTATTTTCATCTAAAGAGTACTCATTGGCTTGTGGGTCACTTTCAAGCTTTGAATGACTAGGTTTTTCACTTTCTGAGGTGACATTCCCATCTTCTGAATCAAAGTCCTCTGTAAGTAAATCTTGCACTTTGAATCTGATATCCAACGGTGGATGAGATTGAGAAGACAACAGATTTATGAGTCCCCATCGTTGGTCTAATTTTTTCAACTTATAGCTGTTTTTTAAGTCCGGCACAGATTTAGCACAGGCTTTTTGAATATGCACTATTTCCTCCATTGAAACATTTTTGCTAACATTCCTATCTGGTTCAAATGGGTTTTCTATGTACATAGGTGACATTGATTCCTTAGTGTAGCTGGTCCCTGTTCTGAGTGACAGTGCTTGACTGCTAAAGTCATATTTAGCATAAAATTCCATAAATTGTATGAGCAGTTCTTCTACTGATGCAACATTCATTGTTTTTAGGTTAAGTTGTTTGTATTTGTGTATGTCTGTGGAAAATGAACGGTCATACCCATCAATGGTCTTTCTCTCTCCCGGACCTGCAAAGAAAAATTGGACAAATCATGGATGATATCGTACATATAGAACATTGTACATTGCTCAAGAGGGGGCATGTGATATAGTCATACCTGCACCTGCCTCACCCTCCTCTGGACCCTATTTTTAAATGGTCATGAACAATCATTTTTGCTTAATACTAACTATCATATATGTTAAAATTAGGTCATTTAATATTAACTCTTTAAATTCATTTCAAGGTCAATGGAAATAAAAAATCTAAATATTTAGTTTGAAACAGGTCTACAATGTATGATATTCAGAAAATCCAATCAAATCAACAGACAAATTGTTCACGTCACTTGATCATCTTATGAACCAACACATACCTGCAAGACTTGCCAGTATTTCAATAGATGGCAGAACTTGCTTAGCTTGCAGAAAATATATTACTAGCATCGTCCATGTAAAATTAGTAGGTTTACGTCCTGGAGCCTGCTTTTGGGTGAGGCACTGTTCCTTGGCCCAGCTGCGTATTGTGAAGACTAAGGGCTGAACTCTGGGGTCGATCTCCCCAAGGAACCACAACAACTCTGACATATACAGCCCAGATCTGAAACATTGTTATCATCAAGTATTTTAAGTTTTTCTCAACTGTATGCAAACTGTAATTTAACCTATTCTGAATCAGAAATGTCAAAAACTGATCAGAACTTCTTTTTCTTATTTCATTTAATTTCAAGTACATGTAGATGCAAATGGATTTACAACCACATGATCGTATGATCCGTAAAATGAAGCCTTCTGATTGGTCAGTTCTTGTGCTGTACCAATCTGTATTGCTACTGAGTCCCAATTCATCATCTCCGTCGCAATACAGAAAACATTGGTATGGAGGGGACTTTCTCAGTAGCAATACAGAGGATCACACGATAAAAACCTTATAGAATGATTTGAAGTGCAATACAGGATATATTCTGCTCTCAATATTCTGTATTGGCACTCGACTTTGTCTTGTACCAATACGGAATTTCTCGAGCAGATGTATCCTGTATTGCACTTCAAATCATTCAATAACTTATAATATCATGTTTTAATTTTATCATTTTTAAGTTATATCTTCATGTTTTATTAAAGTGATAAAAAATATTTATGAAAAATATTTAATAATGAATGCAGCTTTGTAACCTACCTATTTCCCATGGACAGGTCACAGTCAATGTCTAGCGCTCTAGAGTAGAACTTAATAATTGGCACACTGGCATGTGTTATACGAAGAACATTGGCAGAATGAGGCACAAACATTTGGATGATATCAGCCAGAAAGTTTAATATGTGTTGCGTGAATATTCTTTCATTTTCTGGCAGTTTCTTGGTGAGGAAATTCAATGCTTCGCTGGCTGTGACCTCCTGCAAACAATATAATCTAAATAACATACTTTGAGAGAGCATTGCATATTGTTGACTGTGAATATTGGCAAATAATAAAGGAGATGTATATACGAGGCATGTGGAAAATTAATACAGACATGTACATGGAAAAATCATTTTCAGTTAAGTGATAGAAAGGATAGGTGTGTCATGCTTTTGTAAGCATAGTTACCTAGTAATTATAAATACTACATTATTCAAATAAATGAAAAAATAAAATAAAAAAATAAGAAATACCAAATTAATCAAAAATATGATTTAGTAATAAATTGAACAAAATTCTATCATGTTTACCTCAGTATGATATATTTACGGAGTATTACCTCAGGCTGTATATCCATATGCATGTCCAGATCACACAATCTTTGTCCAAATCCATTCACACATGATCCAAATGGATTTATCTTTACATATGGGAAGATGCTAGTGAGGAGATCCTCCAGTATGGTGCAGTGTAGAAAGCGCAGTCGCATTCCTAGTTCTGTGAGCCTCTCTTGTTTGTATAGCATCGACATCTGCTGAGATATCTGCAAATGTATGGGACGTTTTCAATTTACATTAAAGCAAATAAATCTTCTATTGATTTCATTTCACAAAACTGAATTTTAATGAATTCACACCTATGCAAAATACTAAGAATTTCAGAAATCAAAAACCCATTTAAACAAGTTGTTTTACAGGAAATGTACAAATACAGTATCTCATTCCATTAAGGTGAATACTGTGCACCTTTATGAGTGAAACTCAATGATGCTTAGTTGAATATCACCTTGTGAAAGTGCCACAAGTATTCATATTACTGTACTTCAAATATTCGTTGGATATTTCGTGTTTTTGAACTTTCAAGGCTATTTTATTTTGCTCATTTCATTTTTTGAAATTTCGCCAATATGTGACTCTAAAAAAGTGTGCTGCTTCTTTTGTTAATTTTGCAACTATTATATTTCACAAATTAGAACTTTTCAAAGGAGCATGTAAGATATGGCAAGCCATTTTCAAAGTGCTATATCTTTAATTCTAAGAATACTTTAACCACAAAAACAAATGCTTCTGTTAGGTCCATGTCTTGTCTTCAATAAATGACAGTAGGATGATAATCAAGTTGAATGGATTATCTCTTAAGCTGTTCCTAATCCAACCATCTTCACCAATTTTCCCTAATTCGGACGCAATTTTCACCAAAAGTGCAGGCCTTTTTAATAATTTTTAGTGCAAAGTTGTAGTGAACTTTCAGACATGATTTAAACTGTAAAGGGGAAAAGTTAATTATGAACCTACTTTTTGGTATTTTTTTTCATATTTTTTCGTATTTTTTCTGATATTTTAAGGTGCTTCATACTTATGTTATACAATTACAAAATAGAGGGCAGCTAAGTGTCATAAATAATTTGTTTGTTAGACTGTTTCAAACACTCGGATAGTGACTTACTCAGCCTTATGGATTGCCCTAATCCTGTATTTTACCTTGACAATTGTTTGTGTATAAAACAGTTGTGTCATTCACGTAGAGCTATTTATATACTGAATAGTTCTTTGTAATTACATGTGCCTGGTTTTGACTATTCAACCTAGACTCTTTGTTTGGGCAGGCTGAAATGAATAAGTGTGAAAATAAAATGAATTACAGGGTGAGGCAAAAAATGTCATCCAAAGAAATGTTATTATCTCATTCACCCAGTATGAGTTGAAATCATATCTAGTTAATTTTACCATGTAAAATCTTTTTGTATTTAACCATGTTTTATGGGTCCATTCCTCAAGGTCACAATTCTATAGCCATTCTACAAATTTCAGCCTCGTCCCTTCAGGCAGACCTGCACTGGTAGGTTGAGAATGTAAGGTCACCGTCACAGAAATTGTTCTACTTGTTGTAGGGGTTGACATTATCTCAGTAGCCCGTAGTCATGAGATGAGGCTGGCATTTTGGACCATGTTTCGTTTTATAGCCATAAAATCCAAGACTATTTGGGCAGGGTCGATAGTACAATAATGTCATTTCTAAGGGCAATATAGTGAAATATTGGACCAAGGGCCGAAGGCCCAAGGTCCAATATTTCACTATATTGCTCGCATTAGTATTATTACCACCGTTAACGACCAGGGCTGAGATAGCAAGAAAATCTTACGCACTGAACGATATCTAATTTCCCGGGGAAAAATTGCCGGTCCAGAATATATTCTCGACCGGTCCATATGGACCACCACTATGACGTCACACATTTCTCAGGTCGACATAGTAAAATGAACGCCTTCTAAACTAGCACTAAAACCCCTAGAACTGGCCCGGCAAGGTGGTAATAATTAAACTTAGTAAAATGAAAGAACATTAAACAAGGTTTTATTATGCGAAATAACACTTTAACAGATGCGGAATTTGTTTGGGCTACATTTTTGGCTCACTCGGTATTAGACTGCACTTTGATAGTATTCATGACATGCATGATGTCATATGTTGGGTAAAAGGCGATGATTTAACCTACTGTTGATGCAAATTCATTTAAATACAAATGAAAAGTGACAGGTGCTATTTATATCTAATGAGCCATAATATAGTAGGTTGATCTGGCAGCTGTAAGTTGAATTCACGAATACTACTTGTAATGGGGTTTCAAAGCCCGTGGTCACCTATGTACTAGTTTCTTCATCCTAGGTCAAATCCACTCAAGAATTGCCTTAATTACAATGGTGTTATATAAGATGCAGCATTTATTAATTTCTTGAATCACAGCACCCCTAAGCTTAATCATAATTTCGTTGATTGACCTACAGCATAGGCCTAGAGAAAAGCAGTAGGAAGGCAGCTTATGAGTGCTCTCGATGTTCATAAGCTTACTACTACTTTTACATAGGCCTATGGCCTACAGATAAGTTTGGGATCCCTTACTAAAACCAAAACCTCTAATTCTAATTACAGCCCCTAAAAGCAACAACCCCGAACCAAGTGCATGTGGCAGTCATTGAACCCAAAAGCATTTTTATATGCTAACCTATAATGAGACCCCCTTTAGTGAATAACAACCAGGTAGTCGTCTAAGGTATAGCAACATGTTCAGTTTGTAATTTTATAGAAGGTCACTGAATCCTCTAATCGTTCATTCAGTTATGGATAAACTATGAGTACTGGGTTTTATGAGAAATAATAGCAGAGGGGCTTGGCCTGAGGATATTAGTTCTCATAAAACCCATTTCGAATAATTTATCTAACTTAAAACCCACACCGACTCTTAGGAAGGGTAAATGACCCATGATCCAAGTTTAGAAAAATTCTTTTGTATTAACTGTGAGGTAAATGTGTAGAGGGGTGGGTTGGTTTAATTGGTTCAGCTTCAATGCACCGCATGTATCAGGCAAGGTACAGTTAAAAAGTGTATTTATTTTGTGTTTACAATTTAACTATTGAGTGATTGAAAATGGTTTAATAAGTACAGCTTCAATGCACTGCATGTGACAGTCAAGGTGTAATATTGAGCCAAACACTGTCAATCATATTTCGTGACACACTGGTTTTAGATAGCTTACAGTGTCCATTCTTCAAAAACAATACAACAAGAATGCACTCCTCTTTCTTACTACTGTACATTCTTGAAGGTGAAAAAGGTCTTCAAATCGATCATTTTTTCAAAATGATCTTCAGGGTCTCAAAAATTCAAATCTGACTTTAAATTTTACAATTATTGACCGTCAATGACCTCAAAGTAAAGATTGTCTAAAAGGTATTTTTCAACTTGCTTCGAACTTGACCGAATTTTCAAAATCACCTACAAGTTCTCAGAGGTCAAATCTGACTTTTGATTTGACATTTGACCTCTCAAGTTCAAAAAGTTCAGAAAGGCATTTTTCAACTTGCTTCAAATAACCTTTTTCTTTTCAAGATTTGACTTTAACTAGAAGGTGGTGACATTCGTATCTCATACCCATGTACATGGGTGGTGATACAGTTTTTGAAGGGTTCAATTATTAAAGTTCTAAAAGATTATTCAATCTGATGCTATCTGAGGTATAAATACATTCATAGTATCCATAGATGTGAAATTCGTCTTGTCAAAGATAGATAGATATAGAGTCATAAATTAAAGCCAGAATTGTTAATTTTAGTTTTTCATTGATTGTCAAAATAGCGCCATTCAAAGGACTTTTCAATAGAGAAAAATCCATTATAAATAAGTTTTAAATATGTCAGGGTATCATTTTATTTAATCACAGCATGATTTAAGATTATTGTAGTCTCAGGAATCGTAAATTCACCCCAACACACGACAGTGTAATTTGTGCAGTTGTGTTTAACAGTGGATGATGATTCCATATTAAATGGGGGAGCAATCTAAATGTTGCAATATAGGTGACACCTTTTAGATGACTTCCTGAAAGGAGGAGGGAAATTAGCGCAACAGATTTTGGACAGTCATATGTTGGATTTTGGCCATTTTCTGAGGATTTAAACAATTGCATATGTTAGGCCAATGCATTACCTCCAGGAAAATCACTTCTAGAGATGATAAAATAATTTCGACTTTGAGACAGGGTAGATGCAAACAACCCACCCACATGATTTTTCTGAAATGTTTTCCTAATTTTAGACCCCTTCCATCCCTGCTTTTTTAATTTTTCTTGCATCAATATGTTGCATTTTGACACATAGTTAACCACTTTAAAGGAATAAGTGATTCCTTCAGGGGTTTTAAAGATACCCATTATGGGTGACCAAACTTAGCTGAAAGCAATGATTTTTCCTATGGGAAAATAACATGGGAAATATTGTTTTCCACTTTATCTAAATGGAATTATTTATTCCTTTTAAGGGATTAACTGTGTGTCAAAACGCAACATATTGATGCAAGAAAAATTAAAAAAGCAAGGATGGAAGGGGTTGAAAATCAGGAAAACATTTCAGAAAAAACATGTGGGTGGGTTGTTTGCATCTACCCTGTCTCAGAGTCCAAATTATTTTATCATATTTAGAAGTGATTTTCCTGGAGGTAAAACATTCGCCTGTCATATGCACCTGTTTAAATCCCCAAGAAATGGCCAAATTCAAACATATGACTGTCCAAAATCTGTTGCACTAACTTCCCTCCTCCTTTCCCAGCAAATAAAAAACGTTTTAGTGTAGATTGGCTCTATAGTGAATGAGCATTTCAATTAGGCATTTTTTATCGAGGATAAAATAGCAAAGGTAAACAATTTTGCAATTCTGGCCTTATTTATGACTAGAAAAATGTTAGATCTATAAGACATACACGTAGGTCTACAAGTGCATTAATGCACCTACAATTCATATAATCTGAATAATCTGAAACGTTAGAATTGAACTCTTCAAAGAATGTATCATGCCCCAAGTACGCGGTACGTGGGTACAAGGTATGAGGTTTTTCATACAAAGTCCGAAGTATTGACTGAGAATATACAGTGATCAAGTGACAATATCATAATTACACAAGGCCATATACCTATTGTCTAAACGCATTAAACTGTTTATTCCATAAAAATCCCAATCAGCAAAAACAATCCAATAAAATTTGAAATGAACAAAAAATGCAACAAATGTTTGGCCAAACCATTGGAGAAAATTATTATTTGCATGTACTCTGTATACAGTGGTACCTGTATCAATACCTACTACATATAACACTATTCGAAAGATCATTTACAGCAAACTCCTTTACATAAGGCACTTTCGAAACACCCAATATGGTTGATGATAAAGAAAGATACACATGGGAAGAGTTAATTCAAATAAGATGGTATTGAATCATGTTTGTTGAAACATCGCAAATGTGTAATATTTCAAATATTCATTTACACTATACAATTCAAATATATTATCAAGTATTTCCTCTTATGTGTTTTGCTAGGTGTTAAACACATTTATGTTTTACTGTACATACTTTACACGACCCAGTCATGTTGACATATCCATGCTCATTTCTATAATACGCAATTATGCAACAATGAATACACAGAGTATTTAGCACTCACCCATGTAGAATATATCATGCCATCTATGGAACATATATAACTCTATCTATAAACATCATTGCATAAAATAGGGTACATCTAAATGTAGCTCTAAGTGACATCTTTTCATACACTTCACACTAAGGTCATGGCCTATGAGGTAAAAATGACAAATGGATTATCAGATAATGCTTATCTCATTTAGATCATTTTTTTCTTTTTGGAAATCAATCATGTGACATAGCTCAATGTTTTCGTGCATTAATCTCATTAAAAAATTGCTACTTTTAGGTCAAAACTTCGGCCTAAAAAAGTTATTGTTTTTGGATTATCCTAATCCCAAACTAATCACGTTTTCCTTTTTAGAGGTAGATCATTCCTTACAATAAATTGTAATTTTGCCATAAAAGCTGATATAAAATGCTGCATTTTTGGTGAAAATTGCGTCCGAATTAGGAAAAATTGGTGAAGATGGTTGGATTAGGAACAGCTTAAGAGATAATCCATTCAACTTGATTATCACCCTACTGTCATTTATTGAAGACAAGACATGGATCTAACAGAAGCATTTGTTTTTGTGGTTAAAGTATTCTTAGAATTAAAGATATAGCACTTTGAAAATGGCTTGCCATATCTTACATGCTCCTTTTGTGGCTATAATACTTCGCGAATTTTCCAAAACTCTTGAAAAGCGCGAAAATTACAGTACGAGGGGTGATCAATAAGTAATGGACGCTTTTTTACACAGATACTTTCTATAGACCAATCCCTTTGATTTTCCTACAAGTGATTCATCATTCAATTATCTATCAATTCTGAAGATTTGAAGACAAAATATATAATACATATTGATATATCCTTATTTCCTTGAAGGAGGTACAGGTACCCCGGGACCTACATTTACGTCACATATTCAGTTTTTAGCCAGTTTGGTAAATTTCAGTAAGATTTGAACGTTTTATATGCAACAAGTGTTGTGTTGTTTAAAATTTTTTGCTGACTGGTAACACATGAACAGAAAGTATTGTAATGTCAGAGTGTTGTATGGAAGGGGTTTGCAGGTCAATTTGAGAGAGCATTGTGGAATAAGGGGTGGGGAGAGAAGGGAACACCCTACTCCATATGGACAATGCACCTGCCCACAGATCTCAAAAAGTTCAGAAAACAATATCCCTGGACCTCAAAATTGAGCCCTTGGCCAATGCACCATATTGTCCAGATCTGCTCACATGTGACTTGTTTATTTCTATACTACTGTAGATTGGGTTAATTTGGCGCCCGCTTTAATTTGGCGAATTTGGCGAAATTGAAAAATTCGCCAATATAAATCTTCGCCAAAACTTAAAATGAATCCCCGGGAATTATCTAGGGTATTTCGTCCAGTGTATTTATGTCACTTCCGGTTAAGTTTTTTCAAAAATTATGAAAATGTCTCTCATAAATTGGCTCAGAACTGGTCAGTCACTCATTAATACTCGGGGAAAAACTAGAAAGGAAAAGCATGGTATAGTAGCAGCATCGATCGAGGTGCAAAATGTAAAGGATGATCTCACAAAAATGTACAAACGTGGTGAGTATCGCCAGTGGTCCTCAAAAGAAAAAATGAACATAGCTAAACATGGTAATTCGCAAACAGCGCATAAGTTAATTCTATTTTTTGCATATCCGCCAAATTAAATAGCCGCCAATATGCCAAAAATGGCAAAATCGCCAAATTAAGTAGCGCCAAATTAACCCAATCTACAGTACTTATTTCTACAGAAAAAGGACGCAGGTTTATTGACATTGATGAAATAAAACAACCGTGCAACTGCATCTTGCTACCATGTCAGAGAATGGATTCAGCCTTGTCTCACAATCTTGAGTTAAGAGGATAGGGAATTGTGTACATGTAGCACTTGATGGAACCTATTTAGAGGGCCCTGTGGAATGAATGTGACATGAATACCACATAGTGATGATAAAATATTCAAGATCAACTATTAGGCATAACAAAATGGGGTAATTCATGACCATAATGGTTTGTTTTGTTCAGCCTGCATTCAACTGCATTGCATGTTAAACAATCTAAAATAGCTTCAGAATATGTGACGTAAATGTCGGTCCCGGGGTACCTGTACCTCCTTCACGGAAATAAGGATATATCAATATGTAATTTATATATTGTCTTCAAATCTTCAGAGTTGATAGATAATTGAATGATGTATCACTGGTAAGAAAATGGAAGGGATTGGTCGATAAAAGGCATCTGTGTAAAAAAGTGTCCATTACTTATTGATCACCCCTCGTATATCAAATGAAAAATTTATTCGTTTGATGAGATAATTACAAGTTCAGACAGAGTTATATTGATAACTGACTACAAATAAGAATAAGACAGTAAAAATCTCTGTGACAATCAATGGCCCAAAAGGTAGCCATACAGTAAACAAAATATGAGAATGACATCTTTTATTCCAGTTAGCTATAAAACCACCAATCTAAACTATAAGATGTTTAAAAACAAACTTTCATTTAAATCTTACATTTTTTGCTCCTTGCAATGTTTGAATGAGATTGTGTGGAGGTGTTTCTGACTCAAATGGCACTGAATATTTTGAAGTCGTCCATCCTGCTACTGATTTTTCTAGCTCCACTCCACTGTAGAACATCAATCGAGTCTGAACTGGTATACTTCCATATTGGGTCCCGTAGTATTGGTTTCCTCTTTTATTTGGCATGAAGAATCTAGCATGTTTAGTAATGTTTTTAACTGAAGATTCATCAGCAAACTCGATCAAAGTGTAATCCTACAGGAAATAAATTAAGCATGTAAAATTGTGAAAATCCAAATTAATTAAAATTAAAAAAGGGATTTTTCAAAATATTTGCTGAAGAACCTTGTCAATCAAAGCATTATAAATAATGTCAGCTCTGATGAACTTTTTAGAAAATTGGCATCACAACAAGGAAACTGAAACTTCTCTTTACATGCAACATAATACTATCTTACTGTTTGATTAATGTTGTGAGCCTAGATTCTCCTGGAAAAACTGGTAGGCAATATAATAAATGAGCATCACAAATTAAACCATCCAATAAAATATGAAAATTATTTTTTATGAAAAAAGTAATGACTGTATGACCCTGTGAGCAAAAGATATTGTAATGTAAAACAATGATGTAATTTTTCTTAAATCACATTTAACTCATCTCTGTAATATCAGAGGTTCAGAGACATATAATGTTTTATGTCTCGGGTAACATGTTGCCTGTAACTGAATTAAGACCGACAGTTCATACCCTACCTTAGAATTACTGAAATGGTAAGCCTTGACAATTTTTCCGGCACGCTTTTCACAGTACTGCAAGATTGAACTGCACTTTGTTTTGCTGGGAACTTGAACCAGAATGCTACATCTTGCCTGTCTCCTAAGGTGATCTTGACGAGCTTGAAAGCCTGAAAGCCTACCTGTAAAATAATCGAGACAAAGGATGAACAATATTGATTCGCACATTCAAATAGAATATCAAGAAGGATTGATATACCAACATTTAGCACTATTATGATGATTGGATAGTGTGTTATTATTAAAAGTCACTATACATGCAAGAGTACATGTCCCTAAAAATTTCAGATCAACCAAGAGGATTCCTCATTCTACATTTGGTGTAACATCATGGCGAATTCGAAGCAAATGCATGACAAATACGCAATTTGTGTGAAAATTCCGAACAAACTGCATTCTTTTTTTTGTATATGTTTTTTGATGTTTTTTTAAAATACTTTTGCTTGACAATAATCAGAAAAATGTGTACTTGAGTGACATATTCTGTCACGCAAAAAAAACTGACGTGACTTCAAATCCTTCTGCAAATGGGTGACAAATACGCAAACTCCGGCACAGTTGACAAGCTAGTTTAAGGTACAGCTGGAAAGTAACATTTTGGTAAAAAATTGCTATACCTGCACATGTTATTTTCTGGTACAAAATAAAGTATGAAGGCATGTGTCAATTTCCTTGCTTTTTTCAGGAAAGTATCATTGCATCGTCTTCTTTTAGAATATCTGGTAGGCGTTCAATGGGAACTCCAGGAAATTCTGATATTTCACATTTTCTATTTTTTCAAATTTTCTTTCAAAGTTTCCAGACAACACAGGAGCTACCAGTAACAGAAAATAACATATGCAGGTATAGCAATTTTTTACCAAAATGCTACTTTCCAGCTGAACCTTAACAAACTAGTTAAACCTTATCAGGCTTATTCATTAATCTGATCTTACTTGGGGCCGGATGAAGTTTAACATCCGTGATATGTTTTCAAAGGTCGCAAATCTTGGAACGATTCAAATCAATTTTCCTCCATTATATGTGTAAAATGAACAATCTGACGTCCCCGCTAAAGTCAAACAAAACAAAATTGTTGTCAAATAAATTGATAATTACTATCGCGATTAAACTTGGGACAATTAAAAGATCAATTTGGAAGATAACACGCATCTTTGATTGATTTATATTGATGTATACACGCAAAGTAGTTATTTATTGTAAACCTACTGTTTGTTAGTTCGTTGTTGTTTTCTGATACGATTTGCAATTTTGATGTTGACAGAAACTGACAGGCATTTTCTGTTGGTTCCAAAGCAGTCTCCAATATGTAATTATACATAAATATGGTCACATGAGGATATGGGATGGTGTGTATTGATTCATGAGATATGTATGCTGGTTTGGATCACATTATTTATAAGCTACATGATCATGTATTTACATGAAATCAGGGTTAATTAGTTCCGCATGTCGAAACCTGCGGAACTATTAAAACAAATTGTCAAAATCAAAATGATTATGGAGGTTAGACCACAGGTGCTCACTGGGTAATAAGAGTGTCAGGCTTCCCTGTAAGTAAGTAAATCATTACCATGGGAGCACCTGTAGACCATGAGCTTTCATCTTTCAACTCTAATTGAAAGCCCATGGTTAGACCTAGTCATGGGGATAAGAAACGAGGCCCCTGACAAGCCTGCAAAAATCCTCAAAAGTCAAAGAAAAACTAAATTGATTTATTCACCTTTTGTTATATTAGAAGACTTGTGGCCAGATTTCCTAAGGGATGAGCTCGCATGAAGCAACCTGCCACTGTTTGATAATTCTGCAACCATTCCATGTGAGACGCAACGCTGCACTCTCCAACATTGTCTAAATAAACGTAAAAAATCTAAATTTGCATGCCAGACCCAGGGCGCTGCCATTTTGTTTCCAGGTGAATTTTGATTGGTCATATTTCGAACCGCCCAAAATTTTCGAAGTTTGTTCATCGTTCATGTGGAAATCTTTGTATACCGATTAATCTATTTGTGGTTTGTCACGAAACGTACCTGTTTCCGGTTCAAAATGAAATTTTGAAATTAAAATGTATATGCAGATATTTTGAATATTTCGGGGCATTTCTTCAGCCATGGCATTGAAATGTGACGTCTGCAATGTCCCGATCCCATCAGGTACATACATTTTGTCGACTTTTGTTCAAATAATTTGCAATGCTATCAGAGCTGTCAAGTGTCCCGCAAATGGCGGGATTATCCCGCGAATTTGATCAAAATTAGGCTAATTCGCGTGTCCCGCAATGTCCCGCGAAGTCCCGCAAATGTGGTTTTTGACCTCCGCGAATTTCCGAAATTGTTGCAATCCCCTATATTGTGATTATCTTATCTTATAAAAGAAGCTAAGTTTTTGCACTTTTGAGGAGTAAAATTTACCTAATTTTAAGTACCTAGCATGCTGTTGTTTGGTATCAAAATAAAGAGGAAGGGTTCAACTTTCATTTTAATTACGAAAATAGGGATGTAGGTCAAAAATAGTTCTAACATTGGGCTTTTTACTATCCGTGTGGCCTTCATCTCAGAACTGAGCAAATGTTAGCAAACGCGAGTTACAATAAATGGACGCTGATATCTAGAAAGGGTGCATTGTAGAAATACCGGGTAGTAAATCCTCCATGCTGGGTTCAAACTTGGTACCCGGAACCCGGTCAAAAAACGGGTACCCATAAAACGAAAAATACGAATATATAACATAATTAGATTATGAGAAAACGTGTAAGATTTGTTTTGAATTCACAAAAATGTATGTAACATCCTTCAAAATTGAGCTAGAAGCTTCAAATAAAAAGTATATTTAAGGCTCTTTTCTTCCTCTATCGTCATGGCCATATTTTCATCGGTTATGGGGGGGGGTGCGATCGCACCATCGCACCATCTCCTGGCTACGCCTATGACATTGTAAGACATAACAATTTACAATTCAGTGGACATTTTGTCGAAAATTGGGATAACTTAAATTATGATTAATAATCAAAATCATGTAAATTAACACGTCACCTCCCTGCTAAAGCAACGATAGCTATTTACAGATTTAAATCATAATCAAAACAATTCACGTACCAACAAACAAACTATTGAAAATAGAGTAAGATTGATTTGTCTTGTTTTTCAAATTGTCTTACAATGTCATTGGCGTAGCCAGGAGGGGGTGCGATCGCATCCCCCCTCCCCCTTTCATTACCAATGGAAATATGATGATAGAGGACGAAAAGAGCCTTAAAATGCTTTTTATTTGAAGCTTCTAGCTCAATTTTGAAGGAAGTTACATACATTTTTGTAAATTTCAAACAAATCTTACACGTTTTCTAATGATCTAATTATGTTGTATATTCGTATATTTCGTTTTTTGGGTACCCGGTTTTTTCGACCGGGTACCAAGTTTGAACCCAGCATGGAGGATTTACTACCCGGTACCCGTTTTTTTTTACAAACCCTATCTAGAAAAGTAACCCCATTCCCTATAATTTGATGTAGATAAATCGAACCCCTATATCATGGGCTTTCAATTGAAAGAAAATGCCATGAATAGGTACATTTTAATATATAACATTATGGGGGTAAGCGTTTCATAGTTGTTCACGACGCCAGAAGTGCAAAGTATTGTTCCGAATTTTTGAATTTCGTGTTAGATTACGGTACTCACACCTGAAGCATGGTTTTTGCTTTTGAAAAATTACAATAAAGTTTAATAATATTCCTATACGTATTTTGTGAAATTGTGTTGACGTTTATTGAAGTTACAATGCAACGGTGCATTGTATTTGATTAATCAGTATCTGGAAGTTTGATTTAAGTACTTTTACACGCTTTTACATTAGTCCCAATCACGCAAATCCTTGAATGTCCCGGGACATCCTGCAAATTTAGGTGAATGTCCCGCTAAATCCCGCAAATTTAGGGCACTTTGTCTAAAAAATCTGTCCATCTATCAAGTTTTTGGTGGTAAACCTGTTAACTATAGCGCAATTAGGGTGTTTGTCCCTCGAATGGTCCCGCGAAATCCCGCGAATTTGATAAAAAAATTTGGCTTATCAGCGCAATCACGCAAATCCCTTAAATGTCCCGCGAAATCCCGCGAATTTAGTAGATGTCCCGCAAAATCCCGCGAATTTTGGGCACTGGGTCTAAAAAATCTGTCCCGCGAGAAAATCTTTAGGGGTTGACAGTACTGTGCTATAGATCTACCTCTCCATGTTATTTTCTTGTACAAAATGAAAATAAACATGAACTTCATACTTATAATAATGAAGATAATTACTCATAATGAAGGCATGTGTGTATTCATGGGTGTAGCGCCTGGTACGCTGGGTACACACAGGCGTACCAGATGGTTGCAAATTCGCTCCAAATACAACCAAATTTCAAAATTTTCCTGGGGGAGAACACCCAGACCCCCCTAAATGCTTGTTTTTTGATTCTTGACTCTTGTTCCTGTGGTGGTGGCGTACTACTTGGAAAAATAGCGCTACGCCCATGGTATTACCTTGTTTTTTCAGGAAAGTAATATTTGTAGGTATAGCAACTTTTATCAAAATGTTCAGAGCTGTCAAGTGTCCCGCGAATGGCGGGATTATCCTGCGAATTTGATCAAAATTAGGCTAATTTGAGTGTCCCGCAAATGTCGGCTTTGACCTTCGCGAATTTCCAGTAAAGTTTACCTAATTTTAAGTACCTAGCATGCCTCTGTTTGGTATCAAAATAAAGAGGAAGAGTTCAACTTTCATTTTAATTACGAAAATAGGGATGTAGGTCACAAATAGTTCCAAGCGTGTGGCCTTTATCTCAGAACTGAGCAAATGTTAGCAAACGCAATTTACAATAAATGGACGCTGATATCTTGAAAAGTAACCTGACTCCCTATAATTTGATGTAGATTAATCGAATCCTGATATCATGGGTTTTCAATATTGAACGCCCATGCCTATATGAATAGGTACATTTTAATATATAACACTATGAGGGTAAGCGTTTCATAGTAGGTTACGAACGCCATAAGTGCAAAGTATTGTTCAGAATTTTAAATTTCATGTTAGATTACAGTACTCACACCTGAAGCATGGTTTTTGTTTTTGATAAATTACAATAAAGTTTAATAATATTCCTATGCCTATTGTGTGAAATTGTGTTGACGTTCATTTAAGTTACAATGTAAGTGCATTATTTTTGATTAATCAGTATCTGAAAGTTTGATTTGAGTACTTTTACATTAAGTCCCAATCAAGCAAATCCCTTGAATGTCCTGGGACATCCGGCAAATTTAGGTAAATGTCCCGCGAAATCCCCCAAATTTAAGGCACTTTGTCTAAAAAATCTGTCCCCCTATGAAGTCTTTGGTGGTAACCCTGTTAACTCTCCCGCAATTAGGGTGTTTGTCCCTCGAATGGTTCCCCGGAATCCTGAGGTTTTGATAAAAAAAATTTGGCCTATTAGCGCAATCACGCAAATCCTTCAAATGTGACATCTTAGACTGTGACAGTCTAAGTCAGTCTTTGATTAATTAAGAATACCGTGCATATAATGATGTTGGCATGTATTTTTCTGAAATCTACAGATCAAATACACAATTTCAGAATGCAAGATATTATTCATATACATATATTTTCAGATGATTGTATGGGTACTCATGTTAAAGGTCGTCGCCACGTTCAATTAGCCCTTCTGCAAGCCAAACAGAGGGACCAAGCAGAGAAAAGTCTATATGTAAGAGGCTTCCACAAAAAGACTAAAGAATCTGATCTGAAAAACTACTTCCTTGGATTTGGCCCAGTAAATAAAGTTTTCATTGAAAATAAGAAGGTGTGTGGGATACAAAATGTTTAAGACTCTATTTTTCAACAAATATTTTGAACGATATAAGGCAATAACTGGCAATAACTTATACAAGGTCATTAACAACTTCCTTGTTAACTTCCTGCCTTTGTTTTTAAAGATAATGTATTGATTGATTGGACTTATAATTTACAAAATTATCATGATTCAAAAGTGCTCAAACAGATGTTATAACGTTTTGTAGGGGAACTATGCTATTATTGAATTCCATCAGAAACAGAGTGCAACTAAAGCATTAGAACAGAAACCCCACCATATTGGTCAATATACCATTGAAGTGAAACCAAGAAGATTCAATCCCCCCAAGGCAAGAAATAATGAGACATCTAAGGCTCGCGAGGCAGCGGTTGTTGACCCAAGCATCCAGGCGGCACAGGCCAGCAGCAAGGCTTTGTTAATGGAGAAGCTTCAAAAATGTTCTGATGTAAGTGTTATAGCAATAGTAAGTAAAATATACTTTATACATGCTAAAGATGCCAAAACATTTCCTGGGTCTCTATATTATATATCCTCGGTATTCGCATCTACAGATAACAGATTTTTATCTAAATTACCCGTTTCTGGCTTATATCAACTTATTTGTGTCAAATGGACTGCCCTGTCCATTATTGTAGCAGGCATATAGCAAGGATGTCATGCAGAATTCATTTGCATTTGTAGATTGCCTATATACCTTTTGGTATTTTTAGGTTGCTGGTCAGATGGAATGTTTAAAATCTGAGTTGGAGCTAACGGAGGGAGATGTACAACTGCGATGTCTCATATGTGATATGCTGCAAACTATCTTTGTGGAGTTCTTTCCAGGTAATTGCTCTCATGATACCAAGCCTCATTTGAAAAAAATAAATGAAATTCAGTTTTGTTTTGAACATTGCCTTCGTAAGTTACGTCTTAAAATTGAAAATCAGGAAATATGATTCTTGATGATTTTTGATATATTTAAGAAATGCCCTTCAGATGAATTTGCTTAGTACACTCTACTTGAAATGGCACTCTTGTCCAGTTTTCCTATTTATAATATTATTAATCAACACTAAAATCTGTCTAATTCAAATTCACTTAAATCCACGTGGACCTGACAAAATGTTTTGATTAGCAGGTGTTCACATTTCAAGGTTTCTTTTATGTGAATCAGTGTGAGATTACAAAATTGGGACCAAAAATAAATAAAAATATGTTCACATTAAGAGATGTTCAAATTAGAGAGGTGTTCAGATATACAGGTTATACTGTACAAATGGAATGCAATTTTGTAACTTGTACATGTTCTAGGCTGTGAGGTGCATCAGTTTGGTTCCTCAGTGAATGGATTTGGAGTGATTGGTTGTGACATGGATATATTTATTGACTTGAACCTCGACAAAAACATCAGCCAGGTTTGTACCCATACAGTTCAATAAAATTCAGAATGCAAATAAAACCAGTGGCTCCAAGTCATTGACTGTGTTAGCTCTTTTAGTCAGTAGTTTGTCAAGTCAAATTAAAGTCATCAACTTGACTTAGAAGGTTTATCATATACATGGATATTGAGAGCCATTTAATAATCATAGTGAGATAATACAGTAAATGTGTGTTCCAATTCTGAGTGTAGAGTAATTTTTAAATATTCTCAAAAGATAATCTTCATCTTCTTATCCAAATATAAAGAGATCATTCACCATAATTCGAGTATTGAAATCAATACTAAGTGTAGGGAAACTTGTCAAATGGATCACCTCTAGAAGTGGAACATTTCTATTAGAAACTGTACCTTAAATATTTAACAAAACATTTAAAAATAAATTTACACACTTTTGACAATATATTCAGCCAGGTACATCTAGATCTGGCCAGATGCCATATGTTGGAGACATCAAGCTGCTGAGGGGGAAAAATGGCCTGTTATCTAGAGATGAGCTGAAGAGACTACCCCAGAGTGACCTAATACGACTTGTGAGTCGGATTCTACAACAGTGTGCACAGGGCTGCAAGAACATTATTACTGTTACAAATGCTCGCTGTCCAGTTGTGAAGTTTGATCATGAGCCAAGTGGTTTACAATGTGACATCACAATAAATAATAGGTGTGAATTGTGCTATAATATTGATAAGTCAAAACTCAGCTTAATCTAGCCTCATGCTAGTCATACTAATGATTTATTTTATGACAATATCCCAATTCGATTGGAGGTTGGTTGACGATCGGCGTCTGTAATAAATTCTTACAATTCCCAATAACTTAACAAATACCGTTTAGAATGACTTCAATTTTTTCAAAATCATCTACATGTTTTCAGAAGTTCAAATCTGACTTATATTCAAGATTTGACCTTCTCAAGGTAAAAAAGGTCAACAAAGGTCTTTTTCATCTTGCTTCAAATGGACCAATTTTTTTCAAAATCATCTACAAGTTCTCAAAGGTTCAAATCTGTCTATAGATTTGAAATTTCATCTTCGATGACCTTCTCAGGGTCAAAATGGTATGTTTTCGACTTGCTTCAAATTGACCAATTTATTTTTTCAAAATCATCTACCGGTACAAGTTCTTAGAAATTCGAATCTGACTTAAGATTGAACTCATAATATTGTGAGCAACTAGGTGGTAACATTTTGTCATGTTAATGCCTTGTATTACAATATTCCAGCCTCGGAAACCGAATTACATATGTACTATTCTTAATTCACCTCTCACAATCTTTCCCTGAAAAGAAACTATTTAGATAAAAATATAATTAGATCGAGGACAGTTTATGCAATAAAATGCTGAACTGCATGTAATGACCGATTTTAATGAAATGAGGGTCAAAAGAGATAAAATCATTTTCTTATATGTATATATTATATACTGTATCCACTGTATATTAACTGTATCTATGTGAAATTACATATCAGTTGAAATGGAAAAATATTTTTGTGGTTTTAGAATCGGGCTCCAGAATACAAAGCTTCTACAGGAATACTGTAAGATCTTTCCTCTGTTGCGTGTACTCATCTTCACAGTGAGATACTACTTTAAACTGAAGGAACTGTCACGTAGTGAGAAAATGGGTCCCCAGCTTAGTAACTATGCCTTGTGTATGTTAGTGCTGTTCTATCTACAGACACAGCACAATCTTCCCACTGTTGAGACCTTACAGAAGCAAGCTGGTGAGTCGATAGATATATGTGATTGTAATTATACACAAAATCCACAAATATGCAGAACAAAATACATGTAACTCAACAATAGAATTAATTTTCTTAAGAAGTAGATGCTGTGTTTTTATCAATAATGATAAACTAATCGTTTGATAATTTTAATATTTTTTGTATTTTATGCCACCACAATAAGTGGTGGGCATGGGCATGTAGTCACCAACTTTTTTGTGGACAGTGTTAAGTTTTCGGTGATTGGTGTAACAAATGGCAGGTGGTGATATTTTGCATGTAAATGCCTTATGTAGTTTCACAAGCAACTGTCATTTTTCTGTATAATCTTGTAAATGATAATGAATGTACATGGACCTTTAGGTATTGAAGAACATTGTGTCATAGATGATTGGGAATGTGGATTTTCAACTAGCATAGAACCTGTCACCTGTACGCAGCCAATAGGTAAGGATACCAATAGCTCAGCCTTATGGAATCAAATAAATTGATATTTCATTCAATAACATGAAGTGCTTTTTGAGGATTGTACTTGATTCAAGTAAATAATAAAAATGTTCTTTTAAAATACAAAGAACAAGAAAGATAATGACTATTATTGATAATGAAAGTTATTTGAATCTATGAATGAACACATTACCAGTTGTGGTACAATATATTTATTAAAAATTGTGTTGTTATTTTATTTTATTTAGACTCACTTCTGGCTGGCTTGTTTGAATTCTACATCAATTTTGATTTCAATTCTCTCGTGATATGCCCTCTTACTGGGAAGACGAAGCTAATTGCTGATTTCTTTGACAAAGACAAGCTCCCTGATAAGCTCAAGAATTTTAAGGTGTGTATCCATCATATGAAAAACTCAAACATTTCTGTGAAATGAACATCCATGATCTCAATACCAAGATATCAATTATCCTAGACTAGTATAATAGCCATTAGCAACCAAAGACTAATAGTGACAAACAATATATACAGTGACCAGACAAATATCATACAGCAATGGAAATAGCGACAATGCAAAAACAGAGAGTGACCAAGTAAAGCAGATGTCAATTATTTTTGAAGCCAACCTCCCTTATCTAAAAAGACAAGTTTTTAGGTAAAAAAATAAATATGCTTACTACTCTGACATATTTGACAAATTGTGTATAATTCATGAATTGATGGATTTACCAAGGATTTGAAGCAGTTATTCAAACTCGATACTCCATTGCCTGGAGTAGACCAATTTGATAACAATATTACTCATATTATGAAGACTAGAACTGCTGAGGAAGCTATGAAAACGACCAAAATATTCGTAATATCCATCTTTCAATGAAATACTTAGTCCAAAGAGAACTTTATAGAAATGTTTTTACTAAATTGTTCCACTGCAGGCAATGGAGTATCGAATTTGAATAAAGGCTGCCAATCCTCCTTGTGGATTTACAATTGATTTATTCATTATTACAGGTAATGCCAATGTGTGTTCAGGACCCATTTGTATTGAACCACAATATTGCTGCCACCATCAATGACAAGACAAGGACTAAAATCATTGCAGAACTGAGTGTAGCTCACAGGAAATGTCAAAGCGAAATATTTAGCAAGCCTCAGGTAGATGACAGCTGGGGACTGACATACTTATTGTCCGGTGAGCTCCCTCCTGGAGGGGTCAGTGCCACAACTGCTATGTCTATACAGCTCCCCCTGGCCACACAGGCAGTTCAAGTTGTTGGGTCATCTTTAAGCTTGAACCCAGCCACTTTTCCCATCAACCTACCAGGGTGTAACGTTATGAATGAATTCACCAAGGCACTATTGCTAGATCCCAATGGGAAACATGTCTGGTGTCAGCGTGTGTGTCGTTTTGTTCATAAGGTCATGGAAAATGTATTGGGATTTACCTGCATCGTGAAATCTCAACATGGTCTTGAAGAAGGGCAACTTGGACCAAACGTTAACACTTTGTTGAACCCTGCAGGGGGATCAGTGTGTAAGGAGGGTGACAGCGATAAGACAACAAAGAGACTTTCACCTGATAGTGATATCTCGAATAATTCAAAGAAATCAAAATTGGACAACAGTTGCACAGTCGATGCAGAGGTGTCGGATATGAACAATACGGGTGATAGAGCAGCAAATAATCAAAATGGTATCTGTGGTAACATTGGGAATTCTGATCAAATCAGTCCCAGTTGCCCCACAGTGATTAAAGTAGCAAGCAGTAACACTGAATTGCTTCAGGCAATGTTTAACACCAGTGAAAGTGGGCAAAAGAAGGTTGACACGATTGCTGAAGAGCAATCCAAAGATTCAGAAGATTCAAAAACCTTAAATGACAGTATAGACAATACCAAAGAGATCAGTCTTACATGTACTAATTCTTTTGGCGTTTGGGAAAACAGAAAAAAGGTCAGGCAAAAAATATTACGAGAAAAACAAATAGATGATTCATTAGAGCTGGAAAAACTTATCACGCAATATATAATGAAGGATAGCGCTAGAAAATGTACAATTCCCGTGGAATTTACAATTTGCTTGAAAAGTAATGTGGGGTCAACTAATTCATGTGTCAATGTGGAGATCAAAGACACGAAGGGACATACATCTAGCTTTCTGGGCTTTATAAAGCCGTATCTGATCAGAATTATAAACAGATATCTAGATTGATTGACAATTATCTTGGTGTATACCTACTTTAGAACTGTACTGCTATTTAGCTGTTAAATTTTGTCACAGCATGAGTATCTAGAAGTATCTAGAAAGTTTATTTTCATGCTTTCTGAGGTGAAATATAGAAAGCTGAAAACGGTTGAAGATGGTGCCATCAGCTCTTCCTTGATTAACAAGTTTCCAAGACAATTACACATAATTGAGTATACATAACAGAGTATTACATTGGGTGTGATATATGAACCATATTTATATGCGTACAATAGTTAAGCATTGGAAATATGGGTTAATCTAGATGCATGTTTCAAGAATTTGTGAACTGAGTTTATAATGAATGGTGCTTCCAAGTGTAATATAATATTACATAATAAAGGCTGTATCTGATGTTGTATAAGACTTGATTTTAGAAATGAAAAATGCAATTTTTAGAATTAAGCTAACGCCCATGTTTGTTATAGTTGAAAATACAGGTTGTTTTGACTGCTGAATTTATTTTGTATTATTCTTTCAATATGTTATGCTGTTATTATATTATATTGCATATACATTGTACATGAAAAACAGTCTTCAAACTTTGGGTCATTTGATGTTGGTTTCAAGTCATTACCCAAAAATATGTTAGTTAAGTATTATACAGTTAGTTTCTTTATATGCAGGTAGTGGATCCAAACAATGCACATGAAGAATGATGTCCATCTATTGATTTATGATAATCATGTTTCTTTGATGACTGAAATATTTCAAGCAACCTGATCAGTTGATGTAATGTAAATATATCCTTATTTTCATGGCATGTGATACATAATGCACATTGCACTCCAAAGTCACTGTATTACAGCAACTTTGGTTGGTTTCTAAAGCATCTAATTAACTGTTGATATACAATGTCCTAAATAAAAACATTATTCAATGAAATCACATAAAAAAGTGCCCCAGAAGGATGTATTTCATGAACTTGATTTGACTTGAATCATTAACAAACCTATATTATTTACATGATGTACCACCACCCTCTCCCCCAAGACATTAAGTGATCATAAATTGATAGGTGCAGTATTGTAATTCTGTGGGATACCCATTCCTTTGATGTAGGTTTGTATCATTAATCAATTTATTGATATGTTTTTAAGTAGGGTAACCATAGGTACCTGATATACAACAGGGTTAATATACGAAGCATTTTAGCAAAAACGTGCTGCTAACTCGATAAAAGGCCTGTGCTGGCTTGAACTGTCTTTGGTCCTAGCCAGGATAAAAATACCTATTCCTGTCAGATTAATACGGGGAGCTGTTTCTACTTTAGTTTAAGATACAAGTTACATATTTCTATCACAAGTATTTGCCCTATGATGTATGTTCAGTAATATTGACAATCTTTATTAACTGTTATATTGACAAAAACCTTTGTAACTTTCTGAAGTGTTACACAGGCAAAAATTCAACAATTGGGGGAGGGGTGCAGCATTGGTGATAAACCATTCACATTTTGAAGCTGTTAAGGTGTTAAACAGTGTATTAAGTTTTTTATTGAGGTTTTTTATTTTGCTTTTTTAATTCCCGGTGATAACAAGTTTATATATATACGAGGGTATATCATAAAGTTCTCATAATATCTCTCTAATTTTTTTATTTTTCAATATATTCTAATGTTATGTTAAATATGATCTAAACAAATATGTTGCAAAGATATCAACATAATTGCACCCTATGCGTGGTCTATCATTTATTTAAGATGAACTAAAGTGGAAAATCGACTTTCCTTGGAAAACTTGACAAAACAGTTGTAGTGTCTAACATCACTTCTAATGAAGCATTACAATCATCCATTATGAGATCACACAATTCACATGACCATTATAATAGTTTAAAAAAGTCAAGAATACATGGTATTTAACAATTTGATGTGTTTCATAGCTTATTTGATAACTTATTATGCATTTAAACATGGTTAGTTGGGACTTTTCCTGCACGATTTTTTATTTGCCCCGTGTGCCTTGATTTCCGGTTACTATGGAAACCATTTCTTAAATAATATTTCTGTTATACCAAATATTTTTTGATAGATTAATGGAGCATTCTATACTACATATTCTGTGAAAAATTCATCAGAATATATTGAAAAGTAAAAAAATTAGAGAGATATTATGAGAACTTTATGATATACCCTCGTATGTAGTTCTGTCGATATGCCTTACACAACACAGGATATAAGTTGAATATACTTGTTACACCTTGTGTCTTATAAGGTGTGTTGATTATTATATATGCAGAAAATAAAGTCAGAAACAAGAATTTTGTAAGTAGTTCAGGTACTTAATAATCAGCTTTATTACTTAAAAATCAAAAGTTTACAAAATGTAATCATATGTGGTTAACTGTTGCTTTAGTCTATGTAAATGCATCATTTACTCCATATAGTTTTAAGTACAATTATGTACAATACAATTATTTTGATACAATAACATCTCATTTGGTCATTTTTGATCAGGTAAATATATGAAATGTTTCATTTTGAATAGTTGTATATGAAAATATAATCTTTGTGAGTATATATTCTAAATACTGTACATGTACTGGTGCATTGTGAATACAAAAATATATGCTTAAAATATTGTAATATGTGATGTACTTATTTTTAAAACCTACGTCCTCTTAGTCTATCTAGATTTCTTATAAAATATACTGAGCATTTCAACTACCGGTAAATATGTTTCAAAGATTATAACATCATTGACCACACATATTTTTGTAGATGCCAGGCCTTAGGAATCATAAAATATTGAAACTAAAAACAGTTATCATTTCTATTTTTGGTTTAACCAAAAACCAGGCTTCACTCAAGTGGTACAGTCTTTGGTTAACGTAGTAATTTCAATAGGCATTTGATTAAAATGGATTCAAACAGCAATTGGTTATATATTAGGAATTTAATGCACTTACATGTGCTTTGTTTCACTGGGCACTCTAATATTCTGATAGTCTTTCTGGAACATGTAAATGTGTGCTAAATCAATGTGTACTCCATGAATTAGTATTTAATTCTAATTTGTATTTAAAAAATGTGTGTTAAAGAACCTTAGCTTCGTAATGTAATGGTCCATTGATACCATAAGGTTCACTTGAATCATAATAGCCAAAGCCTGTGTTATTTTTTGACCTTGTAGGGGAATTTGATCGTTTAGTTGCACGCTTATGGCCCCTCTGGTGATTATTGGGATGACCATTGTGATGATGTACTATAATGTTATTTTTGTCCTCGCTTGATCTTCCAGATTCTTGGTCAGGTGATTTCCCCTTTCTTCTTGTACTGCAAAGCAATGGAAATATAAAACATTTGATTTTAAGAAGTTTTAATCTGAAATCCCGATTCATTTAAATGTTTTGCTCAATTAGTTTAACTAAATGCGACTTTTCAAAAAGTTGTTTTGAATTATATTTTGCATTCTATTTTGTGTTGGAAAGTAAGTTGACCAATAAGTAAGTAAGTTCACATGGTTCATTTTAATATTTTGGTTCTCCACTTCACTCTACTATACAGTATCTACACTGTATTAGAAATAACAAACAGAACAAACTTCATTAAAATGTTATTGATTTTCAATCATTAAGTACAATGATTCTGTAAAATTTAAGGCTATTAAATACAACTTACAATCTTAAAACTAAAACGATGAGTACCATTCCAATAATGAAGAGAGCAAAAACCCCCAACACTAAAGCTACTATAGCCCATGTGTCCCAGCCAGTCTGAAACAAACAGAAATACAACAGTCATATAATTTTAAAAACAAATCTATTTAAATATCCAAAATAAGAATTATAGGTAGGCTATCTGCATGTTCAGGCTTAGTCCACACAAGTTACAGATAGCCCAAAAACCTTTGGATGAACCATTATGCACGCTTGGTCCAAGGGTATTCCAATTCATTCCATGAGCTGGGTCAGTGAATGCCCGATCAATTTTGCAATATCTTTGTAATTTAGAAGATGAGCAGCATCCTGCTATGATTTGTAGAAAAAGAAATCAAATAGAAAACCTTTGTTTTACACCATTGGACATTCTAGACAGTTTTGGCTGGTGCCAAAGATGTTTTCATTGGACAGGTTTTATTCTATCTAGGGAATATGTTTCAAACCTGAGACAATGTGCCACCACTTTGTTTAGTTGTGACATCACTTGGCTTAGTTGTGACACTGCCAGGTTTAGTTGTGACATCACCAGGTTTTGTTGTGACATCACCAGGTTTAGTTGTGACTTCAGGAATATTTATGTCACCTTGGTCAATCACAACCATTCTAAAAAGTAAAAGAAAATGAAACATGCTGTTTATTAAAAGTTTGAAATATAAAAATTCGTAATAATGCATGTAACATACTGGCACTTTTAGGACACTTAACGCACGACCTTTTGTTCTGATAGCAAAAATAGGAAATTGTGTCAATTAAGGAAATTAGTAAATGAATGTAGGGATACAACAAGTGTTATTTATAAACGTATATCCGAGATTTTCTGCATTAAACAGCACAAACCCAGAATATTGTCATTATTATTTGAATGAAAATATCTTAAATTCAATTGGAAGGAATAAGCTTGGAAATACTAATCAATTTGGTATGGCAAAGGATGAATCACCCTTTAAGTTAAGAGAGTAATATTTAAAGTATTACTGTTGGATTAAATTAATTAGACCACTTTTTAATCCCTCAGTGTTAATCTTGTCAATGTTCACTTAGAAGAAAGAATGAATATGAAAATTATTCTTTTGATTTTCATGCCTTTCATTGTGTTTACATTTCAAGACATGTTTACATTTAAAACACATATTCATACCTCTGTACTCCCTGCATAGTGCTGTTTATCTGTTGTGGGCTCTCAGTATCTAGGGCACCTATATCACATCCGTCCCCTGTACATGACACTTTGTAGGTCAGTTTGGAAACTGGTTTCCTAGAATAAGGCAGTTTGTCTTTTACAATTTGCTAAATCGGACGAGACAGGTTTTACTGTACAGATATTTTTACATCTGATACTAGTGTTCATCAAATTTATATTTGGTATATTGGTCATAGACATTTTGGATTATAACTCTGAATCTGTTAGTCAACTCACGTTTCTCCATCATGTTCCCAGGTTCCTGGCTCAACTTTAAGTAATGAAACAGTGTAATCACTTTCTGGCACATCTGAAAAGAAAAACAAAAATCGAAATGAAAACGTTTGGTTGACATTTTTGAATGTAATTAATCATTGGCTTTCAACAGCAGCTATGTTTCAAATTATGTAAAACCGTACATAGACATGTAAAAAATAGTATGAAATGGGGAGAGAGGGATTGAGATGGGGGAGGGAATCAGGGAGGGAGGGAAATAGAAAGAACAGTCCAAGAAAAAGATTTGTGAAAAGATGAAACCATACCTGGATTAGCTTCCTGTACAGCATCCTTCAGAACTTTTTCAATGGGAGCATTTTCTTGGACATCCCCTGTAACGGTGACCTTATTCTGCTTGCTTGGTTCACAGCCACATTCCTCAGCTCCTGCCGCCTTAAGGCTATCTTCTAGCAGAGTAGCATTGGGTTCAGCAACAAATGTAGGGTCAGGCTCTTCACCATCAACACCCACTACATACTCCACACCTTCCAATTCATTCCTGAAAACATTTGAATAAAAAATTATAATGGTGATTGATTCATTAAATTAAGTATAAAGGTTAATCAAAAGCATTTACAATGGTTCTGGGGAGCTTGTAAGTATATAAAGTTTATATAAAGTTTACTAACCCATCATCATCTGTGAAAACTACATCATCCTCGCCATCACTAGAGGCATCTGACTGTCTCTTACGCCTTCCTTTGTCTCCTTTGCGACCTCTCGTGAGAGTAGAACACTGCACCTTTCTAGGTGGAATACCTGTATGAACAAATATTAGTATCTAAGATCAACCAACCTTGACATGCTTGAGTATGATTAGTGTTGCATTCAGTATACAGTACATGTACTGTACTGCATGTATCTATGAACATACAGAAAGGGACCAAGGATACCTCATATAGGGACTAGGAACCTATGTTCCCCTTGTAGTTCTCTATATCTACCTATTTCCAATCTTTAAATGGATAATTGAATAACTGGATTAAAACTTCCTAATTTTAAAACCTACGTGGATTTGCAGCTCTCCATGCATTCGTTACACCAGCCTGTACCGCTGGAGCTGCTGGAGCTTTAGCCGCCCTAAATGCCTTGAATTTACTCTTCTTTCCCTTACAACCCACACATCTTTCCAGCTTGTATTTTCGAAGGATCTTTGTCACATTACGCCTTCGTGGCTTCTTCCAGCCTATATCCTGGGCATCATTGGTGTTGACAACCACAGTGTACCACACGTATACCAGTTTATTCCTAAATAAACAATTCATAATAAATTCCAAGGCCTATACGTATACTGGTATTATTATTATCCTCATTGATTCGCCAACGGTCTTCAATTTCAACTGCTTAACAAGTAAGCATTCATGATGTTAATTACAGTAATCAAAGCTTATAATGATTCTTCGATCTAATGGGAAATATCCTATAGATCTACTGTTCATGTGAACATATTTGAGGGCGTGCAAAACAAAATGGCAGTTTTAAGTTAAATGTTTAAAATTGTGCTCTCACCAGTTTGTCCGACGACGATGTTGTCTTTTCCTTATGGTAATGGTGACATCAGACGTTTGATCTGGAAATATCATATTAGCATTAATTTATACCTAGAGAGTACTCATAGTCTATCAATGAAGTTATATGTATGTATCCGTACATTGTATGTGTACTGTACACAATCTAAAGAAATTATATCTGAGGATTTTATTGGATATTGACGGAAAGACAATTGTACAGGGTGACCCAAAAAAAATGCAACCCTCCATTTCGTCAATATTTTTCTTAAATTGAGGTAAATTGCTCTGAGATTTGGCACACAAGGACTTCATTCTATGTGGGATCCTTTGGCAAAGTTTTAATAATCATAGTCTTATATTGATAGAGTTATGGTTGTTCCAAAATATGCTCCAGATGTCGTCAATTTCGTTGAAAACAAACTTGCAATGTCCAAGGAAAACTGTTTATAACACGTATGCATTCTTCCCCATGGGTATGGCTCAAATTTTTGCAGCCATTGCTTATTGGAGTTCTGCAATTGCGGAAGGGTTATTTTCATACACATTAACCTTTAAATAACCCCGTATATAGAAGTCAGAGGCATTGAGATCAAGACTGTGGGATGACCATGGGTCCTCCATCCTAGGAGAGATAATCTTCTCATAGAAATGACTAGTGAGCCAGGCTATGCTATCATTAGAAGTGTGAGGAGTAGCTCCATCCTTCTAGAACCACTGTTCTTGTCTATTAAAGCCTCTGTGTCACTCTAAAACTGCCTGGGAACGCCAATATTGCGCTGTGTGTTAACAGTAACAGTGTTGCCATTATCAACCTCAAACCAAAAGGGGCTGATGATTTCATGTTTGGAAATTGGCAGCCCAACCTGTGCATTTAACAGAATGTAGGGGCCTGTGAATCACTTTATCTGGAATTTGTGATCCCAGAACACATTATTTCTTGAGTTTACATGTTCAGAAAGAAGGGAATGTGACTCATCCGAAAACCTAACATTGGAAATGGACGACATTTGGAGCATATTTTGGAACGACCATAACTCTATCAATATGAGACTATGATTATTAAAACTTTGCCAGAGGATCCCACATTGAATGAAGTCCTTGTGTGCCAAATTTCAGAGCAATTAACCTCCATTTAAGAAAAATATTCGAGAAATGGAGGGTTGCATTTTTTTTGGGTCACCCTGTATAATACCAAAATGATTTAATATCACAATTCAAACCATTAGCCCAACAACATTCAAATAATATTTGCTTATATCTGCATCGGCTAAATCGTGAAACTGAGAGAATTGATGCGACAAATTTCAAATTCCCTTGATGTCACCAACTACCATTTGTTACATACACCGACCACCGAGATCATCCTCAAATAATTGGAGACTATAATAACAATACCTTGAGCAGGTGACATAAAAGTCGTTTACCATTAATTATTATTAATTTCTAACAGACAGACATATACAATTACGAGGGGTGATGAAAAAGTCTTGGACGCCCCGCTCTATCTTTGTTTCAAGTAATTTTATCAAATACCAACAACATTAGAGAAGGGCATCCAATACTTTTGGATCGCCTCTCATTATCCCAAATAATCTATGCTGTCTGATTAAACATAGTCAAATCTATATAATATATTTCATATATACAATCCAAATCTTTCATATGCCATGTATGAATATTTGTACTTCAAATGTTAATCATCAAATATTTCTTGTCATAATGAAAATGGTGAAATTATTTTTTGGGAACTACCTTTATTGTTGTCTTTCCAAGCTTCAACCAATGCCTTAATAATAGTTGCCTCATCACTTTTTCGTAAACCTCTCCTCAGTTTCAATCTATACAATCTGAACCAGCTACCCGTGTATATATTAAAGGGTTGTTTATTAGCGAGCTTCTCCTTTAAGTATTTGTTGAAGTCTGCATTTGATGGTTTGTCCTCTTCCCAAGACTCCAGATAGATGCCTTTAGATTTCACAGAGTATGTGATACGATATACTGGTACAGAACTGAAAACAGTATTGTAAATGTTATGGGGTATACATGTATAACATACAATAAGACTTTATTCCTACATGTATTTGTGTTTCACTGTGGGATGTGTGTCTTAACACGTAACACATTAATTGACCAGTGCAGAATGTGTTGAATTAATGAAAAAAACAATTAATCATAAGTTTGTATTTATGAAATAATCTAATACATACAAATATGTAGATTAAACATTATCTTTCTATTATTCACTTCGCTTTCTATTATTCATTTTCAAAATAGATTTATATTAAGAGTTTTATATTATACTCCTCAAAAAAGTTAAGGACCAGTGTTTTTCAAAGCCATTTTTGTTAAATTTCATGAAATTCATCAATTTTGACATCAAATTTTGAACCAATGTATTGGAGATATAACAATGAAACGTTGCGGACTTAATAGGGAATAGAATCAAGATTCAGATTTATTTTCTTTATTTGGATTTCTTTTGTTCCCCGCTTAGAAAATGGTTGTTCAAACAAATATGGTGGTTAACATGTAAACCTATGAGGAAAACCACTGGTCCTTAACTTTTTTTGAGGAGTATATATTCTTTATCAGAGTAAATTCTGCAAAGATTGTTCGCTTACTTTGCGCCTTCCAGCTCCTCTGACAAGATAATGTCCACCTCAAGATCACTGAGATCTGCAACAATATTTACAGCAATTAAAGATTGGGGGTAAAATTTGAAATGATATAGACTAAAGAGAGTTTGCATAATTTTAATGAGTGTTATTTCTCGGCTTACATTCATGAATCTTGTCCGTCCTGTCATATAGTGTTATGTTGACCTTGAGATTCAATATACCTGATCTGAAATTCTGCCAAGCAGCTAACAGAGCTTCCTCAACTAATTGTCTCTCAGAAGCTAAAACCAGTCTGTTCACGATAATATCGAAGTTCAGCTCCAGAGGAGTCAAGGCAGTTCCTTCAAACAGTTCATATGTGGCATCTTCGTCAATCTCAAGTTCAAATTTGATAATGTCAGTAGAGGGTCCTACCTCCTCATCTGGGTTGTAGCGGATGTCATTCACTTTGACTATGTACACAACCTTGGTACAGAATTTCCTGAAACAAGATTTCAATATTTTAATTGGATATCTCAATTATATAGAGTTGTTTATTATTGATATTGATGCGGGGATATTATGTGAAATTGGATGATTTGTTTCAGATGGTAGAAAAGTAATGTTGATGACAGACACTGTGACAATTATCAGTAACAAGTAATTAATTACATTTTGGATCAACATACTCCATATAACTCTCTTTCATCCACTTACCCATATTCTGCAACCCAGGGTTGTGCCAGTAGTAGTTCTATACTGATAGTGTCAGAGACACCGAGGATATTTCCACCTATAACAATGATACAATACATAAGTTAGACACCCATTTTTAGGTGCAAGTTACGTTCTGGTACCATTTATTTACGCTAGAACATACTGTAGGTCCATTTTTTATTTTCAAATGTATACCTATAATTCATTCATTGATCAAATATTTTTCGAAAAAGCAATACATGTTTTACCAAAAATATCTTATTTTTAGACAAAGCAAAGACCTTTACACATGTATCATCTTGAAGAACATATTAATATTTAATTTAAAGCAATATTCATTTATAGGAGGTTCTTCTTACCTTCCAGATGCTTGCGCCAGGACTTCTCCAAAACAATAGTGATATTCTCCACTTCCTCTAAATCTAGATTGTCTGAGAGGAACACAGTATATAGATCACTCATTCCTTCCTTCATTTTGCCGCCATACACTGAATATGTCAAACCATAAGGTCCATTGAACGATATGTCTGATGATGGTATTTCCGGTTTGTCAGAAAGAAGCTCAGGGTTTAAGACTGTGGCATCATAAAAGAGGTAGTATATCAACTTGTGGTAGATAGAACTGAAATTGAAATATTATAATTGATCTTAATTTCAAGACAAAACTTATCATTCTGAACACATCTCTTAACTTTATACCACACATCTAAATTCCTCTATATCCCAGGTTATCAAATAATTTAGTACTATGGTTTTATGTATTTTGTGTGCATGGTCACCTTCCAAGACCCATCCCCTTGGTATTTTCCCATTCTGTTCCATATTTAGATAATATGTAATTGACCGGTCTCATTGACTGCCCAATTTTCATAGCCTCCTCAGAAGAACGCTTGAGTTATTCATAAAATAGAAAAACAACATGTAAATGAATAAAATGTTTGCAATATTTGACTTTGAATACCTGTCATCTCCAATGTATTCCTCTCTGTTGATAAGTTCAATGTCCATTTTATTTTTCCATGTCGCCTGTAATTCGACATCAGTTATATGGCCAGGAACTAAAAAATGATATCAAATATTGTTTTATAATGTTACTGTAAGTACTTGTATACTTTATAGTTTTAGTTTAGAGATTGAACAGAAACATCTTGTTTAAGAATACAGGAAGATAATTTGTTCAGTCAAACTAATGATCAATTATTTCATAACTAGATAACGGCAACTCCGCGGAGTAGCAAATCCCAACGAACAAAATATCAATTACCGAATTCCAATCAATTATACTCATTACTTTGGTTGAAAATGAAAAAATTAGATTTTAGAATTGCGAATTCCTGCAAAGCAGCCATTTTGAATTTTCTGAGGTACAAATCTGAAAAATAATACCATAATTGTGATCTACTCCAAAATTCCTTCAATTTGAGTATAATATAGCCATACTTTGAAGGGATCGAAAAATTATTGCGAAATCGTACATTAGACGGCCAATTTGAATTTTACGAGGCTCGAATCAGAAAAAAGATACAATATTTGCAATCTACTCTTAATTGCCTTTCATTTGAGTATAATAAAGCTACACTTCAGAAAGATCTAAAAATTAGCGAAAATTTCTGTTTTCCTGTCCCCCCATACATGGCCCCTGGGGGTTAGGATGAAAAACACGGAATATATGTGAAATAGATAAATGTTGTGAATACACTACCAAAATTTCAAACAATAATATTAATTACTTTGGTTTAGAATGAAAAATTTATGATTTTTGTGAAAAAGTCCCGTCATTTTTAAAGCGGCGGCCATCTTGAAAAAAATAAATATGAAGAAAATCTGTCAACTAGTATTTGAGTTATCTTCCGGACAGACGGACGGACTGACTGACTGACTGACTGACTGACGGACTGACGGACTGACGGACTGACGGACAGACGGACGGACGGAGGGCTTCACTATATCCCTAACGAACTTCGTTCGTTGGGATAATTAAACCATAAATGCTGACTTGTATAGGCTAGGTTCAATTTTCAGATCATATTACCACTCTCAATCTTTTTGCAAACTCACCATTATTCGACCAGGTATTTTTTATGAGTTTCAAAAAGTCATCAAAGTTCTTTCTTGAGACTCTGCTGCTAATGTGCAATTCAAGTCTGTGACTGTTTTCCCTCATGACATAGTCAGATGCTATAACAGCATTGTAGTCTAGTCCCCTAGGGTGGGGGAAATCTATAAGTTGACTTAAATCCTGTGGGGTGACTGGTAGTGATGTAGTACTACTCGTCATGACATCATTGACTTCTAAGAATATGAAAGCCTTTGTAATGAAGGGGAAATTGCTGAAACAAGAAGCAAAACAATGACTCGTTGTATACATCAGTATTTCATAATGATGAATCACATTTGAGGGCCCAAAATAATATAAAATATTAATGAAAGTATGACTTAATACAACCGCTGTTTTCATGACTAAATAAATTATATACTCACCTGTTATTGGTCCTATATTTAACCTGTCTGCCAATCACAACCTCAACCTCTGCATTACTATCCAAACCTAAAATAAAGACACTATTCAATGATACTAAGTGGTGATCAGATTCAACCTTTAATGACTTTTTAGTTGCAAACAAGAGAAACTTCAAGTCACACGGGCCACCATGATTAGTTTTGTTACTTATATCATGGGCTTTCAACTATGCTTATATTCTCTCTCTACATAATTGCCATTTTAATTTAATAGTTTATTATATGACAGAAACATTTCTCATACTTGGTTATATATTATTAACTAAAATAAGATATAATAATTACACAAACCTCTTGCTTTGAACAGGGATATCAATTTTAATCTGAACTGACTGAGATGTTGACGTGGAATCCTAAGATTCAAATTGATCTCGTATGACTGGGAGATCCTGAGGAGTTCCTCACTTCCCGCAGCTATAATATTATAGCCATTCAGTCTTGACTGATCTACGCCCCACCCAGCTGCTTTCATAGCATTCTGTGTAAGGGATAAGTGGCTACCAGGGGTGATTGTTACATCGCTCAAGCTGGGGGTAACCTCAAAGAGCAGTTTCCAAATTGGTGTTCTATAATGACATTAATTCATCACAAAATTACAAGTTCATTAAAATATTTCCTGAGTTCATACATATGTAAAATGATTTATGATCAGAAAAATTAATTTATTGGATGAAAAACATAATAAACCGATTATTATAATCTAAATATAAACTGTATCTTCGTGGAAGGTTACGTGACACTCACCTTGTATTTCTATCGACGCATGGTTCTTGTTGGATAACAGATATTGCACTTGCATCTGGAAATTATCATATTTAAAAAAATGAATAAAATATGGATTAACTGCTGGAAAATAAGAAGATTATTTGTAATCAAAGGGCCAAAGAGCAAATTATTTATATAAAATAATCTTGCATGATTTACTCACGTCATAATCAAAGGTAAGATCATGAAACGGGTGAAATATATATTAGGTTATGGTTATCGAAAGATAGCATACATCGTATGTCATCCTTCTATCACTATAAGGGATCCGGAAGATTTCGCTTTACCTGACCACTGAGATTTCCAGGCAGAAAGCAGACCATTATTGGCCAGCTCAAAATCTGTCTCAAATATCTCTTTTGTAAGTTGAATACTAAAGAGGTCACTGTATGGGACACCTAGTATATCATCAAGTAGAATTGTGTCATATTTCAGGTTGAGTTGAGTGGCATCAATGCTGAGATGTTTCCTGTAGGTTTCTATTGTCACTTTACGGAATGCCTGAGGGTTCAAAACTTCATCATCTTTCGTGACAAAGTAGATTAATTCCCATGCAGCATCTCTGCAATTGTAAAGTTTAATATGTTATCTTTTGCTTTTTATCTTTATCCTACATTATTGTAATTTAAAATGAATGCATGTGAAACAATGACCCATTTCAGATTCTGATTATTATGATGACTCATTGGAAATGTGCATGGTCTTGGTAAACAAAAATGTGAAAATGTAATATAAGTTTGCTTCTAATCCTGAATATATGTACATTACTACATACCCATTTTGTTGTATATATTCCCGTTGTCCAGACAACACAAGTGCAATGTCAGAACTTGTAAATCCTGAAAATAAAAAAAATCCAACCTATATACTTCTAGATTATCACTCTCGCAGCTTTAATTTTATTGGCATCAATACATATTCCACTTTCTGAATTCAATTATTTCGTAAATATTTGTTGAATATTTGTTTCATTCCTTGACGCTCATGTGAACCTTATTTTGATTTACACTATCTTACATCGTGTCTCACCTGGATTCGCATCAAGCCATGCTTGAACGCATCCTTTCTTGAAAGCATCATAGTCTATTGCTAAAACTGCCCTGGATAGCTGTACCACATAACTGAATGAAGATCTCCATGCATTTTCCAGGTCAATAATATTGTATTGTCCACCTAGTGCATTAATGAATGAAACATCTATGCTGTTGGTGTCTATAGAAGATACCATATTAGGGTGGACAACTCTGCCATTGTAGCTAATGTAGTAATAAAGACTCCACCGGGGTCTCCTGGAAAACAAACACACATAAAAATTTATTTGTTCCCGTGACAGAATGTATTATGCATCAACTCAGTGCTTTGGATATGCTACAGTTAATATTTCCTTTGTGTTTCTTTCAATGTTTCATGTGTTTTGTACATTTTTTCTATTTTGATTCGAAATATTGTTTTTTCATTGATAAATAAGATAATGATCATACCCAGTTATATGGATGTATTCCTCTACCCTCGCGACCTCAATGGTTAGCGTTTTACCTGTAATAACATCAACATAAAATTCTGAACTGGACAAGAAATAATTCTTAATAATCATCATATTTATTTTCCAAAATTTGATCAACGCATCTGCAGGATACCATTCATAGTTTATTATTTCTTTATAATACTAAAATAGGTTTCATTCAAACATAAGTGTGTAATTTAATGTAATTAGTGTGCAATTTAATGTAATTTGAAGACTGCAGTCTTATTTTCTTGATTTTTCTTTTAAATATTTTTACTGTAATTTCTTTTTATTGTTGGATGTACATTTGCCCCTAATAGGACATTTACAAATAAATCCTAATACATTATTACTACAATTGACTAATAGCAGTTTAATACAATACCTGGTAGGTGAAGATCCCAAGCTGTCTGCAATGCTGCTTGAACGTTATCTATGTCAGTGTCAATCAAAAAGCTATCAAATGCAAGTTTGAATGCATATTGCTGCCTAAATTGGTTCCCAGTATATCTTTCAACAATGGTGTAGTCACCCTGGTCGCTAGGTATCTTGATTTTGTCTTTAAGTTGTTGTACTGTTGGCATATTATCAAGGTTGATATTGAGACTGGTGTCAATGTTAATAGAGTAGAAGATTTTCCATTTCGAGCTTCTGGAAATCATATTTTTTTGTCATAAAAGAATGTTTAATGGACAACAAGCAAACAATTATAATAGCTGCAACAATGCCTATGCAAGATGTTTTTATGGTTGGGTATTCTGGAAATGAATGCTCATAGGTTACTAATAATAGAAATACGTCTAAATAAAGTGTGAACAATAACCATACCTCTGCGATTTCTGTATGATCTCCTCCTGTCGTACTATTTTTAGTTCAAATGAGTCAACATCTGAAAGCCCTACAAAAGGTATCAAACATTCAGCATCAACAGCAAAATAATTTTAATATGATCTTATCATTTTCAATTTTGTACTTTTACAATGAAATTCAAATTGAGAGCAATAATGGATTGTCAATGGGTTGTTTTAAATAAGTCAACTGACCACTTCAGATACAACTACAAACATTCTGTACTGGATAAAGCATAAGAATGAGATTTTATAAGAAATAATACACCGAAGGCCGAAGGCCTGAGGTTATTATTTCTTATCAAATCGAATTCGAATGCTTTATCTTACTTAAATCACACACATTCTTATTACAGGTAAATGGTATATTGCAGGTAAATGGTCAATGATCTAATCTGGAAAATTTTATTTCTTTTGTGTTGACTGTTCATGTAGGGGTAAGTGGTTTGATACATGTAAGTGAGTGAGTTCTTTTGAGTTGACTGTTCATGTAGTTATATAGCCAATTAATTGTAACAACAAAAAGAGTTGGTTGCATTGACCTCATGAGTGTGAGTTGACGTAAGTGACTGAGTGGGCTATAATTAGTCTAGCTTCAGTGCACTACAGGTGATTGTCCAGTCCAGAACATTGCATTTGAATACAGCAGAATATTTGTAAGTAAGATAAGATCAATGATGTAAATAGCAATTAAAATTGATAAATTGTTTTATTCTAAAGAATGCACAGTAACAAGAGAAGGGTACATGTATTTTTGTATATTTTGTTTTTAGGGAATGAAAACTATCAAAAACTGTCAATGGTCATTTATGTCTCACTTGTTTTTGATAGCTTGCCAAGTGTACATTCTTTAAAAACAATAGAAAAATAATGCACTTTCCTTTTGATAAAACCATACATTCTTAAAAATAAACCACAGCAAATTCTATTGTGTTGCTACCCAAGTGGGATTTAATAGTGAATAAACAATATGTGTAATTAATGGTCCTGCCGTTTGTAATACCTGTGATGGTGGCAAACCAAGCCTCCTTTAGTCCAGCTTCAACATCATCATATCTCTCTTTACTGACTTCTTTGTCGAAATACAAGCCGTAAAGATTAGAAAATCGCTCGGGTTCCAAACTCTTTGTATTTATGAGGGTGTATAAAAGACCCTTGCTGTTAGCGAAGCTAAGTTTAGCCTGCAGGGCTGATGTGTCCAGAGGAAGGTACAGGGATGGCTCCAATAATGTATTAGCACCCGTATCTATATTGTACACATAGTATAGCACCTTCCAGTATACATCTGTTCCTCTGTAGGTAATAAAATAAGTAACGACATTACGAGGGTTGTCCCAGAAGTAATGCACTTTATACTCTAACTTTGTTTAATATTTTTCAATTCAGCTGAAATTTAGTGTATACATGTATAACAATTGAAATTTTTATCTATTATATCCTTTCAAATTAGCATCAAATATTAATATTAAGTCTTAATATGGTTGCTATAGCAACATGGGGGTAGGGGTGGGTGGGGCAGGTACCAATTTTTCTTATTATGAAAATATCCAAAGTGTCATTTTATCAATATTTCTTTCTTTTAAATGATCAAAATGATTCGGAAATTGTAATGACATTCAGCACTGTCATGTCCAATACCACAGTTCAATAATCACATATTCAAATACAGTCGCAGTCAAGAAATTGCAACAAGAACACAAACGTGTACAAAATGTCCCCACCAAGTGGTGATCCCGTGAAATGGTTATCCTGAAAATGAGTAGACAAGACTTTACCAACACAATTTGAAGACGGAAAATCCAAAGTGGCCACCTTAAAATTTACCCAGAATGCCAAAAATTTAGTCAGTTCTAGATTTTCAAACTAAGAACCACCCCTGAAAATTTGAAATTGATCCGTCACACAGTTAACCAGAAAAACATGTAAACAAGACTTTACAGACAAGATTTCAGGATGGAAAATCCAAAATGGCTGCCTTGACATTTACCAAGAATGTCAAAAAACTAATCTGTTTGTAGATTTTCATACTAAGAATCATCCCTGAAAATATGAAATTGATCTAGCAAACGGTTCACCTGAAAACGGGTAGACAAGACTTTACAGACAAGATTTTAGGACAGAAAATCCAAAATGGCTGCCTTAACATTTACGCAGAATGCAAAAAAAATAATCAGATGTACATTTTCATACAAAGAATCATCCCTGAAAATTTGAAATTGATCTATCAAACCGTTCACCTAAAAACGCGTAGACAAGACTTTACAGGCAAGATTTTAAGACGGAAAATCCAAAATGGCTGCCTTGACATTTACCCAGAATGCAAAAAAACTAATCAGTTCTAGATTTTCATACTAAGAATCATCCCTGAAAATTTGAAATTGATCTACCAAACAGTTCACCTGAAAACGAGTAGACAAGACTTTACAGACAAGATTTTAAGACGGAAAATCCAAAATGGCTGCCTTGACATTTACCCAGAATGCCAAAAAACTAATGAGATCTAGATTTTTATACTAAGAATCATCCCTGAAAATTTGAAATTGATCCACCAAACGGTTCACCTGAAAACGCGCAGACAAGACTTCACAGACAAGATTTTAGGACCGAAAAATCCAAAATGGCCGACAATAAAAAAGTCCTTATGAGTTTTTGCTGATTTCTTTTTACAAAATTATCACATATAACTACTGTTAACAATAAAGTAGGCTTTTACAGCAAAGTAAATCTGAAATTATTTATAAAGCTACTAAATAGTTAAAGTATGAAAACTCAAAAACACCATTCAATATGATACAAAGTATTATCGCGCGCTAACTTTTCTTAAGACATTCAAAATGGCTGACATGACTGAGCTAGCAGGTCCAAAACCTAATCAGATCTAGAATGAAGTGAGCTGAACAAGATGTTAAAGTTTTAAAAGCAACTGTGAAGCAGTTTTTCTTAAAATTTGCAGACAAGGATTTCAGCATTTGACTTCAAAATGGCCGACAGGAAGTAGGTTTCGAGTTAAATTTTTTTCATCCACATCTATAGGCACTCATAGGTTATTCCTGAAAATTAGATGGTGATACCTGTAGCGGTTTTGGAGAAAACTGCCGGACGTACGGACGGACAGACAGACAGACAACCAGACAGACAGACAGACGGACGGACGCGCCTAGGACGACAATATGGCCCCACACTATGTGGTGGGGACATAAAAATGGCTGCAATTTTCGCCTGATAACAGAAGGCCTTGCATTTGTTGGCCTAATTTTATACTTCACTTGGAATCACAGCCACGCAAAACTGATGCTACCATGAAGAAAGTATAAAAGATAGAACTACACTTATGAGGTGGCAGAAGAGATTTAAAAGAGATGACTGGACCCTCCAAACTCCAAACATGGGAGGCAAAAACTCCACAAGTGACAGTGGAAAAAATTGCCAAGAGTGTTTTTCCTGACAGGCATCAAAAGTTCATTACATGCAAAGGGCAATATTTTGAGAAAATGTGAAATGGGACTCTGTGCAATATACATCCATTAAATCTAGGATGTGCTCGTAATTTAATATCTTAAAATGTATTTTTGAGCATACTTCTTATAGCTACACAAAATGGTATTTGTTGATTAATTATTTCATATTTTCAAATTTTTATTCATTTTGATTTGACTGTATAACCTGCCCCGCCCTACCCAAAATCACCCACTTGATTTTATTATAACATCAATATAGTTTTATCAGTCAACATGAAAATTTGTAGAATAATCAAAATGTCTCTGAGCAACATTTACTGAAATTTTCATGGACAAATATCAATTATTGATAAAGTTAAAACATATAGTGCATTATTTCTGGGACAACCGTCGTATACCTCTCAACGGATCAATTAAAATCAGATTTAACATGTTGTAGAACTGAACAGATCGACGCAATAATCAAGGCCCTCAGACAAGTCTTTTATATCTCTCTTCGGGAAACATCGCTATGTACAAAGGATGATCAAAAAGGTAAGATAGAGGGACAAACTGTCTACTTTACCATAGCAATCAAAGTGCTTATGAGTATTAAAACCCTTTAATCTTAGGTCAACATGTATAAGTGTCACGGGTAATAAACCATTCTTTCAAAACAGAAATGGAAGAGACGCAGTCACCCTAGGTCCTTACTGATTGATCATCGCTTGTATCCAGACTCGATTATCAATTCAGTACATTGTAATATTAACATTTATTATTTTGAAAATTACACATACTCTGATCCTAATGCCACAACCTCTTCGGCCATGGTGACTTCAAGCAGAATATCTACAAATAAAAATAAAAATATACATATTTCATAGGAGCTGTGATTTTATAAGAGTTGACAGTCATTGAAATGTTTATTTTGTACGCATAATAACATTTTTTAGTTTCTGGTAATGCCATAATCATTATATTATACACTCATTATACATATACTCATTATGTCAATAAACTGTTAACTTACTTGGCAACAATGTCTTCCACTGTTCCACCAAGGCTGTCTTAAACTTTCCAAGATCATCAATGCCGACAACATTATCCACAATGATAGAGAAGTACATTCTGTATGGTAGGATTATTGTTCCCTGTGCTGGTAAATTAAGTACCGAGTACTTAAAGCCAACATTTGAGGTGACGTCCAGGGTGGTGTAGTCGATGGTATCACCTATGTCAACTCTAGCATCCATGAGCATACCATCTGCATACACTGAGAAGAGAAGTAGCCAACCACTTGGCTCCCTGTAAAATGCATGTCTACACTGTACATGATATTCAGTTGATTTTACTGCCCCCTGTAAAAAGTCTACTGAATTGATTATCATCATTATCAATTCTTGTCATGTGTGAGTGTTTTTGGAGGATATTTTCATGCTTCGTTAATGTTTAAAGGAAAGACTTACCCAGTAGATAATAGCTGTTCCTCAGAGGATCTGATTACTATTTCAACATCAGTCAAATCTGAAAATAAAGATCATGAAACTCAACAGATATGAACCGAGGTAAGATCCAGCTCGTAGATGGCTGAAAGTAGTGCAGTTTTCAATGCGATAATATAACTTTATATTCTAATTTTAAGTCAGTCGGTAATTTTCTTGAATATACGTTTTGAAGGGTAAAGATTAATAGGTGGATTGGATCGAACGAATTGGAGTCATGTAAAGAGTTTTTTGAAGATTGGGAATCGTCAAAATATTTTTAAAAATCTATTAATCTCCCTCTAAGAAGATTGTTGCTCTTCTCACACCCACAATATCAAATAACAGATGTAATATTATGTTACCTGAGTGGACTAGAAGGGTGACCTCTGCTTTTTGAGGCAATTCAGAAACCATGAGGCTGTGCGGCTTACAAAAGTTTATTTACAAAGAAAGCAGTGAAATATTTAGAGTATTCAACAACTAATTGTTGTATGTATTTATTTGCTGTTGTTTTGATCCGATTCCTCAAAGGGACCCAAGTGATCACAAAGTACTTTGTGGAATGGACATATTTCTCAGAGGGAGATGAACAGAAAAAAATCTTAAAATGAATTTCATATTTTGAAGATCCCCGGTTCAATATACACCTTTTACATGAATCTCATCCATTCGATCCAATCCACCTTTTAAATAATTACCTTTTACGGTAATTATTTTATGATTGTATAAGGGGATGTGAATAAAAAGCTTTGCATCATAAAATCAAGACATTGGCGTTGTCTTCCTATTTTATACCTGTTCGTTGAGCAGTCCATATATTTTCCAAATCAGCCTTGAATGCCACAAAATCCTCTTGAAGAACCTTGTGCGATATGTACACATTGTACAGGCCTTCATAGCGGGTAAGGCTGTAATCCCTGAATTTTAAAACAGCATCTTTGTACAACTCTGATGTAGAGGCGACTGATACATCAAGACCATTATTCAGCAAATCAAGCTCTAGCTTCGGTTGAGTGTCAGGGTTCTGAAGTTTCCCCTCAATGTCCAGTGTGTACAAGATCTTCCAAACTACCGCACTATAAAGACAAACAAATAGCATTTGTAAATAACATGTATCACGCGTGTGTATGTAAGAGTTTAAACCGCTTATATATTGTAATACCACACACTCCCATACTATCTTAATATAGTCATCTCAGAACACTCATCTCAGTTTCATTCTAGGATTATTTTCTTACCCATTGCTCTGTATATGGCGTGCTCTCGATATAATATTGATACGAATACCCTGGGCCCCTGAAAAGATAAAAATGGTAAATGAAATTATTATACAAAGTTGTTGATTTTCTTTCTCAGAGATATTTCTTTTTCTTTTTGACGTTTCGTAGGATGTCCATCCTACTTCTTCAGAAATAAAATTATATTTGAATCAAACGTCAAAAATAAAAATAAATATCTCTGAGAAAGAAAATCAACAACTTTGTACATTACTACCAGAGAGATGAACATTCATAGAAGAAATTATTATAGTTTATTAAAGCAGGTGTTGCAGAATTACAGTGCTATTATATATGATTGGTATATTAATTATCTATAAAATAAGATATTGTATTGAATTATGTATCGATAGGAACCTTAATGCAATTACCATTTCATCCACATAATTACCTTTCAGTTTTTTCTGCCAGATACCAAATAAAGCGTTCTCAATTCTTGGAATATCAACATCAAGTATAGGACGAGATAAGAACAATCCAAATGCTGTCTTAAATCTAAAATAATTGGGGCATCGTTGTTAATATACTACATACTCTGAAAATTATTTCTATATGTAAATCGTTGAATTTTTTCTTTTCAAATATTGCCGACTTTGTCTATTTATTTTCTATATTCGAAATTGCCACGTTTAGCTTAAATTGTGGTGGTCATTGGGCTTGCATCTGTACATATTACCCAAGCATGAAGTTGATAGTAATTCTATTTCAAGATGGTATGACATAAAGATTATAAACGTAATCTATTCGAAACTGTCTGTAAATGTTTTAGCACCCTAACATATCACTCAGATGTATTTTAGACTTTCAAAGTATGATAGAAATTTACGCTGTATTACCTCACTGCATCAATGCCTTCTTCCAATTCATACGTCATTTTGAATCTGTCTTTATTATCCTTAAATATCTGTTGTATCTTCGACACGGATATCATTGGCAATTCAGATGGTGATATAATCGTATCATCATAGTAAATATAATAGTACAGCTTCCATACACTGTCACTGAAATAAGTTATAGTAAAATACAATCACTCGCTTCACTAAAAATCAGGTTTGACACCAATCTAAAATAAACAGAAAATAGAAAAAAAAGAAATCAACTTCAATGGATTAAAGATGCTCTTATACGAGGGGTGATTCAAAAGTAATGGACAAAATTTTATAGGCATACTAAATTTCACCCAATCAGTCTAATTTTTTCACAGTGAATAGATCAATCAATTCTCTACTTTGTGTCGAATTCTCATTTAAATGCATTTGAAATTGTTTCAGCTATGCGTAACCATGGTAACAAGGGTAAGCATGGGTGGAATTGGTTTTTAATGATAATTGATCGTTTTTGTCATTTTTGCTTGATTTCGTTTTAATGACTCAATTACCACACATGATATGTCTAACAAGCATGGTAATGCAATTGTCAAGCAAGACTCACATGCCCATGTGTTTGTTGTTGAGTTCTAAATTCAGCAACCAATTGTGCTATGACATCACAATGATATTTCTAAGAATGATGAGTCACAGTGAGTCAGAAAGTCGATCAGACTCTTAGACTCACACACATCCAAGAAATGTCTACTTTACAACAAATCAAAGTAAAGCAAAGGATTGTTATTGAATATTTGGTAGCTACTGGAGAGACAAGGCAGCCAGTTGTCAAGAAAATAAAAGAGACACATGGAGACAAGGCCTTGTCAAGGCAAGCCATTGAGCGATGGTACAAACACTTTAATGAAGGGGATACGAGAGTCTTAGATCTAAAGCGATCTGGAAGGCCCAAGACTGGCCGCACTGATAACACTATTCACCATGTAGAGTCCATCCTAAATGCAGACAGGAGATTGACACTGAAGAACATGTGACAGAAGAAAGTAATTGAACTTGGAGGAGAATACATTGAGGATTGAATATAATTCAAATGGATGATCATCAGGAATAATAAGGAATGATATGGATTATTATTGAACTTACTGCGATATGCTTTTCATATACATCTTGCATTGCAAAATATATTGCACCAGCAAACTTTTCATTGAAAATCCATTTGTTATTATGATGAAAATAGCCTTAAAAATGGATTCCGGGTGTATGCACCATGATCCAAGAGAAGTGCTCTATCTCAAAATGTATTTGCATTTAGTTAATAAAATTTTAACATCGAATAGATAATTGATTAATCTTTATTTGTACAAAGTTTCATTCAAATCTGGTAAAGGTAAGCGTGCCTATAAAATTTTGTCCATTACTTTTGAATCACCCCTCGTATTACAGGCGTGTTGAATAAATTCCATTTCACTATTTTTGTATCGTCTGCTTACCCAGTTGGCAGGAGGTACTCTTCATGATGACCCAACGTCACCATAACGTCGACACCTAAATTAAATGAATGAATAAGAAATTGTTGTATCAATTACACTGGAATATGCCCAAATAAAACTTGATAAATTGTAATACACAACTGAATTATAACATTTATTTAAGAAAATTGACATACCCAATTCGCCGGTCCACATTGTCTGAAGAACACTTTTCATGGTAGCAAAATCATTCTTTCTGACAGCCCATTTCACAAACAACGATGTTGCTTGACTGATTCGTTTCAAATCTCGTCTATCTTCCTTGGTAATTTTTAAAACTGCATAGGGGATGTCATTTGGACCAGTTATATTAAACCTGGCCTGGAGTTCATTAACATTGATATCAACTGTTACCATGGAATCAATGGGTTTGTCATCTATGTCCAAAAAGTAGTTTATGCGCCAGTATGATGACCTAGAAAACGAAAACATTTTTTAAAATATGTCAAATGTTAACCATGTATTCAATTTATAATTTCATGTTTGTGGACATTTTTCGATGATTTTATTTTACTGCTCTACATATGCTTTTTCAATATAGCTTTTGGTATATTGATGTTTATTGGACTCATTACTTCACCCTAGTACTTACCCAGTAAGACTTAAAACCTCTTCCTGGACACCAAGGGTTACAACCACATCATTTTTATCGATCTTGGTATCAGCCGCAACTATCACTTCCTTTATCCTTTCTTTAAGAACCTCTAAATTAGTTCTTGTGACCTCAGAGTTGAAGTATACAGAGAAGCTTTCCTTGGTCTTTCTCAATATTCTCCCCTCTTTACTTATTACTTTGTAAGCCTTAGCAGTAATGAGATCTAATCTTGTTTGCATATCCTGGATGTCAATGTCTTTGCTTGTCCTTGCATCAATATCAATCCCATTTTCAGTCACAAACAAGGAAATCTGCCAAAAGCTTCTGCAAACACATTTAAACTCAAGTTGTATACAGTTTGACAATAATCACTCTTTAATTCCAATACCCTTAGCTGCATAGGGCCGGATTAAATTTAATTTTAACTGTACATATCACACAATTGCTCACAAAAATTTGCCCAATTCAGAAATCTTTGAGTAAAATTATTTTTTGTACTATTATATATAACTACAAGTAAAATAGTTTGCCAATAGCCACCATTTGTCTCTAAAACCCATCTTAAAAGAAAAAATATACGGGCCTTCTTTTTAGCGTCATTGGGTAAATCTATCAATACCAGCTTATCAATACTGTTGGTATTGAGAACATTTTAAAAACCATCAGCAATACTGAAAATCTTCAATTGTATTTGTTCATGAATAGAATAAAATATATTACCTCTCATATGAGACAACCTCTTCAACTGTTCCAAATTCTATAGTCACCTTTGCCGAATCTAAAATGTTAATGATAATCATATACTGCATGGACATTCTGCAAAAGCTTTTAAAGGTGTAATTGTTACATAATCACAAATGTTATACCAAAAATACCTACCCGATTCTTTCCAATAATTCATTATTGCAGTTGTGACATTGTCAAAGTCTTTGAAACCAATGGGGGAGTCCAAGAGCAATGTGAATGCAACCGCCGATCTCATTGGAACATCTGACCCTAGTACAGCTAATGTATAGTTGAACCCAAGCTCACTTGTTACATCAATGACAAGGCCCTTTTCTTGATTAATGGGCACCAGATCTGAGGGACTTAGAACGAGATCTCCAATGCTCAAAGAGTAGATCAACCTCCAGTAAGACTTTCTAATATGCAAACATAAATAACTCATAATGAAAACACAAAGTCAATCCTTAAATGTAAATAAATGAGCTGCAAACTGGGAACACACTTTCATAGTTTGTAGAAAAAATCAGAATTTTTTGGCAAAACCAAGTATAATCAGTTATTTATTATAGCAATATAGAGACCTATTATGGAGACATACACTTAAGCGTAGATATAACGAATCGATCAACTTGCCTATTCAACACAACCTCCTCCATGTCTTGCACTGCAACTTCAAGTTGGGTAAGATCAATATCAATACTTGATTCAGATTGATAACTTTCCTTTAGTATGTCAGCAAACTTGACGTAATCTGCTTCAGCAACCTTTTCAATCAATGTTATATCAAACAAGTCTCTACTTCTCAGGTCAGTGGATAGTGTAGGTCTACATTGACGATTTGAACCTGGACTTATTACATATGAAGCATAATTGTCATTGGCTGTGCCAGAATCTTTAACACCAAACAAAGCAGCTTGGAGTTCACTGGTCGTGAATTCGCCATACACAACCGGGTTGATAATCTGATCATAAATTCTCAAAGAGTACTCAATCTTCCAAACTCTACAACCACTGCAAGACAAATCATTTACTTATTACCCGATGAAAGTTTCTTTTTGAGATGTTATTGTAAAAGGGATTATAAATATTTGAGAGAGACAGCTCTTCAAAATTTTGAAACTGAAATAAACATTAAATTTAAAAAGTGAATATGACAAACTGTTTTACTTACTTTGTTATATATTCGGTGAGACTCCCAAATACAAGTTTTGTAGGCTTGTTCCTCAAATCTGGAATTATTACAATCACGATAGCTTATAGTCAATACTATAATTAGTGTTCACATATGTGTATCTGACCACTTAATCATGGACACACATAAAAGTTGATTGTCTAATTATAAAGAGTTAAGCATTCACAATGAACCACCAAACATTGACAAATGAATCGTTTTAATCATAAAATTCACCAATATATACCTGAGTATTTTGTCATCCAAGCATTTTCAACTGCATCGAGTACATTCTGAAGATCCATGACCAGAATTGCTCTGGAGAAGCTGACATAGAATGTGCGGGTGGAGTCAACCGTGTTTTCCCCGGAAACAATTGTGTAAACATTGTCATATATGTCAACTATGTTGGCATCTGTAACGTCTGTTTGAAGAGCTGCACTATCAAGTTCATTAAGCTTGTTTGGCCCGAGGTAAACAGTCGCATTGTTTTTATTCACAGTTGACACTAGATATATTACCTTCCATATTGACTGACTGGAAAGGTAGATGCATATAAAACAAAACACAAATCATGTTGAACGTAGGTATGATTTATTTACGAAATACAATTTGGTAGTTCACGTTTGTTTCAACTTTATACAAATAATATTGTATTCTTTCTAGTTTCTAGTATTGCCCTTTTTACTACCAACTTAGTATAATTATATACTTACCCAAATTCTTTTATGTGCTCCTCTTGTTTGACTATTTCAACTTCTACATCACTAGAATAACGGTTCCAGTAGGTATTCAAAACAGTCTTCAGTTTGTCAAAGCGATTCTCTTTTATCTTTTTGCTAAAGTAAACTTTATGCAAAGCAACAGATCTTATGTATTCCTGTGTATCAGTTACGATGGTGTATGCTACACCCTGAGGTGAGGTCAACGATGTGAGTTTGGTTCCAAGGGATGCCATGTCTAATGACAATGATGCAATGTCCACATCAGTTGTAATAGGGTAGAGAATCTTATTCGTGGATGCACCAGTTATCGTTAGGACTTCCTCTTGCTTAATTATTTTGATATCTACCCTGTTGTCTGAAAATATTTGAGCCAATTTAATTTTTTCTTTTTCTGAATGATTTTAATTGAATACACAAGGTACTAAAACACTTCGAAATATTAACACATTACGGTTCTACCCCAGACATTTATCTATACATAGTACATGTAGTAATAGTAAATGAATAATATTTATTATTGAACACGTGTATATACAAGTAATTAATCGTCTTACTATAAGCTTTTTTAATGGCAGACTCCAGTGTTTCTATATTATCTGCTGATATCTCGAGGTTGGTGTAGAATGAATACAAAGTAGTATAATCCACAAAGGTAACCCCATCCGTTTGGTCAACTATAGAATATTGTACTTTACTGCTATCAAGCACAGATCTTAACTTGGTGTAGTCAATCGTGCCCATAGTTGATGTATCAACAACTTTGCTCCCAGTATTGATGAAGCAGCCCGCTCTATATACTGTCTGAGTTGTCTCAGCTATCACATATTCATTTTGTTTGAATATTGATAGAGTTACTGAGCCAGGTCCTAAAAAGGAAAATGAATACACTTATTAACTAATTTGATTTCAAATCTATTCATTGTGAAATCTTGCAAATGCATCCATTTCTCAATTAGAATCGACCAAGAGAATGCTAATTCCATCTAAAATAACAATCAACTATAATATATATTCTAACCTGTAACAATGGTCTTAAAATACTCTGCTAGTGAAGCTTGAATATCATCGATATCCATCAATCTCACTTCTTTGTAGAAATATAGATATACAGCAAACTTCTCTTTTCGCAAATTAACAATATCTAGATCTAACGCAGTATATGTTCGTGTAAATGTCAATTTCTGTATTTCAGTGTTAACAGAGCTGATGTCAAATGTGAATGGGTCATCTTCAGGAAGGCTGATGTTGTTCACAGAAATGGATACAAGTAACTCATACACGGTTTCTCTGTAAAATATCAAAATCATATAATGGTTGTTGTAATTTTATTGTGGTCAATAGTCACTATTTACTACAAAGAGAACAAATACTAAACCAGTCATTACAGAGTAATTAAAATTACAAGTCAAAACGAAAAACGAGTCCCTTGTGGACCTGTATATAGAATTATGTGTAAAGTACTATATTATGTGCATTTCCTATAATGTCTACATAATTTGAGATGAGTTAAGGGAATCTAACAATAAATAAAATAATCATATTGAATGAAATCAAGAGTCTCTTGTGAGTATTGAGATGAATACTTACCCCTGAGAGTCAATGTATGCGGTCTGTGTAATAAGCTGCATGGTAACGTCTCCAGCTAAAGTTAAAATGTTAAAAGGTATGTGCAAAATTGATGTATTTTTATGCAATATATTTCTATTTAGCACGTACGTCATAATCTTTTCTACTCCAAATAATCTTCTTTCAACCAATTTTAAAGTCAATTATCTTTGCAGTGTAGACATTTTCTAGATATCATGACCAAGAAACTCAATCTACTTACAGTCCTTTCCTTTCACATATATGTGTGAATAAGTAAATATATCTGAATAAGTAAATGATTCTTCATACTTTACAAAATACTAGGTACAGCATTAAAATGAATGGTCTACCTGTTTGTTTATATGAGTTCACCAAGGCAGTCATCATCACCTGCTCATCTGTCACTTTCAGACTCATGTCTAGATATATTGTGAATCCACCAGGTTTCTTTTCAACTGGTTTTGTAAGTTTTCCTATTGTGACAGGGTCCAGTAATATATCCCCATATGTATCTGTTGGGTCCTTGTTCAAGGTTTGGAGTTTGTCTTTGATTTCCGTGAACTCCAGCTCGGAGTACAGATACTTGTTGTAAGATACTTCATTCAGATGGAACCCAAAGGTTATTTCAAACACAGGTTGACTGGAATGAGATTTCAACAAATTTTCAACTTTTAAAATCTTTTAAAAGAACATTCATCTACGAAATCATCATGATCGATAAATGCATGGACGCATAAGTCCTTTTATAAGAACAGTATGCTAATATCATAAAGCAAGATCACGGGGAGGTTTATCAGCGATCACGAAATTTTTCAGAATAATAAAAAGAAAAACACATTATGCATTTTAACTAAGATGCTTCATTATACCACATGAAATAATGTATCTATCTGTTCTAGCACTGTTTGTAATTAGTCTTTATAATCTTTTTTTGTACTTTCAGAATTTGAAACAATAAAGCTTTAGTTGTTGTTCCCTAGATAAGAATACAATAATTTATATGGCTATATATGAGAGTGTAGTAAATAAATATCATTTATTCTGTTATTTTCTTTGCAATAACGAGACATACTATATCATGAAAAGAAGCCTTATCTCTTATATCGGGCAGATCATCTGATCTCACCACGTAAATATGTTCTTTCCCATTAATATCACCCAATGCTTGTCTTACTCTCCATAATATTCTTAAAGTGCACTTCCTTTTGAATTAATATAATCAAGTATACAACATACCTCTAGAATAGGAAGACCAATATGCAATAGCATACTTACTTTAATGAAGCACTGAATAGTTCTTCCTGGTTAATAATGAAGCATGTTAGTCCACTTGATCCTACAAATAATATCAAAATTCAAGTTACTTCTGCAGCAAAATGACATATTGACCAAGAATTTTCTAGGTCTATGTCACGCCAAAACAGACAGATATAGATAAGACTATTATGATAATTAATATCCGATACAAATATAATGAGACTTTCAAACAATATATAAACAAAAATAGGAGTTAATCACATACCAGCAGTGAGAGAAAGTTTAGTCTCAACAACCCGTACCATCCTATTCTGGAATTCCAGAAGATCAGTTTGAGTGACATAGTCGGACATATACAATTGAGATGTATATCTGACTCTCATTACTTCCCCACGTGTATGTTCAGTGAAGCTGGTTACCAATGTCTTGTCAGTGATAAATGTGGATACAGTGCTTGTGAGTATTGGTAACGGTAGTTCACCAGTTAATACAGAATCTATTTGCTGACTATGAAGGGACATGACATAGAGAATTTCATATTCAATTTTCCTGAAATATAAATATACAATATGTGTTAATGCTACGCCAAATCGTATAAATACACTCTGTCAAATTAGACGTTGGCTCAAGAACTCAAAATTGAGCAAATCGAAAACGATATTTTAGATTCGGCTATGTACACTAATAAAAATAGTTAATTCATATTAGATAATATATGATTATTAATGAGTATTAATGAAATAGATCAAATACCCTGTTGAGATCTCATATACTACATCAACATCATAAACCAGTACTTTGAGAGCCGCTTCTGTAAAGTCTGAAATAACCAATATAGAATCTCACAATGGAAATTGATAATAGCTTTTACAATTTAAGATATGGATGGCGAAGAAAAGTCATAAATCGATTAATTAATTGCATAGTATTTCAAAACAGCAAGACAAAACATTTAGCTACCTGAGTTTGCTTTCAGCCAAGCTAACTTGATCACTTCAGAGTAAGTTTCAAACAAATTAGCATTAACTTCCTCTTTAACATACAAGCTGTAGCGATAGTCATAACTGTATAACGTCAAAACACTCTTTATTGCTGTATATGTTCCTCCCCTGGCACGTGTGATGGAATTGATCTTGGATTGAAGATCGGTGGTAGTGAATGTGGTCAGAGATGCTGCAGGAATTATTTCATCATTTTCACCTTGACATATATAGGTCAGCTGATAATACGCGTATCTAAAATACAATGGAGTATGAATTAAATCGGTTCTGCAATTCAAGAAATGGGTTCTGCAATTTTAAGAGTCAAACTCCATCTTTTTTCCTAGATTCAGGAGGGGTGGATCAGATTAATACATAAGTTCAAATTACAGATACGATTATGAAATTTCCATTGTTGCATACAAATAATGATTCGAAATCGTTAATTATTAGTGCAACGTTTTCCTCAGAAGTTGGTCTCATTTTTTCTTTTTACTTACCCTGTTGTTACTACCTCTCGCTGCCTGCGGATAGTTACGGTCAATGATGAAAAACCTAGAATAAAATTATTAAAAAAAACTCTGACGCTAAACTATAAAAATATAAAAATATCCAAGTTCACAATATCGGCAGAATTTGATACGAACCTCTTTTCTATAAAATGCCACGTTTTTATCACAAACAATTTCATCTTACATCGGATTATGCCTCTCTTATCCAAATAATTTTTTTGGTAAATTTCTCACCTGGATTTAGTTGTCTTAGGATCTCCTCAAGTTTACTTTGGAAAACCACATAATTTGCATCTTCAAGCTGAGCATTTAATACGACATAGAGCTCATTGGAAATATCAATCACTTCAGACCTGTCCACAGCCTCAATTGTTAGCCCCGCATCAGTAAAATTAGAGTTCAAAGTCACTACATCAACCTGGGCCTCATCTCTGGCATTGACAACCATATTGTCTTGGTACAGGAAGTATTTCAACTCAATCAAATGTCTGAAGAAAAATTATCAACTGAATAAAAATAAGGATGCGCATTGGGTAAGCTTTTAAGTGAAATAAAAATTAATTGATTCGTGTTCATTTGATAAAATGTCTATTGCGGAACAAAAATATCCAGTATAAATATATGAAAATAGATTACCTGGACAAGCTCAGAACCTCGAACTGACTGACTATAGACACGCGTGTAACTGTAGCATCTAAAATAAATAATAAATTAATGAGAAAACAATTTCCCAAACATACTTACACGTCGCACGAAACTGGGGACAATTAGAGTAACATTATGGCGTAAAAATACCAAACAATACAGTGGGCAGTATAGGGCGCAATCAGCATTATAACGTCAAAAACGACAAGCGTTACATTTTGTCAATTTTAGTCAACCTAGAAATAAGATGCTTTATTCTTATTCAATCCTGGTAAAATTCACAGAGCAACAAGATCTCGAGGACAATATTTCTAAAATGTTTTTGATTTTTGAAAAACGGTCAGGAAATCCACTTGGGGCGTTAGCAAAAATTGATATGTATGAGATTTGTGGTAAAAATCGATGCGTTACATTTTTTCAAGTTTCTAAAAGCAACTCTTATTTTCTTATTATTTGAAGAATAAAGAAATCGGTTATTGTTTTGTAAATTTCGCCATGACAATATTGTGCAGTTAAATTTTTTTTGAAATCAGACCTAAATTAGGAGGTTAAATAAAGGTAAACTTATTGCTTGTCTCCTTCGCCTTCAAAACCTTACACAATTTTGAAAATTTTAAAAGCGTTCATATAAGACGATTTGAACTGTAGCCGCTAGACAATTGTGACGTCATAAAAGCACATGTTTCAATGAATAAAATGTGAAATTTTAGCAAAATTCTGATCAGTATTTCAAAAGTTATCCCGAATTCAACGAACCGTGTAAGCATGGAATGTTACGTCTTACAGCGTATTTGACGATGTCGGAGTACATTTAACTTTAAAAATATGGTAGATCTCATCAAACTTTTCAAGGAAAAATGATTTCAGTGAAATGCGAATAAAAAATACTTCAAAATGATATATAATGCACATAGTTAGCTTTTTAAATAAGGCAGATATCAACGCTTAAAGCTGAGATTAGCCTGTATTTTCCGAATTGTCCCCAGGTCCGTGCACGTCATAACTAGTATTTTGAAGCTAGGTGCGCTATTTCGTTGATTTATGTGTGTTTATTTTTGCTTTCCCTGTACTTTCCATTGCTTATATTAACGAGATCTTATTTGTCTTTCTTGCAGATAAAATGCACCAATCACTATATTACTAACTATACAAATGTATAATGTAGGATCTGTATGCTTTTCTAAAAACAAAGCTCTTACCTGTAGTATGATAATCTACAAGAGCCTGTGTTAAAGCAGCAATGTCACCTGGAAGTACCTTGGCTGTCAGAACCACTGTGAATGCAAAGTCAAAGGACACCAATTGGTCGATTTGAACCTGCAGTAAAGGTTAAATATAATTAACATGAAATTACACCGAGAAGCATCACTAACATTATAAGAAAGTTTACACTCTACACAAAACAAAACACTCTAGCATTTAACAATCCAATCAAGTACTAGATAGTACTAGATAGTTCTTACTGAACATCTTTATCCAGACTGTATAATTTAAACAACAGTTGACTAACATACCTCTGTGATGACAACGTTTTCAATAGTCATTTTGTTGAACTCCTCAGTTACGCTAATAATGTTGATATTGGGGTAATCTTGGTAATCCAGAGGCTGGTCATCTACCTTAATGATTGTATCTACCCTAGAGAGCCTTTGCCTTCCAAACATAATGTATATACTTCTTTCAAATTGTGTAATTGCCAATTGTCATGTTAAGTTTATGTCATGAGCATTTCATGGATATGCCAACATCGTTTAGTATAAGTTACATAGCTTCGGGACATTGAATACATTGTTGTTTGACCAATAAATGTTCCATTGCTATAGAACCAATATCATGGAAATATCAAATATATACTACTGTACTATCAATAAAACAGTGTTGAGCTATCTCTGACCCAAGTCCTATTGAAAAGATATTTTGATCAGTCTATTAAACACCCATTTGACATTTGTACTGAGATAGTCTTATCGATTTGGTGGTGATGAATGAAAGAAAGGTAAAGGAGAGTCGATATTGGCATTATTACATACCCAGTAGTTTGGACGATCACAGGACCCTGTCTGATAACACTTGTATCCAGATTCGAGCCTGCAAGCTCTGGATTGGCATTTTTTACATCATTGCTGATAGCCTGAGCAAGATTTCCATATTGATCAATAGGAACGTCAGTTGTTGTTGCAAGACTGAAGGCTGCCGTCTCATCAATAACATTTTCATCAACATCAATTGCCCACTCAGCAAATGAAGGTAAATCATCGCTTCGTCTGATAGTACGAAAACAAAGATCTCATTGTTAGGATCGAGCATGAAGATAATAATAATCAAATGTCATTTATGTTCAGAATTTGACAAGTATACATACTTTTGTCTGAATCTGTCCAAGCTTCCTATAGACTGCTTGAGGCCAGATATAACACTGTTCCAGTCAGCAAATGTTATCGTTGGATAAAGGTCTGGTTTAAAAACATTAGTACCATCCTTGAATACTACCACTACCTTGTATACACTTGCACCGAGGGACCTAAAGTAAAATAGGACATGGGAATATGAACTTCAGGTTATTAAAGTTCATCATTTACATTACATTCTTTGAAACGACAACATTTGATATAAGGTAATTCTATTAATCCTACTCACCCTTGATTGTAACTAATACCCCGTATTTGACTCACAATTTCACATTTGATATCTAAAAAATAGCAAATCATCAATTAGTATGTGAGAATCCATTAAAAGCATAGTGTGGAACAAATTGCAAAATAACACAAGGGAAGATGTGAATCTGAATACTGATATTTACTAGTAAGGGTCTTACCTTTCAAGTATGATAAACCATTTGCTTGTGACAATTCATTCAACTTTGCAGCTAAAGCATCTTGTATCACCCCAATGTCATCAGAATCAATCTTCAAAGTCTTCAAATAAAGCGTCACTGTATCTCTTGAATTGATTTTAGCTGCTGATTTTTCCAAAATTTGGACATCAGTCATCTTCACAGTCTTGAAGTTAATTTTACTGCTGATGAGGCTATTTTCAATATCATCAAGGTTAGTTTTATCCACAGGTTTGCCATTGACCTTCACACTGTATAGAACCTTAAACATGACTTGCCTGCAAAGAATATCAACGGAGTCACAATGACAATGAGAAATACAGAGTATTATGAATTAGTATGAAAATATTGCACTGTTCACCTAAGTGAAAAATGCAATTATTGTACTCATGAATTGAAATGTACAAAAGAACATTTTGTTACTTAGTTTTAGCTTACCCAATGTTATCAAAGAACTGCTCTTGTTTCACTATTGTCACTTTGGTTGAAGATACATCGAAACCTAAATATAACAGAATGTCAGTAATCAGCGGAATCATTACAGAAACTTCTTAAGATTAAATCATTAATAATTGGCCTCTTACTATGACTTCTATGATTATAACATGTTTATAATTAACATAATATAATAAAAATTCTTTACATTGCAAAGTTTTGGCTATGATTGAATAGAATTTGATCATACAAAGTAGTCCAATATCATTCCTGACACTGATAGTGTGAAACTTCTTTATAAGGGTAATTAAATGGTTGTTTTCTGTTGCAACATTTGTACCTGCATTCTTTTCCAACCACGCCTCTTTTAGAGATATCTCGAAATCCGGCATCTGTTTCTTAATGATTTTGTGCTTCAAATTGACATCTATCTGCACATCCCCTTGGTACACATTTGAGTCCGATGCATCTGCAAACTCATATTGTCCACTTGGTGGCAGGACATTCAATGATGTTACAGCATCATTTAACTCAGTTACACTTGGAAGCATTATCACTGTCTTATCAATGATATTGCCAGTTGTAGATTCATCTAGATAATATGATATCTTGAAAGATATGCTTCTGAAAATATAGCATTTTATTAATTACAATGTTTCAATACTGGATGCTGGATATTGATGGAACAATCAAAGTTGCTATGTTTCCTCACATGTATTTAGATCAATGCTTGGGATATTTGGAGCTAAACTTTTCCTTATGACTATATGTACTCGTTCGTGTTTCATGTTCATGCTCTATTTTTTAACACCTTTTGATACCTTCCCTTGGTACATGTGTATACATATCAAACTAAAACAATCAGTGTTTGCTTAAAATTCCTACCCTGTTGCCGTTATGACTTCTTTAACACTCCTTATGTTGACCCGCAGCAAGCTAGTTTCAATAGATGGACTTTGTCCAGTGATGATAGCCTTCCTTATAACATTGCCGATTTGTTGGAACTTTGTTTCATGAATTGCTTTGTTCAGTAGTAATTCAAATACTTGGTTATCCTTTATGACAGTAGTTTGTTCCTTGTCTATTGATACATATTGCTTCTTGGAGGCTTTGAGTATTGCATTAAATTGAGTGGTGGATACTTCCAATTCGTCCGATGTCTTTTCTATCATGGTGTCAGATGATATGAAGTATGTAACTTGATTTACCACTCTATAACAAAACGATAACCAATTATTCAAAAGTTAAAACATTTTTATCGGCGCAACATTCTTCTTTGAAATAATTGCATCAATCACATATATTATACATATCTATCTGTCCCATTATATTGACGACATTAGGGAAACATTCTAATAACGTCAAAATCCATATAACCAATTAAAATACAAAGTCGGTTGATATAAGAAACCACATGTATTTAAAGTTGATATAAAAACACGAATGCATTACACATGAAAACGTATTTGATGTAATCCTAACAATTTACATTCAACAATGTCAATTATATCCCACCTTGTCGTGGTTAGTACTTCCTTCTGCATGGCGATCTGTACAGATAAATCTAATCCTAAAATATAAAAATATTCCATATACAATCAAGGAATGATTTAATGTTAAGAATGAGAAACATGTATATGCAAATAGGTTTCCGAAGCACTGAAAAAGCTGTGTAAAGTTATATTTTGATGAAACATGAAACACTTACCTAAACTTTCCTTATAGTATTGAATCATTGAATTCTCTATACTGGTTCTATCTACTTTAGGTATTTTAGATGTCAGCAATATTTTGAAAGATGATGACACATCTTTCAGTTTTGTTATATCAACATTTGCAATCTCAAGCTCCAAATCTGTTTTAGCTATTTCCTGTTTTAACACATTTAGTTCAGATGATTGCAATGCCACAATATGCTCAAGACGTCCAGATGTTGTCTCCAATGTGAAGCTAAACTTCACAAATGTTAGGCTAAAATAAGAACACAATAATTTGGTTAGTAAGAAAACGATAAAATACTATTGAGCCTTATGGTTTGTGCGTTCTCAATCATGATCATCAACAATATATAAAATTAATTGTAAACATAGGATCTCAGAACATGTCTTCTAACTCACCCAAACTGATCTATGAACTCTTCTTGTTTTAAGTTGTCCACAATCACATCCTTCTTGAAACGTTTTTCACTCCTCGTCTTTATGATATTGACAAATCGTTCACTTTCATTTGCAATAAGTTTTTTGGTGATAAAGAACGACACAACATCCTCCATTTCAACTCTGGACAGGGGACCCAACAATGTTTCATCAACTAATAGACTTGCGTATGTTGTTTCCAGGCCCGAGATCTTTATATCCTCAATAAGTGTATTGTACATGTCATAGGTAATGACTCTGTATGCACTGGTATCTATACGATTGCCATCAACAGATACAGTGTAAAGTACCTTGAAGACGGACTCAGTAGTTTTCGTAAGGAACTGTTGTTGGTTGACGATCTTGACAGTTACATCACTACCTCCTGTAAACAATATAAATATTAGTTATGTCATACTAGTACATGTCACGTAAATCAGTAATTAAATTTGTTCAACCAACTGCAAGATAGTATGTTTTTCAGGACCAATGAGAAAATAACAGTTAAAACACCTCGTTTAGGCGTTATAGCAAGTATAATGAATGGGTTAATAAGGTTGAGAGATTCCTGAATGTTGACGTTATGTTGTTTGACTACGGAGTTGTTTTAATTCAGTATATCCATGATCATCTTTCACTAAGTATACTGCTTACCTGTAAAGTCTTGCCACATTGATTTAAGTGAGAGTTCAATGGCTGGTCGATCTTCCATCAGTATTTTTGTCTTCAAGGCCAATGCACTAGTCATCATTGCAGTCACTGTTCCACTTACATTAACGCTTATATTCAACCTAAAGGTTGAACATAAATACAATTAGAAAGTTTATTGAAATAATCAACATATCGAATAATTCATTAGAAAGGCATACACTAATTAATCCACATGATACAAAACAAATATTATAAATATAACCCTGAATCATAATCAAAACAAACTTACTCTGGTAGTTTTCCAACAATGTTCGATATAACCATACTGTCGTCCTCTAGGCCTCCATCAATGATTTGACCATCAATTGTCAGGAAATAATCCAAAACCCACTTTGTATCTCTATAAATTTGACATATAATGAGTTTAAAATCAATATTCATTCATTTATGTGATATCCCTAATTGACACTAATTATAGTATAATACCTGGTAGAACAATTTGCTTGACTTATGATACCTTTAGAAATAAGAAAGTATTTAATTTACCCCATGTCAGTAATAACTTCCTTCAGTAGTCCCCGTTTGATAACAACTACTCCTGCAAGTGAAGTAAAAACAATAGTGTGTTGCATATGCGGATTGTATATATTGGTTGATAATTATAACATTTGTTGGACAATGTTGATCTCTAGTCACAATGTTGTTGTTTTCTACACATACTATACCTATTTACTCAACTGGTTCCCAATTCAGATGGGAATATATAAAGTACTAAACATGTAAACAGTAATACACATGCAGTATACGATTGAGTTACCTGTTTTAATAGCAGACCATGCCATAGTAAGTTCCACTACAACTCTTGTCAATTCAGATTCATCAAGCATATTATCAAAGTACACTGCTAAACGTTTCTCAACCGATACAACAATTTCATCATCACTACTTATTAATTTGTAGGCTTCCCTTCCAACCGGGGCATCAACTGATATCACAATATCATCTATTGTAATTGTATCCAATGTCGATGTCAATGTCTTCATTTCAGCCACAACATCACAATTTGAATCGTTTTGCAGTGACAATGTATAGGATAGTTTGAATACGGATTTCCTGTAATATGATTAAAACATCAATCTGTCTAGGTACTTTGGTTTGGTTGATGAATAACGTTATTTCTCTTTTAGTATCATAGTTGTACATCGTCAACAAGTTAATTGAATAATAATATCAATCCGATCGCTTTACTTTGCTGCTGTTATTCTTATCATTAATATATTGCCGTCCACAATTGTTTGAAGAATTTCAAACAAGATTTAGGTAAGAATATTTAAAAATTGCACTTACTTAGTAGTCAGCATAAATGCCTCTCTTTGCTTAAGAATATCAACTGTAAATGTGCAACTGCCTGGAATATAAAAAAGCTGATTCGTCACAATAAAATTACTTCGGATAGACTTCGAACAAACCCTGATACCATACCATCCAAGGTATTCGATTACGAATTTACAGAAGTACAGAAGTACAGAAATGTTCAACATTTTGGAAAATAACAGCACTTCTTGTTACCTTTACTGCACCCTGTATTTTATTTTTATATGGTATTTAATTTAGACTTACCGCTATACTTCGCTAACAGTGCTTTGTGTATGGCTGTTTCAAAGCCTGCCAAATTGTTCTCAAGTACTCTGTAGTTGACAAATACAGACTGCATGCTGTTTGTCCTTGCCAAAGACATCTTGGTCGTGTCAACCAAGTTGAACTTAACTCCAGAGGAAGTCGTAATGCTTAAGCTGGCTTCAAGCTTTTTAAAATCCACAGGGAACTCTTCTGACGAATCAACAACAACATTGTTCCGAGTAACGAAATACTTGAGTTCAGAATAGGATTCTCTGCAGAAATGAAAGGTCAGAATAATGATATGTTTTATAGTTTTATGACTCCATTTAATGCTGACTTAAAGAAACATTAAATAATTAAATTATTACACTTACTTGGTTTCACTATTCACAACCTCAACTTGTTGTATAATCTGAACTGCTAGATGTTTACTTTCTGTGCTTTCCTTTTGGTAATAGTTTAGAATAGCCATTTCAATTTCTGATTTTTCTTTGATGGTTACTTTCCTATTAAGTGTTAGACTGTATGACTTAGACAGTTCACGGATCTTGGTTGTATCAACTTCCAGTACAGAATAAGTCAGATTCTTTTCAACAAACTTCTCACGTATAACTGTAGAATTAATTTCTACAGATAAACTAGAAGAAATAACTCCAGTTGCCGTTGTGGCAATGAACCTAACAACAGTGGCTGTGGTCCTGAAAGCAGAAGTTATATGATGTCCAAATCAATGGTAAACATGCATCATTGATCTAGATTGCTACCTTTTATTTTGATACGATATTTTATATTTCAAGAATGATATAATATTCTTCTTGATATAGGACGTGATTCAAACCATGTGCAATTCATTGGGTTCTGGATTTTAACAGTTTATCGATAAACATTTTCTGTGCAGATGTAAAATGTTCTGAATGGAGCAAATTTAAATAAAACATACCCTGTTGAAGTTATGACTGTGCTTTCACTGACTATTTTCAATGTTACTTCTTCTTTGATATCATCTACAAAGTAAATAAAATACACGACATGACACTAATACGGACACATGCTCTTGATGGGGCTACGTATGTTAACAGAAATATTTAAAACTAGTTATTATGTTAACTTACTTGATTCCTTGATGATCTGTGCAAATGTTTGTTCAACAGTAGTTTTGTCTTTCATGTCTATTGTTGTATCAAGCGTGATGCTGAATGTCTGTTTCGTCTCAGAAACAAAGCTTGAAACTGATGTTTTGTCAATCAAATAAGACAAGTATGAGATAGAAGAACTTGATATCATAACATCCGATAATACTGTCTGTAGTTGGACGTGTGTTAGCTCTCTTATGCTGTTTGGGTGTATGATTTTGCCCATTGAATCTTTTATTACGAATGCAACTTTTACAAATTCTCTGAAATAATAAAAGCGATATCTTGTAATGTTTTCTCACAACCTAATTTACAACTCAATGAAATCGAAAATGTTGAGTGGTTTCTCTAAGCTTACAGTCTCTCGAATTCATTCATTGGCTGTCAGCTGACAATTTGACCGTTATTATTATGGTCAACTCTTGAAGATCTAAATAGTACCTGCTGCTACTCATATTCATATTAACATGAGTTGGTCATATATAAGCAATTAAATCGTCAACCGACAGCCAGCGATTGATTTAGTGAATGCTAGCTTATGACATGGTACTTGTATATATGATATATGACATTTACCTTTCAGCCATTAGAGCGATTTCACTTGCTACATAATTGATCTGGGCCACAACAGCGACATCAAAGGCTGAAGCATAAAGAAATATGAATATTACCTTTACAGCACTGTACTACTTCCGTAAACCGAGTTAATTTATCCTTGTAAGAGTAATATAATATACAGGCATGTAAACTTACAATACAAAGACTTTAATTTCAAAGTAAAGCTTGTTAGATCCTCTTTGAAGATTTTCCTTCTCAGGTATACACTCTGTGTTAGGTCATCTAATACAAGTTTGGTGGTGTCCACATCCAAGATTGTGTACAGGTTGCCTTTTACTGTGGTGAAATCAATTGATTTCTGGATTAGTGACACATCTGGAGCCAAAATGGTTACTGAGCTCTGTAGTTGGTCATCAAAGGACACAAAGTAAACTAGATTCCACTTAGAAGAGCTGAAATAGATCCAGGGTGATTAAATAACCAGAGGCATAGACATACCTTAAAATCAACTGTATATACAGGGTGTGCCCAAAAATTGCAATTTTTTTTAAAAGGCTAGAAAAGTATCATAATATTAAGGTATTGGCATAAAAGATTATTTACAGAAACTTAGGGCTAGGCATATTTTACCTTTCAAATACTAAAGCTAAAACTGACTTCAATTTTTGTCAGATTGGAGCAAATACAGAAAATGAACATTTACTTACCCATCGATGTCAATGAACCTTTGCTGTGTGACTATTTTAACATCCAAAGGTACATCCATTTGAAAATCCATGAAGTTTGTCCAGACCTCTATTAACGATTTCTCAAATTTGACATAATCTTGAACCGCTACTTTAGATCCGATGAATAAGTCGAAACGCTGCTCGTATGGGAATGTAATATTTATACCAGGCACAATGCTATACATTTCTCTTGGACCCTCAATATTTGCTTGAGCAATGGATGTGGTAATCTCTCCAATGATACTGGTAATGTCAAATGCAATGTCTGTCAATGGTTTCGCTGTGAAAAATAACTTCCAATACATGGTTCTGCAATAGAAAATCATAATAATTTCAATAAATGTTTAAGGACAATGGATTGATATTTCTTTTTCCGTTTTCAGAGGGGGTTAAGCATAATGCTGTCAACAAATATTGCATACACCAATTATTTCAAGAAGATGTAACTCAATCATTTATCTCTAAATAGTAAGACACTATAATATTTGAATCCTTACCCATCCTTCAATAGGACTTGTTCCTGCTTGAGAATGAATACATTGAATATAGATCCAACTAATTTCTTTTCAAATGCTGATTTTATAGCAACTTCAAACTTGGAAAACATTTCCATTGTGACAAAATTGTTCACCACGATACTATGTGTTTCTGTAACCTTTGTTATATTCACACTGGTCGATTCAACCAGCTTGAGTGAAGTATTAGTTGCTGTGATATATGTTTGGATGACAGATATATCAGGGGCTGGTAATTCATCAGGTTTGATAATTTTGTCACCACATTTTAAAGTATAGCTGATCTCGTGAAGCGATTTCCTGAAAGCAAAATATTATATTTTATGCCAAATATACTAGATTAGTATAGTACACACAATGCAAAAGGCATCAGCATTTAAACTGCTAAATAAAGACAGTCGGTGTTTTGTGTTGTTCAAAGATATCAGTTTCAATGCCTACTTTACCTGTTGTTATCGACAAACTCACTGCTTCCGATAAATTTCACGTTGAAACAACTTGTGTCTGAAAGTTAAAAAAGAAATACATAACGAAGCAGGACGACTTTATTAGGATATACTCCAAAAGTAATAATTAATAAAATTCTAATTTAAAATTTTGCTTTTCAGAGGTTGTAATCAGATAATGGAAACATCCAGGAAAACATAACAAAGATTCCATGGTGAACAATAATAAATATCAGTTCATGAATAATATACGTTTATACCTATATATCTTATTAATTGTTATATCGTCTATCAACACTTCAGTTGATAGAGAAAATCATGCACAAAGTATTCACCTTCTCTTGTACACTGGAACAAGTTGAATCCATCACTATCTACCACCATATCATCATCCACCTCATTTAAGTAATATTCATGAAGGACACAGTTCTGTGTGCTTTGCATATAGTTGAATGCTTTGCATGTTGGGTCCATCTCACATACAGGTTTACACAGTTCATGTGATGCAATACTTGGAATGTTTCGCCCAGCCAGTATAAGAGTTCTCTTTGTTTCTGTCCAACTGACACACTCTTAAACAAGATAAGAAATGTGCAAACAATGTCTGACCAATGTACTAAACAACACAAATACCAAACACTTTGATGCAATAAAAAGATAAATTGAATCGAAGATTTCCTTCTGATAGTTGGACATATTTAAATGATCTCTCTTACGTCCATGCATTTGTTATGGCATTTTTGTTACATTAACATACGATCATTACCTGCATTTGCTTTCTTATGGTATTCCCGTAATGCCCTTTCTATTTTGATAACTTCTGTAACATCTATCTTCGTAGAGAATCGTAGCTTGAAAGTACTTTCTGATGTTACAACACTTGTTGATTCAGTCACAACAACTTTTAGAGAGTCGAGGCCAACTTCTGTAAGCTTTTCCTTCAATATTTCTACATCTATCTCTGTTGTTATTACAGTATCCGTTACCAGCGTTGTGTTCGACTGGATTGCCACTGAGATCTTGACAGCAGTTAAGCTGTAAATGTATGAAATAAATAAATTAAATAAATGCCAAGATGTTTCTGCACTGAAAAGTGTAGTTCCTACAAAAAGTAAGTTTTATTGCAGAGCGCAACATTGGCATTTACGATATCATTTGGACTTGAGACCATAATGTTTTGACGGGACTCTGTCTACAAGCTACTGACCAAGTTCACTGCTGATAGCTATTAGCGACTTAATACTATGTATTCAGGTATTCTTACCCTCTCTCTATTTTGACTTCTTCCTGCTTTAGCAACACCACGTCAAACTCACTGGCTATAGAAACTAAAAAATGAAAATAGCAAGTCTATATAATAAACAACAAAATAAACATATATATATAAATGAGCAGTACATTAAATTCAAATGGTTGCGTCTTTACTACTCTCAAATTCATTGATAAAAGTAATATCATAAATATAATATGAAACAGCAATCTTGTAGTTAAAAGCTACACGATAAACAAACTTTATCCTTGTTTTCATAATACTGCTTGATTGTGACTATTATAAAATAATAACGTACTATTAAATTGACTTCTGAGCGTTTCTTTGACAGCTCTAACGAAGGTTATCTCATCTGTTTTCTGTACTTTTGTAGAGATAACAACTGATAAGATTGACTCTGAATTAAACGTTTCCTTGACATCTCGAACGACTAATGCACCATACGACACATGTCCTCCAGTTACAAAAACGCTTTGGAGGGCCAATGTAACAACTGCTTGTAGTGTATTGTTAGCAGGTACAAATGTATTAATGTCCTTATCCTCAGATCGGATTTTGAGAATGACTTCAGTGAGTGTTACCCTGAATATATACAATGTTGAAGAACTATTCATATTTTCAAAATGTTTTAAATAAATAATCTGATCAGTTTACACAGTTTATATCAAAGTTTGAAACCCAAACAATATCATTGGCAAAAAAACTAAACACAAAATTGGTTAAAATCAGTCATATAATAATTGCTCTGAAAATGTATGCATAGTCCTCATGATTAACATTACAAGCTATTTCCAAAGTTTCCACTTTATTTACTATAATGCATACACTTATTCAAATCATAATGTATTGGATTTACCCTGATTTTGTGACAATGATGTTCTGTCGTAGTATTTTCACTTCCAAGTCACCTGCAAATTAATAAAAAATGCCAAATTATGGACGCCTTAATTTGTCAGAATTAGCAGCGTAGAGTTCATTCCATATATCTTACCAAATAATAGTTTGAATTGAATAGTAATATATATTGTACTAATACAATTGTATAATTGTCAAATTTTCTTTCGTTATAAACATACTTTTGTTAGACGATCATGCATATTGCATTATGTAAGAAAAATACACATAAAGGATTACTTACTATTCTGCATGTTAAACGACCCCTTGATTAGTTCCTTAACACTTGTCTCAATCCTTAGAATATCTACATTAACAATCTTCTTGGATAATATGAATTTTACGACCGACGAAGCTGAAATTATTTCCTTTGTAAATTTGATGAATTTGAACTCCTCCTGGGTTGTTGATGTAAAGTTAATATATTCTTCAAGTTTTTCATTGGATATTGTCTCTACAACCCCAGAGTCTATCACAAGGTCATTGACAGTGATGAAGTAAGTAATCACCAAAACTGAGTTCCTAAAATAAAAAAAATATTGAATCAATTTGCAAAGGGGATATATAAAAATATTGCCAAAATCTTAGAGCTTTATTGCTTCTTGTAAGGACCGATCCCTCAAATTCGTTTTACAGGAATGGCATATGTCAACTAACATACCCTTCTCCATCATAATATTCCTCTTGCTTTACAATTGTCACGTCAACATCAAATTGGGGGAAATCTAAAGCATATAAATGTATACCTGGATGGTAAAATGATGGTTTCTAAAATACATAAACAAACAACGATCACATCATGACAATATTTATAAATATTTATACCAGATGTCTTTATTGGATAACCATGTAGTTACTGTATATCCAACATCAGGAAGTCGAATAGCTTTTACATCTATATTTAAATTTCAGATTATGAATATGTATATCTTAGAAGTAAAATATATCACATTACTTGTCAATTTCAACTTCATGCCAAGCTGCAGTGATTTCGTAAACTCCTCAAGCAGTTCATCCTGCAACCTCAGAGTTGATACGAGTGTAAACCTCCGATTATACTGATAGACTGGTCCAGATGATACAAGATCTACCGCTGTATACAATGAAATAGTGAAAAACTCGTCAAGCTTGGCTTGTAGTGTAATGATGTCTAGTTTGGAATTGAGGTCTAAGGTATGTATTAAACTGTCATCGGATTGTATCTTGTAAAGTACCCGAGTCCCAATGGTTCTGAAAACAATAATATAAATATATCAAGCATGACTTTTTTCCAAAATAAAGTAAAGGTCGGGTGATACGTCAACTTTATAATGATAGCTTATCATTTTCAGCTAACATGTTTCTATCAAAAAGTGTAGTCTAATCAAAGTAAAATTCAAATTACATCCCTGATAGAAGTTTATTTATTTAAGTGTGATGATAAATACTATACCCGGTAGTAGAGATGACCTGCTCACGAGCCAAAATGTTTACACTGAACATAATGGCATTTAGACCTGCAAATTTACAGTATGGAATAAACTTTCATGTACACTGTACGTAATCAAGGTAATTGTATCGTCTTGTGAGGATCAAAATTATGCATCAATTCGAACTTTATGTTTAATTCATTCACTGAAAAACTAATAACAATTAAAAAGTATATTCTTACCAACATTGGTCTCTAAAAGTGCTGCACGTATGGCACTCTTCAAGACAGGAATGTCAGTATCGAGGACATGCGTGGACAAATCAATATACCAAGCATCTTTATAGTTTATTGTATTTCTGATATCAACATCAGCAATAGTGAACTTGTCCTCATCGATGTAGACTTCTAGATCTGATTTAATGATTGCAGGTTCCATACGAACATCTTTTACAATGTTATCACATCTGACCAGGTAGTACACATTGAACACTGGGCCACTACGAAGTTGAAGAAATAAAACAGTTTCATAAAGTATCATGAAAGCTTTTTATCAGTGGGTTATTCATTCGTTTCATACATTGTTTTGCTTTCTCCGACGCAAGAGGGGGAAAATCCCAGGGTTCAAAGATGACGTACGTATTTAATGTAAATCTGTATTGAGATGACCCACCGTCCTGTTTGGTCCAAATCGACAAACGAAAATGGCGGATTCAAAAATTTTAAATAATGCTTCGAATAATATTATTATTATTAATTAATTTCTGGCGTGTTAAATAATATCATAGCTTGTTATTTCACATCAATATAAAGAAAGCTGTAAGGAATATGCCTGCATCGATCAAAATATCACAACGACGTGTTATATTTAAAATCTAACTTGTGAAAATTTGCCCAAACGAAGGTGACGTAACGTTATGTGTCTATCATCGCTAAAGCTCTAGGGGTCCCCCTCCTCTTCTCCGACTCACTATCAATACAATTTCATTGATGCGTGAGAGGTAAATATGACTGACAAATATGCCAACTAAATTCTAAATACTTGAACTTACAGTGCATAGTCCACAAGTTTTTCTTCTTGCATGATGAACTTTGTGTTAAGACAATCATTCGCTAAAAATAAATATATATTATTTATTTTGTAATTATCGTGTGTGGATAAATATTGACCCTCGTTGCTAAAATAGATATAGTATATATGTTGTAATTATTGTGTGTGGATAGATGTTGACTCTCGCTGCTCTAATTTACATATTTGAGACAATACAAATTACAACATTTAACTGCATTGTTGGTCCTCAAATGCCCATTTCCTTTAAGGTTGGATTATGATTTGGGATAGTTTGGGTTTGTTTTCCTTTCTACTGATGCACTCTTAGATTTTTTCTTTTTCTTGATATTTTCTTAACAATTTTCGGTTTTTCCCCTTTGTCCTCGCAAACACATATTCATATTTGCATACATACCTGTCTCTTGACACACATAAATATTGGTTCCTTGCTCAGCTTCAACATTAGTCGCAAGAAGGTCGTCAAATACTTGGCTATACAGCAAACACTGTTTGTCGTTGGCACTGTACACAAACAGCGTGCACCAGTGCATCGCCATGCATTTATACTGGCACAACCACATTGTCTCTTCTTCACTGGTCTCATTCATGGCACTAGTAATAGCCAGGTCTGCCTTAATATCCCACTTACACTCTAGATAATTAGGGCAGAAATAGTTTTAGTAATTGGTTAAAACGATACTTTCTTTTTATTATTATTTATCAATTCCAAAATCACACCGGAATAGCCTGACAACGGTAAAGTAAGATACCATTGTCACAAATGGCGGACATAACCATCGCTTCAACTGACAACGGCATATGGTAATTACAGTGTCAGTTGTCCCGTATCTCATTTTGATCGGTTAAATTAAAGACTTTATTTCGATGGCAAAACATTATTAACTGTACAATGAGTATTAAGACACTTTGATTGATTGTTATTCCAAAAGAATTTAGTCTAAGTGCTCTATTAAACATACAGTACATGAAAATCTAATTGAAGCGACGGTTATGTCCGCCATTTGTGACAACGGTATCTGACTTTACCGTTGTCAGGCTATTCCGGGGTGAAAATAGAATTAAATGAAACTTCAAATAATCTTGAAAAATTATAACACTTGTGTCTTGGATATGCTTAACAACTATACAATGGTATACTTTTAGAGTATACACTATGTATGTTGTGTACATGTAGTTATACCTCTGTTCAAGGTTTTATGGTACATAGTAAGTTGTGACTCCAGGTGCTGTATATCCTCAGAAGTTATTTTGCTCTTCAAGATCAACGAATGTGCCATAGCCAGGTCGTATGTAGTAGTTAAACCGATGAGATTCACAAATGATTTTGGCAAATATTCCCACTCATTTTTAGGTATGTTATTTCTATTATCCATTATCGTCCCATTCCTTATCAGCATCAGTATTGGTTTGACAAGTGGTATTCTACAAGTAAAGAGCAAGTATTCAATCATCACGAAATATCTTTATAAACATTCAAATATCAAAAAATGATATCAAGTACTTTATATGGTTTTGTATGATTCCAATTGTACCAACCTTAAGTCTGTAGTTACTCTGTTTTGGCCGATTATCTTTAGTTCAACACCAAGTCTTTGAAACTCAAATGCTTCAATCAGTGGTAGGAAATCATCATATGTTATATATTCAGAGAAAACATATTTTTGAAGCATCATCTTTGTTGATTGGAATTCTTCAACTTGTTGAATAATCGTTTTGAAGTGTACTTTGTCTAGGTCCGGATCAGGAAACGCGTCAAGAATTGCCATATACAACATTGTTATCTTCTCCATTGAGTGCATCTTTGGAGGAACTGGAGTTCCGTCCATATACATGAGAATGTAGGATATTTTGTATATGAGATCACTGTAAAGGACAACAACACACTTATTAGTACAAATATTGTATAAGATGAATTAACTTAAATCAATAATAACATTGCAAATACTTTCATTTTCAAATCATTTTAAGCTTTCAAGAGTTAGTATATTATATATTAAAACTACATATCTTAAAATCAAAATTAGCGTAGAACGTACCCATCTTTATTATAGTAAGGTTCTTGTGCAACAATCCTGGAAGAAACTGAAAAGGCGAAAAATCGTAATAAAACCTTTAAGATTTTCAAAGTGTTAGAGCATGAATAACGTGTTAATAAGTCATGTTAAACTTGAACACCCAGCGTTTATATAGACCTATAATCAAAATAAAACAAAACCGTTTCAATTCAACACAATACACCACTATGTCACTATTAGCAACCATAGGAAAGTAATGTACCTTGTTTAGAAATTGTGTTTTCACTTCTCATCCACAATTTTGTCAAAATTGACTCAATCAAGCGGTATTGAAGCCTTGGTATATTCTTATGATAGTAGAACTCTAGCATATCAGATGTCCGTATGAGCTCATGCGGCCTCATATCAACAAAGGTGTATTCAGTGCCAATGTTAGTTTCGAAGGATATCGCAGATTTGATCTCATCCAGATCTAAATTGTTGAGGCCATTATATGGATCTACCAAAACATCATCAACTTCCACAAAGTAAAACAAGCCATAAACATCATCCCTAAAAACCAATGAACAACTTTTAAAACATGAAATGAAAAATGAATGAAAATGTCACTTAGAAAACCCAAATTACCATTCGTGGGTGCTCTAACTGTACAGATGAGGTGGATGATTGTTCTTTGTGCTTATATGTACTGGTACAAGTAATGCGTTTACTTACCCATTCAATGTATACAAATCTTCTATTGTAGTTGGTTTCACCTCAAGAGAAGAATTCCCATATTCTGGCTTGGATTTCCACAGTTGTTCTAAAACTGCCACAAAATCTGCAATTTGCATACTTGGAATCCTCTCCTTTGTGAACAGAGGTATACGGAATTCCATTGGGTATATGGATAAGGTTGATGGATCTAAAAGTTTGAAATCGACCTCAGGGATATCATCTATGATGGTTTGTAGATTAATGATGTCTACTCCTTTAGTGATCATAGAAGACACAATTGCCTCATCGGCCACAATTCCATATGTCACCTTATAAATAGAATCTCTGAAATGGCGTTAAGGTAAAATGTACAGAAAACCATTATTGATCATTATTCATCAATGAATTGTTAAAATTAAAGCTGTAAATGCTCTTTATTAATCTTGTATAATCCAGCAAAAAAATAAGGTTGTTAGGTTTTGTACAGAGATGGGAATATTAGGATCTTAATGATATTATAATAAACTTATGAAGTATAGAGCTATGCAAACTACTTTATATCACTGGCCGGGTACTCACTTATCAAGATCACTGGTTCCTGTGTAATTTGCATTCCTGAAATGACATAACGTGATACTTAATTAGTGAAAAAGTAGAAACATCTCATGTATCCATCCATCTGAGAGGGTATGTATAGTAATGACAAAGACAACATTGATATAAATATACAAGTAGCAAAATGACCAAACTGACCACAAAGTGAAAAGTTACACAACTAGTCATCTCGAGAATGAATCCACGATAATCAAATATATTATCTATTAGCCAAGGAAAATGAAGATTAGACATAGGAACATACATATTTATCATAATTGACCAAAACAAGCGAATAACAAATTCATTATTTTTGATAGTGAATAATAACCTATATTGCACATTGTCCCATAACATTGTGGTAACAACTAAAAAAGAATGTTAACTTACTTGGTGTAGGATTCTATGAAGTGTAAGCTAATTGAAAACGAAGCATCCTGTAGATCTGGAATGCAAATAAAACATTGTGTATGTCTGTGAGATTCTTGACACATTTTCCACAATGAGTGATCCCCAATGACACAATTCAATGTTTAAATATTATATTTTCATATTCGGTTTTTGAAGTTGAGTATTGCCTATAAATTTCAAATTTTTTCTTCAACTTGTATTTTAATGACTTCACTTTGAAAGAAATAACCCTTAGTGTTATGGCCTTGAATGGCGTGGGGGAAGGGGTATTATACATTGTTTTTTTAAGCTCGATCATTGTTTCGTGTTATGTGGGGTTTGGTTTGTATTTCTTATGACTGGTCAACACCGAGAGCTTTTTTCTTGCTAGGTTTCATTGCAACTTTTGGCACCCGTGCTTAGATATTTATAATTCTTCTTTGCCTGTTTATTCTGCAAGGCAATGTCATTGAAAGCAACATTATTCATGTCACATATTCAATTATTGTTATTACATATTGAACTATTTCAGAAAAGTACCAACAAATTTCAGTGAATCGCATACCAATGTAAGTGCTCTTCATAGATCTTAGAATCAGCTTTGGCAGGTGTTCATGAATATCAACAATACTGTCAACGTAGATTGAGAACAATCTATCAATAGAGATGAGTTCCAATCCATTTATATCGATAGGCTCGTATATTGACCCAGCCTTTACAAAGTTCTCATGCAATGTTTCAAATGTGATTCTAGTCTGTGAATCAGGTGTAATCTTCATGTCTCCACAGCCAACAGTGTACCTCACTCTGTTCAACTTGCGACTAAAATATAAAAAAACATATCTTCTGTCTACACTTAAATTTTGTCATATATGATATCATTTGGATGTCACATGTTTAGATGCGTTGTTTAAAATTACTGAGTTACAAGGGGTCATATCATACTTACTGTCTATCTGCAACAAGATCCTGAGAAACAATCTGAGAAGTAACACAAGACTCTTCATATCCTGTCACAACAGATGCATGGTACATTCTTAAAATAACCTCCACAGCTGTTATATCAATTGGCATAATCTTGCCTCGGAATGCTATAGTAAACTCAATTTCTACATCCAATGTAGCATCATCTACAAGACCACCATCTGCATTGATACCCAAGAGGTACTGCTTGATTAGCTCAATGTTTATGAAGTTATCCGGTTTAGTTCTAGAGTCGACATTGTCCCCATCAATAGTTATTGTGAAGAACAATTTCTTTGTCCTTGACCTGAAAATATTATTTCTATGTATGTTCTTTAAAGGACAAAGTAAGAAATAACGCTTGCAGTATGCAGATCAAATGGTATTCATGTATAATACTCAAAAGCATAACTTCATAGTCTTGATAATAATTAACAAATTCTAATCAATAATGAAAAACGATATAAAAATAAAAATAGATAATACGAAATGAAAATAACAAGTTAATCACGGCTTGGATAAATACGTTAGAGTGAGAATACTGGAACTGAACAATTGGCCTAACATCTGAAGAATTGTGTGAAATTGATTTGAAGCATAATTATATATCTCACCCAATCACTGTTATTGTTTCTTCTAACTTTAGGATTGTCACATCAATATTACTTTCTGAAAACAAAAAATCTTCATAATACATTTCTAATCATTTTTTCATCATATATCGTATGTCTATATAAAGTAAACTTTCGGTAAAACGTATTTGCTACTATTTCATTTTATGAGCAGTACAGGAGCCTTGTAATTGTATATAGAATAGTTTCAGAGTTTCAAGGCATTGAATCAAATTACTTTATCATACGTGAGAATCCTACCATTTATAGCAGAGGAGATAGCAGCGATGAGTTGACTCTCTCCCAAGGTGAAATCCTCTGTAAATGTCAGAGTGAAGAGAGATTTCAAGTCAAATAGGTCTCCCAAATCTGATCTTTTCAATATTGCCTGCTTTAGGGAAATACCCCCAGTGATCGTCACATTTATCACGGCTTGTTTCAACTCGTCTATTGTAATTGTTCTGTATATATCAGGATTCATTGTGATCAGTTTGCCATCCTTATCTCTGTTTATGGTGTAGAGAAGGTGATTCACAGATGCCCTGATGAAGAGTAAATATAAAGATGAATATTTTCTAATGTTTGTTTTATTCTGATAGTGTAGTTACTTCAATGTTTCACTTTTCAAACGCGTAATGTGTATTTTTATCTAAATAATACAGATTGTTTCTATTAACGAAACATAATATACAATTAGTACATTACAATGTTTAAATAAATACATGCTCGTATCTTTTAATCACGCAATTGTTTAAGGTGACTTAATAGCCTGATTAATATAGTATTCATGTTAATCTTACCCATTCGTTCTAAGTAACGCTATCTGGGTTGTAATTTTTACCTTGATATCATCATCAGCTGAAATATACAGAATTACAAATACAAAAAAAACTTTAAAAGATCGGTACTTCAGCAATAGCAAGTTATATTTATTTGCCTTCAAATGTTGTCTAAAAAGACTAGATCCTAAACAATAATGTTCATAAAATGTATTGTATTCATGCTCTTCACCATTTGATTGTATTTAGTTAATCCAAATAAACCTACCCAGTAAAGTTTTCAAGAACATAGACATGGCTGTTTCAAATTCAACTACACTTTCATCTTTTAGAGAAACAGATATGTACACCTCAGAAGTAAAGGCACGGCGGACAAATCCACGCTCGACTTCTAAAGTATATGTGTAGTCACGTTTAAATGTGGACAAGACTTGTTTAATCTTTGTGTTGAAGGCTATCAGGGAAGGCCCTCGTATTACAGCAGGATCCAGCATTACATCATTCAACCACAGACAGTATGATAATAGGAACACTGGTGTTCTGAAGGATAAAAAGAACAGGAGTTAAAATAATTTATCATAATGTCGGTTGGTCACTTAATTGCTCAAAATTGTTTGACTGCTAAAGGAAATTATTTAATTTTTGAATGTTGACCCAATTTAGAAGACCATTAAGTCTGTAAATTAAATTGATGATGTAAATATATATTTATCATCCTAAAGCTCATACGATGTATAACAAATGGGGAATTCTATTTAGCATTAGTGACTGATAAGGGCCACTGATAAAGTGCTTATTATTTATCTCCCGGTAAAGTATACAGAAAATAAGATCCCATATCTTAGAAAAAAACGTATTCATGTTTAATAAAGTTAGAATTGTTTGCCAAAACAATGAAAACGCGTATTTGTAATGATGTGTCTGACATTCATACAAATCTTAGTGAGTGGAGAGTAATGAATCTAATTTAGGGATGATATAGACCATAAGGAATAACAGTGCATACCCATCGGTCTTGAAGTATTCTTCAACAGGTGTAAATCGTAATTCAACTCCAAGACTAGTGAAACCTACAAAATAGAAATGAAAATCATATTTTTGTAATTAAATGTTTATATTCATAGGCATTAAATCTCGGCATCAACGTTATATGTCTAAGTGAAGAGTAAATACAATTAAAATGTATACTGTACAAATGTGATGAATGAACTAAACATTACATTGATTACTTACTCTGATCAGACTGAAGCCATGTTTCCTTTATTGCTCCTTGAAGGATAGCAAGGTCATCTGTGCGAATAATTTCATTAACAAACACTCTAAACTGTTGCTCTACTTGAAGAAACTTCTCAACAAGGGTCACAATTTCGATATCCACAGCGAGTGATTCAAACTCTTGTTGCAGTTTCACAGCTGAGATGGACACTTGATCCAGTAACGATACATCACTGAGGGTGTAGCTAAGGGTCCATGCCGAGCTGTAACGCATTACCTTTAAACTAGTACACTCTCGTACAATAATACATAATCTTAAGTAGCTATAACAACCTCTCTATCACAACTTATAATATCATATCTTAAAAAAGAATGAAATGAACAAACCAAAATATGATATATGTAGGAAAATAAGATGTATTTCAATACACATGCCTATTAGAGAAAAGCAAGATGTAAGAACCTACCCCTCCGTTGTAATCACTTCCTTTTGACTAACAATGACAACATCAAAATCCACTGTTATTCCTAGAATAATAGGAAATATATTTTTTACGAAAAAAGTTATATTTTTTGTTTGTAATTTGGATTTCGATTTGCACGTAGTTATTCTACCTAGATATTGATTTTATAATATACTTCTGCAATGTCAGTTGTTATACCAATCATGAGTCACTATTTTACATTGTTCTACCAAACTGTACATTTTGTATAATCTAGTTCAACAAATATACATACATGTAATAATGCTACGTGTACCTGTATTCTGGATGACATTCTTTATAGCAGTTTTGATTTTCTCGTATTTTTCAATGGCGATCACTTTCTTACTGGTGAATGTGAGGACCTTTGTAATGTCAACAAGTTTGAGCTTTGTAGTGTCCACAACAGTTATATCGATTCCTTTTTCCACTTTGATTTTTGTCAACAAATCAATGATTGCTTTTTGATCCACGTCTGGCAAAACGTCTGGCTCAACTACCTTTCCATTGCACTTAAGAGCATAGTTAAACTCAAACAAATTGGTGCTGAAAAGTCAAAATGAACTCAATCATATCTTACATAATTGAATGATTCAAATGGCATAAATGAATTTGCTTTTTGTCGAATTTCATATATCCTCATTTTGCTATCATATTGTGCTTAGAATTTACTTTGCTATATGTGCCAGTCAATTCAATCATGTATGTTAATTAATCATGTCACAGTATATCTAACCTAAACTTTACATGTTCACCGACTGCTTCCATTAAACTTACCCCAGGGTGTTATCTACAAGACTGCCAACACTATTGGTAAACTCAACCTTTAAACATGCCTTTAGCTCCGTATCTACAAGACGTAAAATATAAAGTAAAAATGCTTGTTATGTTAAAAGATACATTACTTTAAACATAATTTATTTAGATTCGTTTAAATGTATCCTTACATGTACATTTAAGATCAGCTGAATCAGTCATTCCATCATCTTGAAGAGTGAACATGTACAGCTATGATGTTTCTTCGGATAGAATACATTCTTAGCAGTATATTATTCTGTATCGTACACATACCTTTTTCCCCAACAAGTTCCTTATAATACTGAGTGAGTTTTTCTTCTACTACTAATTTCTTGGTAATATCAATCTTCTCAGTGAAGGTTACAGAGCGTGTTGATGTGGTTTCAATGCTAGTACTTATGTCAACATCCAAGACCTTGATACTTATTTGTCTTTCTTCTATGATGGTTCTTGCTACGTCGAAATCTACATCAGGGAAGTTAATGGATGAAATCAGCTTTCCGTCAACAACAACAGCAAACTCAAGCTTAGTGACAGTCAGTCTGAAAACAATACACGTGCATTAAGTATGGCGCAAAATCGACATCTCATTTGCAATATCAGGTTTGTACAACTTATACTATTGTCACACTACTTATGTACTACCCACCCAGCCAATACATATTTTACAAAATCTTACCCAGATTTGGTAATAATCGTTTTCGGTTTCAGAAGCTTGATTTGTAGTTCATCTAGTGAATATTCTACAAAGTAAAGTTGGTATGACATAAATCATACAAAGTGATTAGCTGAAATGCAACAAGACACAAAAAGTTTTTTTAATGCTGTGATGAAATATTCAAACATAACTGTTAATGAGGCGCATCCATGTTTATCTTAGTAATGTCTATTAATACTAGTAAAACTTATAGTATACCTCGACCGTATATCTTTACTTCGTTTTACCTTCAAAACTTACAGTTGAATAAAGCACAGACTTACTTGTATTCGTTCGAACGAATGTTTGTTTTAAGATATCAATAACTGATGAAGAATCGACATCAACGTCGAATTCTGACAATACAATTGAAAACAATGAGTCTGATGTAATCGACAACCCAAGCCTTGTATCAGCGCTGATATCTACGTCCAGTAATAAGGAGGAGTACGTCGAGGAGGAGCCACTGATAGTGATATCAAGTATGTTTCGAAGGGCTGTGTAGGTGATCTTCCTGAAGAATCCAGTATTGATGGCCCTTTTGTTGGAAGTCACCGAGACAATCACTTCAATCTGGGTTTCTAGGCTTCAATACAAAATCAAATAACAATTATAACATTGCATTTGAATAGGCGTAGGTAAATTGTCATATTATATCGGAAGGATTCGTGGTTTATTTTATGCCTCATCATTTCCACTTATATGTACATTACATCCATTGGACGTATATCAAGTGTTTACATTTCAAAGATGTCTGTTCTCGGAGACATATAATGACAGTGTTTTAAATGCCTCTGGCTCCTTCATAGGCAATCAGAACTAAGTTTCATTAGCAACTCGATGATACATTATTATAATATTTACCCATTAGATCCTAGTTTTATTCTCTCGTATTGTCGAACAAATGTAACATCAACAGTTAAGGTGAAATCTGGAAAACAAATTAAAATGTATCTGTAAAATCGATGTATTTTCTGGATTTTGTCTTTTATAAGTTCGGGGTATATTTTGCTTAATTTGTGCATTGCGTTACTACACCTTATAAAATTGATAATTACATGTAATAGCATCATTTACCGAATTACAGCTGTATTAATTTTGATGTTATTCATTTGTTATTTTGTTTCGTAACTTTCAATTGTTATTTAGTTTGTTGTTATGTATTACTTTATGTAAAAATGATTTAGGTTCACCATACCTGTTTTAAAATACATCCTAAGTGCATCGATAATCACAGCCTTATCAGATAGTTTAATCTTCTCTTTTAGAAAGAAGCTGTATGTCGTCCTTGCCCGAATATGTGTAGTGATGTCTTCCAACAGAATCTTGTAATCTGTTTTCTTAACTGATGTGATCAACAAGTATTCTTGGAACTCTTTGACGAAGTTCACTGTTAACTTTGGGAGTAGCAAAGGATTTAACCTCATACCATTAAGCCGAATCAGGCATGCCAATTCCCAAAAGTCTCTACAATAAAACCGATGCTTTAGAAACGCCCATTGAACATGGCTAGATCAATCCAATTTGATGCAATTTCTAGTAATAGTTAACATCACACACAATTACAATAAATTCCAGCAATTTTCATCAGAGTCAGGTTAAGAGCTTTGTTTGAACATTTCAATTAAAATCAGTTCTTATTCGAATGTAAAAATACCAATTTGTACCCTCCTCTATCAAAAAGTCCTGTATGCTCTATTGAGGGTAATATATAAAAAATGTGTAAGTATGCAATGGAGATACATACAAAACAAATAAAAGTTGAAAAAGCGTCAATATTTACTATATACTGACCCTTGCAGGATTCCAAGCCATTTCTCCTGATGCATAATTCTTACTTCCAGTTTCATCATTTCTAGGATATCTCCATATTCTGAAATGTAAAAATAATATGTAGCAGCATATAAAAATTAATAGACCAATATGGAGCTGGACAACTTTGGAGCATGATTGCACACCATAACTCTGCCTGACTGATACACTATACTACTAACTACATCACAATGATTCTTTGGAATAATTGAATGGTGTTATGTAAGGATTATGGACTAATTAAGTAGAAAATACACTTTACCTGCTTCAATTATCTTTTCAAATGTAATCCTAAAAGCCTCTTCAAATTTGGACCAATGTTGCGCAACAACAAACTGATCTACAAAGACTGACAATCTATCAAATCGCTTTAAAGCAACCATACGGGTTGGACTTGAACTCGATCTGAGCTGTATCAGAGAATATGTATTGTTCCCAAAAGTGATTTCAAGTGATGTAACCGGCGACAATGTCAAATAGTTGTATTTTATATCACCGTCTCGCACTATGTAGACAATCCTGTAGTAGGTCTCCCTGTAAAACAAAATAGCATCTACATAAAATACTGCATATGGTATATGTTAACTTACATGTAATATGAGAAAATAATATCACATGCTTTTTATGTGAACTTAAATCCACAATTACGATACACAAATAAGTCATTCAACAGTTATTTTTTGTTCATTAATTGTTACTATGATGGATATTACAATCACATACTTTATATTAGCTATATATTTCTAAACATGTGGAAATGTGTTTCCTTCGAATATACTTAATATTGCCGTTCCAAATGAAATGTTACATTTTTAAAGATCCCATGGAAATATGTCTGTACCTGTTTGTTGTAATCACTTCTTCATTTATCACTACATCTACACTCAGTGCATTTGTGAAATTAATACCTACAAAACCGAATATATAGCTATATGTTTCTTCCTCGTACATGTCGGATTAAAGACTGTCAAAACCTAAGTAGCTGATAACAAGCGTTTAGTGCAGCCAAAACATTTGAGTTTTGCATTCGACGATTGTTACTTTATAGCCAGAATATTTATAAGCCAGAATAATACTTAACACGTACCAGGGTTATTCAAAATAAGCTGAGCTTTCATTTCGTTAGTAAACAACTGTAAGACGTCGGTTGTCAATTCTTGCTTGGTGAATATCTCATTGAAAAGATATCGTTCGTTCACCAGGTCAAGTGATGAAGTGTCCAAAGAAATACCCCCTTCTTCTAATGCATTAAGGACCTCATATTGGCTCACATTCACATACTGATTTTCCGTACCTTTCTTGACAATATAGAATACCAATCCCACATACTTATCTCTGAAATAAAATGTTATTTTGTGAATAACTGAATACTCCTTGATTGAGAACATTACATTACAGTAAGTAAAAGTATTACCTAAGTTATCTGTACTGTATTTTTTTTATCTTGGGCATGGGGAATTAAATCTCAGAGATTTTATAGTGAATATGTTATTGATGATGCAAGGTTTGACGTTTCCTGGTTTGATAATACATACCCATTAATTGTGTTTATAAGTTGTTGAACTTGTGAAATTATGATCTGAGCTTCAGTACCAGCTAAAATATAGTATATTAGACATGTATATTTATGACAAATACATTGCACTCGTGCAGTTGTGCAAGCCTATAGTTGATATGGAATTGAGTGGTATTACAATTTTATCAGTTCATTGAGTTATGAAACACTTTAATTCATTTAAACATCAATCGAAGGGAATACTATGAATTTTTCAGTTTCGATTAAACAAAAGTATATTTATTATTTTCTTTTTGAACTGTTCTAGTTAGCAACATCGACGGAGGATTACATTGCTTTGCTGAATGTCATTGGTCATTCTTCAAAGATCTATGTGTACCTGTTAATGCATTTAGCTTATCTAGAATTGATTCTGCAACCTCATCTATGTCTTCCTTTGAGTGTACAGCAGTTCCTTCAAGCACTACTCTATGTGACTTCTCAACCAGTCGTAGAGAAGTTTCATCAACCGAGACTGCTTTTAGGTTCTTTAGGTATAAAGTGATCAGTTTTAGTTACGAGATGAAGTCTATATATTGAAATATTGCTTACATCGGGTAAAACAAGAAGAAAGAGCATAACATGGATAGATGATTATGTGGTTAATTGCTAGCTAGTATCTCTCCCTCTCACTGCTTGTGCCTTTATAATTGTTTTTTCTTCTCTCTATCTAACTTCTAAACGTTTTACATTCTGATGACCATTTAGAGGAAATTCTTTATCTTCTCTTTCCGGATTATGAAAACCAAACCCAATATAAACAGTATATAAGTTAAGTATTCGCATATTCAGAGTTGGACATTACCTTTGAAGCCTTGTCCAATATTCCACTGAGGTTGAATTTGGTCAGGGCATTAGAAACACATGTTGCATTGAAACCTATAGCAGTGGTGCCATCTATCTGGGTATTATTCACGTAAACTTTAAACTGGATTCTAAACACGCTATTCCTAAAAGCATATAATGATAAAATAGAAATACAGTCAAATAAAACTCACTCTCTTGAAACACTCATCTCTCTTGATGAATTGAGCTTGTTCACTTTCATATAATAATATATCGTAATACCGTACAGTCGAACCATTGCACAAAAACCGGTATAACGTGTAACATCCAGGCGTTTGGTTAACTTTGTGATTCAAAATGGGAAAGTCGTTTTCAATAAATACCATGTTATGTAACCCCCTGACCCCCCCCACCCTCTTATCTACTTCACTAACAAAATGTTGTAGTGAAGGGGGGTCACAAGGGGCTGTAGCTAAACTACCAACGGAAGCTACTTACCTTAAAAATGGTATCATTTCATCTTGTTTCGATATCTCTATTGATATATCTTGTGCTGAAACAGAGAAAACATATTCCAATAATGAGCCAAAAACATTCAATGTTGCAAATATTATTAGACTTTGGATATGTGATGAACCCCAAGAAGTGCTCACTATCCGTATCAAGAATGACCTTGAAAGATGCTAAAACATTGATAACTGTACCATTAAAACGTTTACAATTGTGGTGGTACAATAATCATTAACAATTAAGATCAAATGGAGTCCACAAAAAATGAAAATACTCAGCAGCAGTAAAATTGTAGTTTTCGACTGGTAAAATAAAACATCTTTTCAAGTATCATCCTTGAGTCATTATTTTAGGTTGAATTCTATAGATTGTACACATTTCTACTGTATCGTATACCTCTATATACACTGCTCCCACCATAGCCTCCCTCAATGAATGCATCCACAAGTGCAAGGGACAATGTTTTATACAATCCCACTTGGATCTCCTCTGTTAGATAAATGGTGTAGTAGCCCTCAATTGGGATTAGTTCTTTCAGATTTGTATCATCTAGTACGTATTGTCCATACGTCTGGGACATCAATGTTGCTTTGATTCTCTGCCAGGAGATTGAGGTATATAATGCAGGGTCTATTGTTCCACGTGTATCCCAGTCCACATAGAATGACAGTTCTGAGATTAGAGGTCTAAAATGAAACAATTTGAATATAATATAAACAGAATAATTAGTTACGTTACGTAATCATTGATAGGTTGCTCCACCAATAGAACTGAATATTAACATAAAACCTATTTGAATTGAAGATTGTAACTCGACTTTTATTGTATTATTTCCGATTTCGTTATGCTACCAGCCATCCATCGGCTAATGTAACATTATATCACAATAACACAACAATAGCACAACAATAGCACAATCAACTTAATGATGTAACATAATCTAGTATACGAATGTTGACACAGAAGTGCTTTAAATCAACCAAGGTTGTGTATGTCGAGAAAAACACTGATATTTAAATGAATATTATCTCACCCTACATGTTTACTGGTGTACATCTTCTTACGGACTATGTTGACCTTTAACAGTGCCAAATCTGGAAATACATTGCATATAAAATACCAGTCTCATATAACCAATTTAAACTTTGGTATATGATCAAATGCAGCTTGCATCTTTTAAACGTATCAATATCTTATATTATGAGGTTTCTTTCCTATCAATTGCGAGTGAAAATGCGCAAAACACCACTCAAACAAATAGGGTTACAAATTACAATGCAGTTTATTAACATCAAAGCTATATACAAAAACTCAAACAAATCGACTCGACTTACCCAAACCCCACTCTTGGCTGAAGAGTATTTCCAAGGCTCGTGCAATTGAAGTATAATCGGCTACATTAACATCCACAGAGAGATAGAACTTAAGGGTTCTGCTGGCCTGGATGAACCTCTTACTTGACATAATCTGATACCTCGTGGCGCTCACAGAGTCAAATGTGATGAACTTGCGGTACTGGATCAGTGCTGGACCAGTCAATACGCCAGGTTCATATAGCTTATCGTCAATATAGACAAAGAAGTATACTTCCCAACATGTTTCTCTGAAAATACAAATTAAATTAGGCGGATGCTTATTATTGAGTCGTAACATGTACAACTATGTCAAGACATGCATCAATGCGTACGATTACCTAAATATTGCAAAATGATCCAGCTGGACTTATTAGGTTTCATATACCCCTCCCCCTAAAACATTACTATTCGTGTAAAATGAGTTCCTCTCGGGTGGATTCTAAATACCATGTTATACATACCCATCTATATTGAAGAACGGGTTCTCAGTGAAATAAACATCTATGTTGATAGAGGAGATGGTATTTGCAATTACTGAAATAAATATACATCAAATGATATGAGTTATACAGTGAGTAATTTGTGCCAATATCTTACACATCCATATGCATGATGCTTTACATTTTATCATCAAAATTCCGCCGTCTATTACACGTGGTTTGATGAAAACATAATACAGTACTTACTTATTAATACATATACTTAGTAATGTCATTTTCCTATATAAAATGGATGACCTTACCTGATTGAGTTTTGATGTATTCCTTCCAAGTATCAGTGAAACCCTTGATGAATTTACTATGGTGAGAAATGTCAATTTTTTGTTTAATAAATAACTGATAACGCATGGACAAATCTACAACATCGGATATTTTTACGTCAATCCCTACTATGTTAATGGAATCAGTAGTAGAGAGAAGCTGACGGAAGAAGGATGTACTGATGGCTTTGTAGGATGATATGTCAACTCTGGTTCCACTTAGAGACCATGTGAAGCTAAGCTTGTTGCCAATTTCCCTGTAATACATTTGACGTCATTCAATACATCTCTGATTTGATACAGAACAGTACAATTCTAAGGCATAAGTAATACATTGATGTTTAAACTGTTACAAGATAGTAAATATGCGGTGTAAATAATTATATATAAAAATGCTAAAATTGTTGATATTTATGCATACCGTCCAATCTGTACATCAGTCTGAGAGATAAAATCGATGGTGATCTCATTGTTTTTCCCAAGTAACTCTAAAAATAAGTCACAATATAAATATACAATTTATTTGAGATTAAATGGTGTTATTGAAAGTATAAACTGCTTTGTGTCACTATAAGGAGTGTATATTAACGGCACGATCAAATTATAAAGGAACCGGTTAAGTATACTCAATAGAGGATACACAGGTTTTATATTTTGGTTTTGAGTGTGTTGGAACACACATTTAACTCATAAATTTGAGGCTGATGATTATGTCGGTCAATGTATGGTGGTCTTACCTGGATTTGCCTCGATAATTGACCGAATGATCACGTTCTTCACTTCCAGTTCCATTTCTGTTGTGATTTTACCAGATATCACAAGAGAGAATATCTCTGATTTTGTGATCAATTTTGATATATTGACTTCTTGTACGATGTAGGTGGTTCCACTTGGAAAGGTGGTAGATTTAATAATATTCGTTATTACAGATGTTGCTATGTTAACATCTATGGATGCGTCGATAATCACATCATCTTTTGTCACAAAGTAAAATATCTTGTTCACAGATTTCCTGTAATGTAGTGAAAATACCATGTTTAATAAAGGGGCATCATAACACAGAACTATTATTATAAAAATTATTTCCATTCTTGTTCGGTGTCAAGTAATGTCCATGACGATTTGATATCACTTCAATATATCATAGCTAACATACTCACCCAAATTCATCAATGACTGTTTCTTGGTGACTGATTTCTACCTTGATCTTGGAACCTACAAAAAAGATTATGCTGACGTGCAAAACATGAATGATATCAACATTGGGTATATGCTCTAGAGTTGGAAGTAAGTATTAATACAATGATAATAAGATTTATGTAAACAAGAATTCACAAATTCTGTCACAATTATTTCATTCTACAGTATATAAAATAGTTTCTAATGGACAAATGACTCACTTAAGTTTGTGTTGCAAAGATTCTACTGAAACGTGGGTCAAAGTGTATTTTGCTTATCATGATATCCTTTGGGATTATCGAGATGCCATAAACTGCATAAGGTGAACCATTTTACCTTCATGAATATTCTCGTAATGCTTCTTAAGCTCTATCTCCATGACATTAATATCAACAAAAGACATTTTTGAGCTTGTGAAAAACGAAAATGAGTTTTCAATCTTTTTCACTGTCTTTGTTGCATCAACGTCTATCTTCGACACGACGAGCAGGTCCCCATTTGGTCCACGTATATCCTTTGTAGCAATGGTTGTTGTAATTATGGAGATATCTATAGATTCTATCTCATTTGTTACTTGAAGTTTACCATCAACACTTATAGAGTAATCCACCTTATAGCTGACTTGTCTGAAAAATGCAAGGGCAATCAATATATATGGAATGGTACCACATGGTACAGTGATATAGATTTAAATGATTTTACATATACTCACCCGAACCCATCAACCACTTCTTCGACTTTGATAATTTTCACATCAACCTGCTTTCCTGTCCATTTTGCTGAAAATAGGAAAACAAATTCTATAACATTTTAACGGATTTTTAAGTAGGTATGTGTCGCAATGGATTCTGGGATAAGCTGGTCTCTGTAACGTTAGTCTTGAATAAGAACCTACAATTTGCTTTTACCTTTCAAGCACTTATCCATTTCATAATCATTAAACTTACATTCAAATTGTTTCACCAAAGATTCCTTTATTGCAATTGTTATATTTTCAGTGTCGTCGATGCTTATCTTCTGATTAATCTTGAGACTGAATATATTATCAACACTCAGGAACTCCTTTTCTTCTTCCACAGTTATCAGAGATGCACCATATGTTTCAGTACTGTCCGTTATTTCAATAGTCTTCAACTTGGTAAGTAGTGACGCAAACGTTATTTCAGATACAGTCACGGGGTTTATAGTAAGACCACGTTTATTTATGATCTTTAGAAAGATCTTATATGCCCTTTCTCTGCAAGTAAAAGTATTTATTCATCAGGGTTCTCCATACAATGATTCTGTTTTTACTATAAACATTGAAAGTAAAATACATGTATTGATATTATATATCGTTTATTGGGATCCAAATAAATCTATTACACAGAGAGCACAAACAATTAAGCTACATGCATTTCTAGTTGGATTCTATAAAAAAACATATGTGAATATTCTGAAAGAATCGGCAGTTGTTTAGCTTGGTCAACTTACCCAGTGCCCTTAACAATCTCTTGTTGACAGACAAACTCCACATCGAAACTGTCAGCAGTTAGAACTAGAAATATAAAAAAAAAGTAAAATAGGAAGTCGTAATTGCGACCTAGTTACGTTGCGCAGAAACTGCGCGGGAGACCAAGGAGGATTGGCTCCCAGGATCGAAACTCGATATTTTCCAACAATGAAAACGTCGAAATGTCGTTATTTTCTGAAATTAAAACCGACTATAAATTCAAAATAAACAGTTCAAAAGATTCGAACCAATATCTCGATCATTTCTTGTGAGTTTTGGAATTTTTCGTTTGGAAATAAGACCAAAATTCACGATTTAAATGTTGAAGTGAACAAAATGGCGGCTGTTTGAATTCGAATTTTGTATTACGACATACCCATATATGGGACAGAATATCGGTGGTGCACTCTGGGAGCCAATCCTCCTTGGCGGGAGACTTAAAATTCGTCCAGGGAACATCCTTAATCTAGGTTAATCCTACAGCACTAAGGCTAATAGTATAGACAGGGTATATGACTCACTGGCCTTGTCTGTATGATACATTTTTGGCGTTTTCAAGATTTTTCCCAACTGTATAAGGTTATTGAACAGTGTCTGGCCTGATCCTAACTTTAGTTTGCTACACATAGCAACTTTTCTGTACCTACGGATACTTACTTGAGGATTCTTTGATAAGGAGCTCCTTGTATGCAGCTAGGATCTTGGCAATGTCTTTCGTCTGGATCTTAGTTGACAAAACAAACGACACTAGCTTGTTAACTTGAACTGCTACCTCGTTTGATGCAACAACATACGTCTTGGATGTTGTTGCCGATGTGACTTTAAGACTGGACTTGAACACAGAGACATCAGGGATATTGATAGCGCGGGGATTCAGATAAACACCACCGACGTCCAAGAAATATATCAACTCCCATCGAACTTTCCTGAGAAAATAAAAATGTACCTAAACTAACAAGATACAAGTATACAATCCTTCAAAATAAATCCACGAAGGGTGACACAAAGCTTTTCTTTCGTTTCTTTTTTATTCTTCATTTTAACCTACACTTGAAATGAAAACCATTTCATAGACATAATCAAATAAAGCAAATCGGTAGTTACAAATGCATTTGTCATTTAACGTATAATATTATGCGATTTTCGAAGGCATACAACTCACCCTCCAAGTGTTATCCGTTTTTCCTGGCCAAATACCACACATCTGACATTGGAGTATACTGCAATATCAAAGAGAAATATACTTTGCATAACCAAGATTGTAATGATTTATTGATCCATTGCATAGGTGCTAGTTCAAATTTATTCGTCCAACAACTACATTGTATTAATTAAGCATTTGCGATTTCGTATATCATGCTAATCATTTAAAGACCAAATAACCAATACAAAAGGTATCTTACCACTTCTATATGACCTCCAGAAAGATTGTATTTTCGTTTGGAACAGATCAAAATCAGTCTCTAGAATCTTAGATTCAAACGAAAGACTGAATTTCTGCTCAAATTTTATGGAGGTTTTTTCAATTTCGAGTATTTTGTATTTTCTAGTCTGAAATACAGTATCCAGTTCAACTTGTGATATTCGAAGCTTTCGCAACTGGGTTGATCTGATGATAGCACTAGAAGATCGAGCAGTAAAAAGACAAGTGAGCATCCGTGTACGTCTAGAAACAGATACTACAATCTCCTCCTTCAGGATTGTCACTCTCAAGCTCTTAAACGCTGAAAGTAGATCAATCAAAACTAAAGTCACTACGTTATATATGTTAAGAAATAAGGCCACACTTGCAACAATTTCTTGAATTAACATGATGCTATTTCAGAAAGAATAATTTATATTTTTTTAAATAAGTATATAAAAACGCAATGGAAATATAATTATTGTGGTCAATGAATAAACAAAACTGAAGTCCATGAATTGAAACTAGTTAATTTGTACTTACACGATTGTTTCAAAAGTGAGGTTTTCACGAGGGTCTCAAACTTTGCAATGTCTTCCATAGCAACCTCGACATTGACTCCGAAACTGAGGAGACTGTCTCGTGACACTGTAACTACATCTAACTTGCTGATACAAGTGTAACTACGTTTACTGGTAAATGACACGGCCATCAGTTGTATGTTAAATGTGTTAATGTTCACCTCTGTATAGTAGATGGATGACATGATTATTGTATCTTTTTTAACACTGTACACAAGTTTCCATCTCGTCTCTCTGTAATAGGCATATAATAAATCATTGGGTTTAAATGAAGCACATTAAGACCATGCACATTAGGCCTGTAGCCAGCTTTTGGGGGTCACTTTTCTAAAAACTCCAGGGGGTTGACATTTTACAACTTTGGTCCAAGACAACTTGAGAAGTGCTCGAAATTGTGAAAATTGAATTTGACGATTTTTGGCCAAGGGTGGGGGTATATAACTTATACTCGCCACAGCCATGATATACGTTCATCTGGCAAATACAACAGTCCAGATACTTGGATTAATATACAAGGCATTAACATGACAAAATATCACCACCTAAAACAATTTGGTCAATTTAAAGCAAGTTGAAAAAATACCTCTTTGACTTTTTTTGACATTGAGAAGGTCATTGAAGGTCAAATGTCAAATGTAAAGTCAGATTTGAACTTCTGAGAACATGTAGATGATTTTGAAAAAAAAATTAAGTAAATTTGAAGCAAGTTGAAAAAAGACCTTTTTGACCTTAAAAAGGTCAAATGTCAAATCTAAAGTCAGATTTGAACTTCTGAGAACATGTAGATGATTTTGAAAAAAAATTAAGTAAATTTGAAGCAAGTTGAAAAAAGACCTTTTTGACCTTGAGAAGGTCATTGAAGGTCAAATGTCAAATCTAAAGTCAGATTTGAACTTCTGAGAACATGTAGATGATTTAGAAAAAAATTGAAGTCAATCTAAACAGTATTTGTTAAGTTATAGGAAGTTGTAAGAAATTGTTACAGACGCCGGACGCCAACCACCAACCGCCGGACGCCAACCACCAACCGCCGTCGCAAAAAAACGGAGACCATAACAATATGTCACCACTTTTGGTGGTGACATAATAATTATATGGATACTTCATTTGCTGTTCATGAACTTACCCTGTTTCTGTAACAACTTCTATTTGCTGAGATATTTTGATATCTATGGTCAAACCTGAAACGAGATTGTTTAATATAAACCAAGTCTACACCTAAACATGTGATAGAAGAAAACTGCTCAGTCATAAGACTACCAACACATAATACTAAAATTAGCTTGAGAAATTGAAACTAGAGACATCTACTCCATGTTTATATCTAACGCACCAGTCTTTCCTCATTTTGAAAAGAAAATAAAGTTTGAAAATGTCTTGGATTGTAGACTAACCAAGAGTTTCCTTGTAATATTTCTGCAACTGAATTTCCATTTCAACTAAGTCTGTATCAATTACTCTATCCTTTAGAATAATCGAGAAAGCATTTGATTCTCTCAGAATAGTTGTTTCGTCTACAATAACAGCCACGTATTTTAGTTCATTAAGTGAAGTGATGTTTGCAGTTTCAATCTTCACCTTCAGACTCTGCTGGTTAATTCGAATAGATGTACGAGAATCCAATGTCACTTGAGAAACCGAAATCTTGAAGAGCACATTGTAATATATATTCCTGGAAGAGAGAATTAATTCAAATTATTCAGTTATTATACTATAAATTACATTTGAAATAGCTTGAAATATTTCTGAATTATAATGTTATAACGTACCCATTAACATAGACACGCTCTTGCCCAGTTATCGTTGCTTTAATGTCCCCAATCACAACTGTTGTTACTATAGCTATAAATAAATACGATAGATAAATGTACGATAGATACATTCACTTCTTTAGGTGAACAAGATTAGTTATTGAGATCACGTATTTTTAGATATTTTGTTTTGTTTCTTTAACATAGAACTGTCATAAATCATATGCATTCTAAATATATCTTGTATCATTATTTAGAATCATTGATTTAATGTAGTGTTATGGATGGTTATACATCCTACCTGAATAGGATTCAAAATAAGATTCAACAATGACAGTATTGAACCTTTCCAATGAGTCCACATCTATGAGCTCGGTGCAAACAAAACTAAACAGTCCAGTTTTCCGTGTAAGCTTTGATATTGAGGTTGACTCAACCAGAAGATCAGAATACTTAATCCCTCTAGAAGTTATATCGATATTCAGTGTGAATTTTAGGTCTTCCTCACTGATAGCTTTATAGTTGTTAAGATTCACAATGGTGCTCAGTGTCTTTATTGAGAACAGGACCTTGTATACAGTCTCTCTGTAAAATGAAATAAACATCTGACGAAATTACATATCACTATAATATTTCCGTTGTAACAAATATGGGACAAATAAAACATCTTAAATGCACACAACTTGAATGATTATGCATCGAATGTTCTAATGTTATTTTACTCAGTATTATGTGACTTTAGATTTAACTAAAAAGCTTACCCTGAAACCTGCACATATTCTTGAGTTGCAATGTATTTAACCTCAAGCTTGCTTCTAGAAATAACTGAAAAAGTACGAAAAACATATTGTTCAAACATTTTCCCAAACACCAAAGCTGTCAAAAGAGTCAAAGTGTTAAAGATAAGATTATTACAAAACAGTGACTAGAACATCGAAGAACACAACTAGCCAAACACTAACCCATTATATCCAAAACAATGACTTGTTCTTTGGAAATGTGCTTCTGCCACTAAGGCGTATTGCATTGATGTACTTACGCACTGTCGTAGATACAAGTTCAACCATGGCAATCTCTACAGCAGTAACATCAGTTGTAAGTACAGTGGTCTTCATGTATATTCCATATGTTTGCTTGGTCCTGACCACAGTTTTACTAGTCACATCTATCAGTGTGTAGGACACACCATTCTGAGCAATGATAGCCAGTTTGAACACTGATACAGACAGGGATGGTAACACGATGGGAGTGATGATATCATTGTCATCGTCACCAGATGATACTGTGTAACACAGCTTGAAGGCAAATTTTCTACAAGGTTATGATAAATTATCCTACACTTAGTGTACTAAATATATAATAACATTAAAAAATAAATTTGATATTTATTGGCAAAATGAATATCCGGAGGATATCGTAACGATATACTCCGGGCGGAGGATATCGTGACGATATACTCCGGAAACACCAATATGCGGAGGATATTGTGACGATATACTCCGCTTGTTGATTTCCCGCCAAATTGACTCTATTTGGCATGGAATTCATTTTGCAATGATATTATGCATTTAGTACACTCCTTGTAAGTGTAGGATAATAAGAACATCCTATGATTTTTTCAGAATATCATTTTAATCTACTCGGTGATATTGATATATGCACTCGTTCGCTTCGCTCTCTCGTGCAGATATCAATCACCTCGTAGATAAAAATGATATTCCTCAAAATCATAGGATATCCTATAAATATTACAGTTTTGTTTTACTAATCTATTAACTGATTTTAAGTGTATTTAAATTTGCCTTTTGAGGTTCATACACTAATAAATTGTAATAATACACCAATTGTTTTCTTACCCATCAACAACAACTTCCTCTTGATAAACAACCGAAATAATGACTCTGAGAGAAATAGATTTAGCTGAAAGAATAAGCACAAATTATTATACATGTACACAATACAATTACTTTATTTTGTATGAAGGGTAACAAGATAACGTATCTGGCATAATATACTGAACAAAAACAACTAAATAATAGAACTTGGCAAATACAAATACTGCCTATACTCCATAAGTTGTTATTTTTAATTTATTGAATTTCAATTATTGATTACTCTTATAACAAACTATACTTAAAAACCTATAATAAATGGAATGCACTTACAAACAAGTTGTTCGTTCCAAGATTCGGTCAGATTAAAGGCAAATGACTGAAAATCTTCCTCTGCAACCTTTAATTCGGAAATCAAGGACATCGTCTGTGTGTATCGTACAACTTTGTCCGTTTTACTGACCACAATGAGTTCGTATACGCCTTTGGGACCCTCTATGCTTTTTATCTCCTTGGTGAGCTTGTCAGTGTCGACGGAGATCAGCACGGATGACGATTTGACAACTTTATTCACTGTCACGCTGTATGATATCTTGTTCACAATTTTACTAAAATGATTTTCACTTAAATTAATTACATGTAAGGGTGTGACAATTTTATTTCATAATCTACTTGTCCTTATTCTGCGGCAGTTCAGGTATAAACTATAACACACATTATTAAGTACTAAACTATGGATGTACACATGCTTTATTTTTGCGCTATAGTTTAATGAAAAGGGAATAACATACACATACAAAATATAATATAGTAAAGAAGCTCACCCTGCTACTATCACCTCCTCCTGTAGTAAGATCTTCACTTTCACAATTTTCGTTTTCAGAACTGCAAATATCAAAACATCACAAGTCAAAATTAAATGCCATTTTCAATATTTATAGATTGATAAAATGATATCGAGTGCAACGTACAATTCTCCTCTATATGAACATCGGGAAGGGAATTTAAGCTTATTCAAATCATAGATTTTACAAGCACTAACAATACCTTGATTCTCCTCCAGAAGAACGAACTTAATTGAATCCTGGAAGTCCACGACATCCTTCTCTGATACGACAACAGACGTGTAGACAGAGGAACATGTCTCATACTTCACTACTGTAGCTTTGTCAATATCCAGGACCTTATATTTCTCTCCGAAGGTTGCTTCTAATTTAACAGTGAGTGTTGTAGTATCAACAAAGGTGAACCTAACAGACTCAAGTAACTGGGTATCATCGGTAAGAGTGTAGTCTATACTCCAGGCGACATTCCTAAGGTCGTACAAAATATTATCATTTTAAGCTTGTTTCCACAAAAAGTATATACCTGAATACAATAGTCGCAATGGAGCGATCTTAATACCATTAAAATGTGTCAAAATGTCATTTGTGTGAACCTCCTTTTCTCTTCTTAATTGCTTTAGAGTAAATGTTGGCTTAAACTTACCCTTCCTCGGTGATGACCTCCTGTGACCTCACTATTGAGACAGCCAAAGTACTAGATATTACTGAAATATAATATATAATCTACAAACGGAATTTTACATGAGATAAGCTGTCAACAGAATCTTGCATAACTACAAATGTAAAGTCTGCAAACTGAATCTAACATAACAAAAATGCACAATCTGCAAACAGAACCTAACATAAAAATAATATAAAATCTGCAAATAGAATCTTGCATATCTACACATCAGTAATTGTCGCCAAATTGTGATAAACAATAATGATAGATATAATCGATATGCCGTTTCTGGCAGTTTAACTGAATTGTGACATGATTTACCTGAAGTAAGCTTTGTCATCCAGTATTCTTTCAAAACGGCCTCAAATTCAGTCTTATCCTCAATAGTGACAGCAATGTTGAGAACACTGGAGAAAACACTTCTTGTTTCAATATAAGTATCGTATTGCGGCCTTACAACAATCTCGTACACTGAGCCGTCGGGACTGGATATCCGAGCATCATTTAGCTTTTGTCTCACTTTTGTACCATTAAGGTTAAGGTCTGCAATTGTTCTTCCATCTATAATCTGATTGTCCACTGCGGAACTTGTATAAATCTTCCAAAATGTCTTCCTGAAATGTGTAAATGTTTATCGTGTAATATATATGTTCAGTATTAAGGAATTTAGGTTTCTGTATTATGCATTTAAGTTTATTTGTTAAAATTTAAAGTAGAAGTTGCAAAGGATTTGTAAGGAACCTCTACCAATGATCTCTGCTTCCTTGCGATCTTATTTAAAATCTCGAAAATACCATGACCTATCTGACCAAATATGGAACTTATTGAAGTAAACTTGAACATCCACTTTTAAAACATACTGGCTATAAAGTTTAAATCAAAGCATGATCGGATTTCTTGGTATGTTTGCAATAAAGTCACGACCAGGATTACCGCGAGCAAAGCATAATGAACTGTAAAACTGCGACCATTATTTCAACTATATACCCTTAAATCGGCTCTATCAATTAAAAAGCTTGGTAGGTTGACAACTTACCCAGTAGTCTTATGAACAACTTCTTCCTTCCCAATAAAAGTAAAGGACATGTCTGGATACGCTGGGATGGGTAACAAAAGAGTGTTTAACATCAAACATATATATTGTAATTACAACGGTTGAAATATAATTCAATTAAACATTTAACATTATATTATCACTTGAAATAGTATAGGTTCAATTGAAATCCTGAATCAGAAGTCATAATCCCGAGTTATTAATAGACATTTGACAGAGTGAACACAAAATACCATTATTGCAGACAGTGCCGACTAAGCTTGTGCACATGTAATACTATTTTCACTTCCGTTAAACGGTAAACAAAAGAAATGTTTGCATGTATCCTACCGATTAATTGCTCTGATATAGATTTTTTCAGGATTGTTTCGAATGCTGCATACTTCTCTACTGCAATTTCTTGCTTTGAAATAAAGACAGTGCTCCCTTCAACAATAGTGCTAGCATCAACTATTTCCTTTGTTGTAATGGTTTCGGCATACGTTATGTCAAGTTTAGATGACACTTTGACACTCGATAAAATCTCCACCAATTTTTCTTCAGTAATGGCGACAATAAATGTTGGATTGACCACCTCTTGTTCTACAGTCACTGTGTAGATTACTTTGTACGTAAATTCCCTATAATGCACATCAAATGGGTTTACTTACATTTTGGGTCGGAAATAATCGAGAGGTTAAGTTAGCGATATTTTTCACAACGGAACCGTGGACGCAAAACCAATGAATAAATACAGTAATGTATGTGAGAAACCTACATGCATTTGTATAGTGCAACTTGTGCGTACAGGTCGACGTACCGATTTCATATGCATAGCTTAAAGTCTCAATTGTGTAATTAATACGCAATGGTTGTTTATTCAGGATACGTAAAAAGTCAAGTTTATTAAAAGAATAAAAGATGAACGTCATTTCTATATTAGGTCAGCAGCTGAGCAAATTTAAAAAAATAAGTTTGTCCCCTAAGTTTCTCACTGGATTCATGTAGAGCAAGGTTTTGGGTTTATTTTGAGCTTGGGTTCTCTGTCCTAGCCCCGGCAACGAATGTGAAAAATGGTCCTATAGGTGGCGCCCCCTACAATTCACCCCCAAACTTAAAACTAATTATTATTTTCATAATTGAAACATAAAGACATCTCAGATAGCTTAAATTGATCAATGGTACATTAAATTATGCATTAAAAATTTTTTCAATGTGTTAAAATCATAATTTATGGAGAAATAGTTGATTAACCCCTTAAAACGCCCCCTATTTTAAAGGGGATACTTAAGTTAACTTCCGTAACTTTTGTGTTATTCAGGATTTGGGCTTAAAAATATTCCTGAATATGTACAATTATGATGTTGAGAGACTGCAGTAACCCTATGTTCATAGCTTTATAACTTTTTGAGAAAAAAAATAAAACGTATTTCCATATAATTTGGATTTGTATTACTTTCAGATAAACCATCATCTATACTTTTTAATTTACTTTCCACACCTTATACCCATGCATAGTATTAATACTTTTCTTTCATTTTAGACCAATATAGATGACTGTAGTTCACTTAAAATAAATAATAATAAAAAATTTAAGCAGAAATTATTGATTTACCTCTTAAAACACCCCTTATATAGGGATACATATACTATAGCTTCTATAACTCACTGTAACTTATGTTTCGTTCAAGATTTAGGCTTGAAAATATCCTTGAATTTGAAGACTTGTGTGTGTGGGAGACTTAATAGTTAACCTTTGCTCCTAAATAAATAAATAATTTACCATATGCTGTTGTCTTTGTAAATTATCTCAAATTCAGATTCTGTTGTCATTGACGATATCGAAGACGATATATTGTGGCGATTCACGACCCCATTTGATAGAAATTTGGATTTCATATAATACATCATCACATGAGCTTAATACATGCACAGAATTAGTGATGATAAAATCCCATGAGAAACGAGGACCAAGTGATTAAAGAGTTGAAGCGACAGTTATGTCCGCCATTTATGACAACGGTATCTGACTTTATCAAATACTCAGCTTGACCCATTGAAATATGGCTTCGTTCTTGAAAATGATCTTGATACAAAGGATATTCTGTATATCACCTGATGATCTGATTTTACAATGTAATACACCAGATGCGAATAGGCAGTTACCAGTTTCACCGCCAGGAGGCTAATTCGGGGCCGAACATGGCAGGGTATTAGAAAGTTCCCCTAAACTTGAATATTCATCAGCTTTAGTGTTTCAATTTTCATATCACCTTATGTATCTGACAGTTATATACAGTACAAATTAAAAAATATGCCCAGTAAAAGAAAATTATATCTGTCCAATACAAGCAAAGATATTTCACTTCTTGTGATTTTATTAACATGGGGTCTATGGAGAATCTCTTCGACCTAGAAATTGCATTTTCAAAGAAAATTAAATTTTCAAAGTTGCAAAAACACATTCCTAGATGCAATTTTACATGTAGATTTCAAATATGATATCACTTTGACTGAATTTTTAATGGCGCAAATCAAGATTATTTCTACTTCCATCTAATTTATTATAGTAAGTGTGGTACAAAACAGATTATGTGAACTGAACAAAATTAATTGTTGCATGTTTTGTAAGTGCAAGGGAAGTGGTAACTGTAATTACCATCTAATCAAGCTTTTAGAAAGTGTTGTAAGTAATGCATGAACTTATTAATCTGATGTCACTGTGATACTGCATGTATGTTTTTTCGAAGAATCATCATAACACAACCAGCAGAAAGTATTTTTCTTCGTATGTTGTATCTTTGTATCTATTGGTCAGGAAGACGAGAAATAATATATATATTTGTTAAAGTGTACATGCATTAATATTTCTCCATAAACAAAGAAAGGTATTTATTGGTTGTGTTGCACGAATTGTGCCAGCACAACCCTGTCAATAAGGTCAGCACAATACAAAAATATTACACATACCATATCCCTAGTTGGTTTTTCAATAGTCTTAACTGAACCCCTAGTAAGCTAAAGACTGAAAGAGTGCTTTAAATTAATATCCTTTTTTGGTTCTTTGGTTATTTTATAGCCTTAGTGCTATCATAATATGCACTGGTTGTGCCATAATACCTCATATGTGTTTCATTATATCCCTTATCAATTCCTTAGTATACCCAGAGAGCTTTAATTAGTTTCTAAATACCCATTAGTGCTTCCTAATATGCATTGTAGTGCTCTTTAGGGGCTAACAGAACACCATGATGACCTACTTGGAACCATCATGAGCTTTCAAGAGAAAGCCCATTGAACCAATCAGGGTATCTAGGAAACCATGAAGGAATACTGCAGCACCACAAGGCATACTAGGGGTCTCCAAGAGCTATGAATTTAAACACTTCCTGGGTATACTAGGGAATCGCTAGAGGCTACATGGAACCAATGTGGGTGACAAAAGCACAACAAGGGCATCTTTGGCAATCACTAATGGATATTAAAGTACCAATTGTGGCTATCAAAGCACCAGCAAGGCATATTAGGGAGTACTAGGGCAGATTTAGAAACCAATAGGGATTATTAAAGCATCACTAAGCAAACTGAGGAATCACTTAGTGTTATTAAGGAACCAATTGTGGGTATCAAGTTCAATCAGAGCCAATCAGGGCATACTAGGTTATCACTTTAAAGGGAACCAATTTGAGATATTAAACCACAACCAGCCATACTACATGTAGGTAATTGCTAAGGCTATTTAATGAACCAATGGGGGAAATCAAAGCACAACCAAGCATACAGAGGAATCACAAAGGTCTATTAGGAACCATATGTTTAAAGCACAACCAGGATATACTGGGTTATTTCCTAGACTATTGATGAACCAATAAGGGTTATTAAAGCACAACCAGGGCATGTGATCTTATCACTAAGGCCATTACTAAAGCTATTAAAGAACCAATCAGGATTACTAAAACAACACCAAGCATTCTAAGTAGTCCCCAAGGGCTACTAAGGAATCAATAGGGGTTATTAAAGCACAACCAGGGCATACTGGTTATCAGTAAAGCTATTAAGGAATAAAAGGGGGCTATTAAAGCACCTCCATGGCATTTTAGGGAATCACCAAAGGCTATAGAAGAGCTAATTGGAGCTATCTATTTATCATTTTTGTATTGTGCTGACACAATATACTGGGTTTTGTTGGCACAATCACTTCAACACAACCAGTAAATATCTTTCTTTGTATGGAGAAATATTTATATCTGTACACTTTAACTAATAAATGCATACAGGGTGTTTCATATGTATACATCCCCCATAAACTCATACATGTCATATTGCCACACCATCATGTTATATATATCTTGCTCCTTATGGAAAGTTACATAAGATTGCAAAGTTTCAGAATCCAGCGGTATCACTGAAAAAAGAAATGCCTTATCAAAGTATGTGGGTATGGGTCATTCGAGGGGAATTTCTGGTCAGTTTGAAGGCACTTTTAAGGGGAAATTGAGTTTCTGTATTGCAAATTTCAAACAGTTGTCATCATGGCAGAGTTCAGTGCACATGAGTGTGACAGTTATGCGCAAAGATGTATAGATAGGATTCTTGCAGTGGCTTATGGAGAGGCCAGTGACCCTGGTGCGACCTCTATCATTAAAAATGGATATGAGAAAAAGTGCACAGATCACCGACCTGAGTCGAAAAATCACCAGGAAATGCCCTCTAAATGACCCCGTACCCACAATCTTTGATACAATGTATCTTTTTTCAGCGATACACCTTGATTCTGAAACTTTGCAATCCTATGTAACTTTCGATATGATACATAAAATGATAGGGTAGCAATGCTAGATGTATGAGTTTATGGGGGGGAGGGGTGCAAAGATATGAAATACCCTGTATGTATATTATTACTTCTCATCTTTCAGATCACTTGATGAAGCAAACAAAGAGAAATAAATGTACCTCTTGATTGTGTTGACGTGATTGTGCCAGCACAATTCAGTCATTGTAACAGCACAATCCAAAAAACATTATATGTTAAAGGAATATTCCTGGCCAGACCATTTCTCTCCTAATATGGTAGCTATAACCATATATGTAAAATGTTTTGATATGGTCAATATTGATCACTTGAAAATGTAGTGCCGAATTCCAGTAGGCTGCCATCTTTTAATATTTCACTTAGGAAGTGATGTCATCGACTCTTAACTTTGCATATAACACTATAAGGAGCTATTTTAAGAATTACAAAACCAGCTGAATATTCTTTTTCAATTTTGTCTATGATTTAATCCTTCTAAAAGTCTCTTCTTTTATTCTAAGCTGACAAGCTCTGAACATATTTTTTGCGCATAAAGTAAGGATCACTCGTCTAGAAGTGATATTGAGCTATTTTCCTATACTGTTATATGCAAGGTCATGAAAGTTGAGAGTCGATGACATCACTTCCTGAGTAAAATCTTAAAAGATGGCAGCTTACTGGAAATGAGCACTACATTTTTAAATTATCAATGTTGACTATATTAAAACATTTCCCCATGTTTTGCTAAATATGGAAAGTATATATATGATTATAGCTATCACATCAGGATAGAAAAGGTTTGGCCAGGAATGTTCCTTTAAGTAGTAATTGTTTTAATTACTTTACATGTTAGTAAGTTACCTGCAAGGAGAGATTGAATCTTTAATTATATAAGCCCATACATTGGTTCATCCTCTTGGAATGCATGCTAGAGTATTTAAAACTCAGTTATTGGATTGTGGATCTTGGTGAAAACATGGACTTAATGGTCGCTAGGAGATATATCAGGTTTGGGGTTGTCTCATGATGTAAAATCAATTATAATTTTGCTTTTATTCAGAAATGTTGGATGGTTTACATTTGCTATTAATATTAAACTCACCATTATGAATATCAGCATATTAAAACATCCATTGCCAAACATCATAAGCTTTCAATGAATGTGAATTTCAAAAATATTTCCTTAGTCTCCCACACACACTCTTTAAAATAGGGGGCATCTTAAGGGGTAAATTAATTATTTCTGCTTAAATTTTTTTTATTATTTATTATTATGAACTATTATGAACTCCAGCCATCTATATTGGTCTAAAATGAAAGAAAACTATCAATACTATGCATGGGTATAAGGTGTGGAAAGTAAATTAAAAAGTATAGATGAAAATAATACGAAACCAAATTATATGGAAATACGTTTTATTTTTTTTCTCAAAAAGTGATAAAGCTATGAACATAGGGTTACTGCAGTCTCTCAACAGCATAATTATACATATTCAGGAATATTTTTAAGCCAGAATCCTGAATAACACAAAAGTTACGGAAGTTAACTTAAGTACCCCCTTTAAAATAGGGGCGTTTTAAGGGGTTAATCAACTATTTCTCCATAAATCATGATTTTCACACATTGAAAAAAATTTTAATGCATAATTCAATGTACCATTGATCAATTTAAGCTATTTGAGATGTCTTTATGTTTAAATTATGAAAATAATAATTAGTTTTAAGTTTGGGGGTGAATTGTAGGGGGCGCCACCTATAGGACCAGTTTTCACATTCGTTGCCGGGGCTAGGACAGAGAACCCAAGCTCAAAATAAGCCCAAGACCTTGCTCTACATGAATCCAGTGAGAAACTTAGGGGACAAACTTATTTTTTTAAATTTGCTCAGCTGCTGACCTATATCACAAGATCCGGGATACTTGGGGGGTTTTTTTATGGCATATCCTGGTTCGACGTGTTACTCCATCAACAGTTGAATTCAATAAATTTTCATATCAATGTAAACAATTTTTCACATATGGTTAATTAAAGTAGATAATTGCCTTTTTACATATTATTTTAATGTACAAAATGTATTCGCCCGCCCATATGACTTTACCCCGGCACTTAATAATAAGTACTCACCCCTCCAATGTGATCATCAATTGCTGAGACAGGATAGAAACTGTTGCATCGCTTATACCTAAAACAAATAATAGGAACTTAGGACTCCTCGAATCGAATCAGTAATTAGTGTAAATGGTTACTTCTGATCATTTAATAAGTGTTTTTGAGATCGTTTGGATGGTAAGCAGTGGCTGCCATCAGTTGCGTGTCTCGGTAATACCGGTATACGATTCTTATACTTTAACAGAGTGGTATATATGTGACAAGACAATAAAAAACATGAAGCTCGGACAAAACATTCCATTTGTTTACTAGTCTATGTTATTACAACATTACTTACTTAGAGTTGTTTTGATCGATGTTTCCACTTTTTCAACGTCTTCATCTATAATAGCTCTTGATAGATATATGGTGCTTGTCTTTCTAATGGCTACCACGTAAATATCTTTGATAACTTTCAATATAATGTTGAGGTTGGATATCTCCTCCTCGACAACTGTAAACTCAATTGGGTTCACCGTGTAAGGTAATATGGTAGTATTCTTAGACCGGTCGTAAGTCATGAAATGGAGTTTAACAACTGTGTCCCTGTAAAAATAATCGTAGAATATGACTATACCTAGATTCCCTAAGGGCAACTATTTAACCTAAAATACAGTCATTACATGTAATAACTACTTGCATTTCCATGAAGCTGAGAGCTTGACTGCATATGATTTTGCGCAGTTAACCTTACAAATTGTTCCACGCATAGAACCTTGGAAAGGCAACATAAAAGGGGAATAACAAATTCGTATCTTACCCACTAATTGTAAGATACTCCTCTTGGAAGACAATTTTAGTGCTGACCCGTAGGCTTCCAATATTTGATGTTGTAGAGGTCATTATGTTAGTGAGCTTCTCTTCTACTGATACTATACTGAAGAAAGGAATCTTCAAATCTAAGACCACGGAGAAAGTTTCCTCCAGTACAATAATCACAGTGTTTACGTCCACAGAAATGAATTCATAACTGAGCTCATCTGGTAGTTCGGGGAGTTTTAGAGGTTCTGTTTTACGTGCATCTATAACTCCGGTGTCCACGCGTGTTATCAATATGGCATACTCATACACCACCTTTGAGCTACAATCAAAGACATATTCAATAAATTGAACTTCATAGGTATTATAGTAAACTAGATTTGATATACAATGTTTGGAAGTCACTCGCAAATATATCAATGTGGTTAGTTAATTTTGATTTGTATAAACATAGTAAATTATAGAATTGTAATGTATTCTTGTTACCTATCATCAATGTCTATGACCACTTCTTTTGTAGTAACTATCTTTACTTCCAGGGTACTAGTCTCAACGTCTGAAATGCATATAACACGGATACTTTATAATTAACAAATCATATCAAATCAAATCATATCAAATCATAACAGAGCATCGAAATATATTCGACACTCGTACTTTTTGAAAACCAGGCACTAAATCACAAAACGACAACACTCGTTCGGGATTGTTGACATGACCCCAGCATTAACCTCCACTAAGAAAGAAAAAACATTGCGCCTAATACATGTCTTAACATCCTAATGAGAATCCAGTTGGAGTCAAGAGAAAGGCAACTATTCAAACTTTACAACGTCTTATCAGCCAGTTACTATAACTTACCAGGGTTTGCCTCACTGAATGAGGTTTTGGTTGCCTCAATAACAGCACTTATATCACTTTGCCTAACTTCTGTCTTCATATAGAGTTTGAACAGCATATCAGGCAGTATGTCTACTTCCTCAGCGCTTTTGATCGTGTATTGTGTCACAGTCAGCTTGTTGATTGCATTCTGTATAGCTGTTATGGTAGAACTTACTAATGTAGTAGGCTGAATGATACCATCATCACTTTCCAAGAAAAACCACACAGAATAGAGGCGATCGCTAAAATAAGACAACATTTGATAATGCAGTATTGTCTTCTTAAGTTAGATAATGCAAGAAAATAGACAAGACAGCTACTGCAATTTTCATGTCGATCTAACGAGATCCCATTGGAAATACCTTCAAGTTGGTACATCTTACATACATAAGATATACATGTATATCTATAGTATCTTGTAGTATACTTCATTTGTGCATACATGAAAATCTCACCTATTTGTATTGAACTGCATACGCACACCTATGTGAACTTCAAGGGTTAACGAAACTGGAAAAAATGAGATGTATTAAGGCAAAAAGAATCATTCATACTATCCAACAATACGACGTACTTTGTTCAAATAATGACGACAAATGAATCAGACTTCTATACACAGTGAGGCCATTTTGAATTTGATGGCCATTTAAAAAGGTTATCTTAATCATCGTTAAAGCGTAACAATGTTTATGACTCAACCAAAATCACTTGATGACAAAATTGTAAAAGTGGAGCCATTTTTGCCATCTATGTTACTCGAGTAATTCTTAAGTAATGGCCATAACAAGTCAATGTTTGAAGAATGTGCCTGGCTTCGATATGCCTTCCTTGAAGTATTTCCTCAACTTCATAAGGCATACGTACATATTGTTGTAAAGGCTTCCTTTATTCCTTTCTTTACGTTCTCTACATCACTCAACATGACAGGTTTATCAAGGTTGAAGCTAAAACAATTCTTCTTGAAAGTCATCTCTTTCTGGAAAATAAAAAAGCATCACTCTTAATCGCATGCAAAATATTTAGGTTATCATTACCGTTACCTTGACCTTTTACCCCCAGGACTTGTGTACCGAATAAACGACCTTTCATTTTAGGGGCACATCATGTGACACGCATACAAAGATGAAAGAGCGGACACCAGTTGACTTGAAGACAAAATAAAAGGGATATTGCAGGTATTTCATATTCCATATATTTATTTGAAAAAAGCAAGTTTTGAATACCAGCGAGAATCATATTTCCTTACTTTGTCTATGTTTACAGTGGTATACGTCTTGGTTGTAACACTTGTGACATCTAGCGTTGAGGCAATACTGGTATATGTGATGCCTAGTTGCACGCGGGCATCATATAACAATCCAGATTCTTCATTGGTCACCTTATACCAGAGTTTGTGTTTCCATTCACTACAAAATCCAAGATAAAATATAGTTATAATAGTAAGATATAGCGTTTATATTTACAGAAATGGAGCTATGAAAAACGTATAACTTCAGGTGGGACTAATCATTAAATTAATTATGCTCATATTATACAATATATATATAGTATATATTGCAAATGAATTGTAAATAGTTGTTTAATTGTTCTATTTGTACTGAATGGCGATACATTGGGTAAATGTTTTAGAAAATCAACTGAATTGTAACACATCTAGTTTTGAATTTTGAGCAGTCAAAATGAAAACAATGATTTGAAATACTTACCCTGATTTAGTTAGCATCTCACTTTGAGCCAGGATTTCAATCTTTGCTTCTGTTACATCTGCCGGGACAAAATGATACAATATCAACAATAGCAAATGATGCATCATATTGCGTACATGTACTTAGTTTGTAGTATTGCAAAATATATACATCTGGATTATTGTAAGGGGTTAGGCGATATACCATTTCAAAGTTAAAAGTGAAGTTTGATGAGCAAGAAGATACTTAAAGATGATTATTTGCATAACAATATACTAATATAAAATTAACATTTCTTGTTCAGTTGTAATATGAATAATGTTTTTAAAAATATTGAACACATATTTAAAGAAACAGACACATCCTACCTGTCCATATATTTTGAAGTGAAGATGTAATCTTAGGATAATCAACTACAGCCACCATTTGTTCAAACGTCACATCAAACAAGCTGTCTATGAAGTATAATTCTGTCACATCCTCTATATTGATCAGCTGATATGTTTCAGAGATGGTGAGATTGAGCTCTTCAAACGAAACAAAAGGTGCGCTGAATTTATCGATGACGTCACGAGGCGTAGACGACTCAATGAAGTAGCGTAATACAACGATGAAGTTTCTGAAAATAAACAAGGACATTTTTATATGAAAATTGCATGATTATGGAAAATGTGTATGACAATGACAACACACACATCTAATACTCATACATTAGATGACGATAAATAAGCTAAATCAAAATCTAATCAATAAGAAGGCCAGTGATACCATTTGCAAATAAAATCCGTGCACGAATAATGTATCATAACATATAAACAAGAAACAAATATCTACCCACCCCTCATACAACGCGTCAGATGTATCAGCAATGGTGATGGTCACGCCTGATACTGAAATTATAAAGAATATATGTACATGTACATTGTATACTAGAGCTTCGTATTGCTTCTGATCCAGAGTATGTACGTATTATGATGCATTCAGTAACATTTTCAATATACATGTTTTCATACGAAAGTATTTTTGACCAAGGAACATTATTGATGTGCATATTTTCATACAACGAAATGTGTTAATGACAGGGAACATTGTCATGTTTTCATACTGAAAGAAAACGTAATGACCAAGGAACATTATTGATATGCATGTTTTTGTACAAGAATGTGTTGATGACAAAGAATATTATCAATACACAGGTTCCAATAAGAAAACAGAATATGACAAAGAAATGTCTTTAGTAAATATGTTATCTCTGCCTTCATACCTCCTTTAGACTCCCATAGAATCTTCAACTGCTCTTTGAGATCGTTAAGATCCTCTTTCAAAACTAGGGAGGTAATTGAGAAATCCAATGCCTCTCTAAATGACCTTGTTGTGACATCTGTAGTTGCTATTGTATACTTCCTTTGAGATGTGAACTCGAGCATACCAAGTACATTTGAGATACTAGTGACATCTATATTTGCTGCTGTTGAAGTAGATGCATCAAGGTAAACTCCGTCAGCTTCTACCGTATACACAAGTTTAGTTGTCTCCAACACATCACTAAAAGGCATTGTACATTGAACAGATGTAAATAAGTAAAGTTATAATGTTATCCCAAGATTCATATAACGGGTTCTTATTTTAGAATTTAGACAATATAAAAATCTAACTTTTGCAATATCGTATAGAAAGTCAATATAAATATCCTGCCTCGAAACACAACTGTGTTTCCAAGGTATGGGTTTGGATGAACACTTGTAAATACTACTGATACACCTATTCATTGTGTATATACCTTGAAGATGTGAAGAGGAGATCCGCACCTAGGATTTTGACGTCAATGCTTTTTCCTGTGAAAACTAGAAAAACGTTTAACATTTTATAGGTCATGTTCAGTATCTTATGTTTGATATTGAAATAAGAACAATTTTCTCCACTAAAGTAAAACGTAAGCTTATTTACTTTTCAAAGTAAGCTAAAGGGATAGTATCAACAATGTGAACACTCAACCTCACATGTAATGATAATGTCAATCACTTTTTTCACATAGTTTACCTTGATTTGTTGCATATGCCTCTGCTATTCCTTCCTCAAACTTGATGTAATCATCTTTAAACACATTTCCAGTAATATCTATGCTAAATACGTTATCCAATACATAGATATCATCATCTGGTGTAACACTGTCATCGATTACATTACATAGGGCTATGTTGGGTCTGGATGAGTCACAGAAGGCCTTGCTGGTAGATGCCTGACTTAAAGCTGAATGCCCAACCGACCGACTGTCCGACACTGTATTCATGTATGTCATCACATAAGAAATTTTAGTGACAAAATTCCTGAAAGAGTATTTGATCAGTTCTTTATAGTTGAACGCAAAATAAACATATACACTGTATGACAGTATGTTTATTGACATATGAATTATACACCCAATTTATTTCACCCAGTCTCTCTTATATTAACTGCAACACAATTGATTCGAGGAAAATTTACTGTTGAAATTACTGGTGAAATCAGGGTAATTTTCAACTAGATTAAAGTTGACATGTATTTTGATTCATCCTAGAGATCTACCAGCAATTAAAGAATACTGCATACTGCTAGTGATCTGTAAATAGACGACTTACCCAGATACATCGATGCTTGGTTCAATCGAGATGATCATTATGTCAATGCTGGTTTGGTTTGCTACTGCACCTGGAGAGGAGCCAACCCCAATATCTATACCACTGGCTTTATATTCTGTAATAACAATTGCATATCAACGTTGATGTATTGTTATGACTGTAATATGATTGCAATGTCCTGATCAGATGTTCTATGATCTTCGATTATCATAGCAAATGGTTGGGGAGGAGGTTTGTAGACATTATTTGATGTTTGTTAGATCATCGTTTTGAACATTGAAAGTTTGTTTTCCTTAGGGCTAGTTGAGCTCGCAGACGTTTTTTAAAGGACCGATATTTCTCTAATAGCTTACTAGTGAGAACATATTTTGAACTGTGTTCTGTTATGTTTCACTTATGATAATAACTCTGACGAGTTCATAGCATACACATCTTGGATTCTTCTTGATTAAAAAAATAATAAATTGAATTACCTGCTATTAAAGATGTCCGTATCGCTTGCTGTAAATTATCAATACTCGAATCAAGTATATTTCCAACGACGGAGAACTTCGTAGCATGTTTGTATCGATACACATCAACTACTTGTATATCCACAATATCATATCTGTCTGGCCACTCTATGTCATTCAGAATACTTGGACGACTTATGCTGGCAAAGTCAATGTTAGTCTCAAAAGAGTTAGCAATAACAGCTTCAACGTTGACACTGTACATGATTATGGTGTGCTGTGTCCTGTAATGAATTTTAAAAATGTATAATTCCAATGGAATACATTTTATTGGAATTAATCATTTTGAAAATAGGAAAATTTCTCTGTCTAGTCATAATTTACTTACCTTTTGGAGAAAACCTTCTCTCTCAGCTTTATGTCAACATCTATTGCCATGCCTACAAATATAATATGCAATCTGATGTACTAGTTTCCATTTGATGTGCTTACCAGCTATCAATTTGGGTATAATACCAATCTAGCGAATAATGGGGGAACATTTCACTAGTTACTGCATGAGTCTATCCACGATTTTTAGGACCGAAAGCTTTGTCCAAATCAAAAATATCAACATCAGATATATCATCAAAAGTATTTTACACTGACGAGAAATGACAACTTTCCTGATATGCAATGTTCACAAGATTCAAGATCATTTTGGAATATGAAATTTGCCTATCAACAACCAAACCCTTTTATATAGGAACCCCACCGCCTATACTGGTTCCCAATAGATGTACCTGGATTTTCAAGTTCCCAGAGGTTCATCAGAGATGTCTTAATTGTGTCTACGTCCTCATCAAAGACCACACCTTCAACCAGCAGGGACTGACTGTATCGGTAGCTGACACTCTCCCCAGTGTAAAGCTGGAGACCAGTGAACTGAGGTAACTCTAACAACTTAGCTACCAGATCACTTGGCTCTGGAGGATCAACCATTGATGGATCTACGGGCACCTCGTTTGCAGTCGTGATAAAGTAGTGTATTGCCCAGACTTCAATACTGAATGCAAATGGATATTAAAATGCATAATTTAAATTATTTGAAATAATTCACTAAACTTGTCGAGGTAGATTGTTTTGAAGTAGGAGTATGAATTTCCATTAATGCAAAATATTAATGTGCAATTAGTATCAGCACTTAGTAGAATACTTACCCATCATCACCAATGTATTCTGGTATGGTAGCAACAGTAAATGTGGCAGCTGAGTAGCCTTAAAGAAAACATACACGCAGTAAAAATTGTCTCACATATGACATAAGAGAGTTGGTATATTGTTCGGAAACCATTTATTGCTATTTTATGATTTTGCCTCACAGTCAATATATGTAGCACATGATTCGAGGCAATGCATTCATTTCCAACAAAAAAGTCATCTTCTTATTTTGTACTTTAAATACAACAGGACTGTTTATTTTACAAAAATAAAATGTTATAAAAGTCTTACTACTATCCATAGTCTCCCACACAAGTTTTATCTGCGCTGCTATGCTCATATGACTTTTCACATCAAGTACAATATCAGTGACATCTAACCTAAAGGCGTGCTCCATCATAAATACCAACACTGACTCATCATCTATGCTGATAACTTCTAGGTTGATCACTTCAGTCGTAAGATCAGTAACCAAGGTTCTGGTGATATCCGGTTCTGGGAGTGTGTCTATGTTAAGGCCACTGCCATCAACTAACTCAATATCGTAGTTTATCTGTACAGCATCGATTCTTAAACAGAATTGACAGTACATTGAAATAACAGACAATCATATCACACATGCCACATAATACATTCATATCGTCTATAATATACATTATGATTCGTGGTAGCCACAGCGACTGTCCTTTAATATGGTAATTGAAATATTAACATAGTGTTTTTTTCTCTGTGACTACTTGGTAGTTTTTTAAAACGCCATTTCATATAATAAAATAAAATAGACCAAGAAAAAATGCATCTTACCCATATTGTGTAATTGCTTCTTTTATCTCAAGATTGATCACCAGCCAGCCATCAGCTCCGATAAGTGTGACCCAAATGTCCTTTACAATATTAGACACAAATGCCTCAACATCGGCCATATCACTTGTCTTAAGATATTCCTTTATCTCTTTCAGCAATGTGAAGTAGTTTGCGTGTATAGAAGATGAGTAGCTTTTTGTTGTCTGGACACTTGGTGTGGTTGGAATTGCACTGGGCAAGACACTTGCTGATACACTTGGCACGACACTTGATGGTGATATAGACATTATACTTGAAGTATCACGAAGTGAGGCAATTTCTGAGGGGCTTGCTCCTATACTTGGTGTTACAGAATCGGAAGCCGAGGCAGGTTTTTGGACTTGAGAACTAAAAACATCCACTTCTGAACTAGACAAATCCATTGTTTCTGTTGGTGTACTTATGTCCTCCGTATTTACTTTGGAAACAAACATAGATTCAACTGTAGAACTAAAAATATCTATTGAATCTGTGGCTGTAGAGGTAAACATATCCAAGGATTCCATTGTATCACTCGGCATGTCCATGGATTTAGTTGGAGAAATCATCATTTCATCCGATTGTATTTCAGAAGTAAACATTTCCTTTTGAGAACCGGAAATATCCATAGATTCCGTTGCAGAACTGGACATATCCATTGATGCAGTTGGAGAAATCATTATTTCATCCGATTGCATTTTCGAACTAAACATTTCCATTTGAGAACCGGAAATATCCATAGATTCCGTTGCAGAACTGGACATATCCATTGATTCAGTTGGAGAAATGTTTATTTCATCCGATTGCATTTCAGAACTAAACATTTCCATTTGAGAACTGGAAATACTCATAGATTCCGTTGCAGAACTAGCCATATCCATTGATTCAGTTGGAGAAATGTTTATTTCATCCGATTCCATTTCAGAACTAAACATTTCCATTTGAGAACTGGAAATACTCATAGATTCCATTGCAGAACTAGCCATGTCCATTGGTTTAGTTGGAGAAATCATTATTTCATCCGATTGGATTTCAGAACTAAACATTTCCATTTGAGAACCGGAAATATCCATAGATTCCATTGCAGAACTGAACATATCCATCGATTCAGTTGGAGAAATTATTATTTCATCTGATTGCATTTCAGAAGTAAACATTTCAATTTGAGAACCTGAAATATCCGTAGATTCCATAGCAGAACTAGCCATGTCCATTGATTTAGTTGGAGAAATCATTATTTCATCCGATTGCGAACTGGAAATATCCATAGATTCCATTTCGGAATTGAAAATATCCATAGATGCCATGTTCGAAGCAGACATTTCCATTGATACACCCTCCAATGACATTGATTCCTTCACAGAAGTAAACATATCCATTTGAGAACTGAAAATGTCCATTGTTTCCATTAGTGAATTGGATATATCAATAGCTTCCATGCTGGAACTGGATATTTCCATGGATTGAGTCTCCATGATGGATATGAGACTGTCCATTGATTTTGAATAGGAACTAAACAGATCACTCGGCTCTACCCTAACTCGAGTGGAAGACATAGGAACTGGTGTAAGGGTCGATGTGCTTTCAATTTGACTACAGCAATACGATCCACCAGAGGTATTTCTTACACACAGCTGAGAACTATCACAGTTCCCTACAAAACATGTATTAGGTAAAGTAAGGTAATGAAACGTTCAATTGTCGTTTACCTTGAGAACAAGATGAAATTCTAGTATAATCATTTTATTGAAGAACCCTCCAATTTTACGAGAACTCCCAGACGAGTGTTTCATTTTAGGCATAGGAAATGCTGGGTACTGCATCTACTATGTAATATAAAATAGTGTATGTCGTACCACTTATCGTGGACTTGTTACAAACCTTCTTTAAAAGCTTGAAACGGTTGAATTCCAGATCCAAGTGCAATAAATTCTCCGTATATACGATTTTCGTGTATAAGGCCTAGGAATGAAACCAATATTTCACCAGGTTCGCCTAGCCATGGTCCTGCTATCAATGCAAACGAGGAGTTCTGTCCTGGGACGTTCGATATTGTGCCAGTAACTTCGTGGGCAGATTGATTGCCTATCCATACCTTCCCTTCCAGGTCTGATGATCGCTCAACAACATCCATGGCGAAGGTATACTCTTCAGAGCTAATTTCAAGCATTCCTTTCCACAAACCATGGATTCCTACAACACAACCCAACGAACGTCATTTAATTACATACAGCGAGACATATGTTATGGTTGGTATATTCTAGAAATGCAACCAAGGTTTAATGTGTAACTAAACTAATATCAGTTAAAAAATTAGAAAATAAGACTATAACAAATTTCATGAAATTGATTATGTGGTAAAATCACCATACAGTATCTTACCCTCACAAGTCACTGCCATATCATCTGGCTCGGTGCAATCAAATCCCTTCCAACCAGTTAAACAAACTTTCGAACCTAAGTTGCAATACAGCATATCAGTTTTAGAACGTTGTTATCACTAGTTCTTAAACAGATAGCATAATCCTTTCTCTCCTTTTTAAGTTTAATGTATTATTAAGGCATTTCTACATCTAAAACCTTATCTTTGATAAAATTAGATTATACGGGGAAACATCTGGATGATTTTTAGAGATATTACTTCAAAAAATATAACACTTAAATGTAATGCGTAGCTCTACCTGTTTCATTGTGACACGTGTAGTGCCCAGCGCAGTCATCGTGGGATGTACACTCTACCGTACATTCCGGTCCATAGAAGTTACTCTGACATTGCTGTTAATGAAATAAATGGTGATGTGTAAAGAGTTGAAGTTGAAGAGAGTGGGTTGGGTCTTTGGATGATCTTTAAATATATACACACAATTGTAAGATATCATGATTTGAATACACCATCCCTTCCCCTAATCCAACTCCAATGATCTTTAGAGTCGTTGACAATTTAAATGCCGAAACAATTCAACAAAGAATTGCATGTTTCTCTATACTACATACTAGTACTACATAATTCCAATGATAAATAGCGGAAAATGTACTTACAAGGCGCTCACAGTCCTTCCCAATATATTCTGAAATTCAAGAAAATACATTAACTACATTTTACTTATATGTGCATAGTACATTAAATTGTTTGCACAATCGAATATAATATACGAGCGTATATCTAATGGAAACAGTACACCCCGAATTCTCACATTAAACTCGGAAATACTTACTATCTGGGCAGGTGCATTTGTAAGACCCAAATGTATCTTCACATGATCCTCCATTCTTACACGGGGACACGTCATTCGTCTTACATTCATTAATGTTCAATTCGCAAAGCCTTCCTTCAAACCCATCAGTGCAGGTACAGTTAAAGTCGTCAGTAGAGGACTGGGATTTAAGACAACAAAAAGTTATACACAAATACAATTAACTATTCAATATAATATATCATTTTCTAGTCTAGTCCTGTCTAGTGTAGCCCTCGTGACCCAAAGCCCCTACTACTGTTGTGTTGGTCAAGGGGAGTCCAAAGTCTTGAAGCAAATCTACTATCATTCTTTAATAATGAAGTCCAGACTAATACGTCCCTGTTCATTGAAATACTTTTTGGGATCAATTGAATTAATAAACACAAGGAACACACGCGTCTCGAACTCGCAACCTCGTGGTTACGGCGCCCAATCGCCCAGCTTGAACGTGCCGGCGCTCAAGCCCTCTCGGCCAACTCGACAACCCCAAAAAAGGTTGTTTTGTCAGTCGATCTGAAAGCCCTCTCGGCCAACTCGACAACCCCAAAAAAGGTTGTTTTGTCAGTCGATCTGACACTAGAGGCAGCTAATGTTAACGCTCGAACACACCAGAGGAAGCACAGCTGACATTTCTATCCCTTTGGCATTTGCGCTTATATATTCCCACACACACAGACACGCATGAGATATTCATAACTTGTTTATGTGATGATATGCTTGGTTTGATATAGAACTAGAATGTACCTCTTGGCAAATGGCCCCATTTTTGCAGGGGTTCATGGAGCAGTGTTGAATCTCAACTTCACAGTTTCTGCCAGTGAATCCTAAGGAAATGTTAATACATTAATGTTGAATCTCTAGCTAATAATGGAGCGCTAATAATATAACGTAACAAATGTCTTAAATCTTGCGACTGTATAATTGGTAACAGAATTAAAATATGAATCTAATGTATTCGCATGACAAATCAACCAACAAAGTTTAAGTAAAGGAAACATTTCCAATCGATGCTAAGACAATAATATTAAAAAGTGTTTACCGTCCGCACAATTGCAGATATAATAGCCCACGAGTTGCTGACACAGTCCTCCATTGGAGCAATTTACACCATCACATGTATTCAATATAGTTCCACAGTTCGGATCCGTATAACCATTACGACAACAACAATCACCGTCATTGTCGCAGACACCATCATTGAAACACAGCGTGCCTACACCTATGTTGAAATCAAACATCAAGTACATTGTAGTAAGACATGTAAAAATATAAAACACTTTACCATTTTAGACGTCAATTCCCATCATAAATTGAATGCTTGCAATGTAGATTTATCGTTCCATGGCACTTTGATTCCTTAGATAAAATGTTATAATTTTCAAAATAAAATTGTTGTTGTGTCAGAGGAATAATCATGCAATGACCTAAATCCTTACCTCCTCCACAAATTACTTTTGAGTCATCGTTCATGTTACAGTCTTCGCCGCTCCAAGTGTCCATGCAGATTTTCTCTCCGGTGTCGCTACATAAATAATGGCCAGAGCAGGTGTCTTGTGCCACACAATATGTATTACAGTCTTCACCATAGAAGTTGCTGACACACACCCTCTTCTGACAAAAGTCTCCCTCATAACTGGAGCATTTAATGAATAAAGAGAATATGAATTCACGATGTGGTTTTGGGAAAGACCGTTTTTGCACCAAGTTATATTTTTGAGTTTACAACTTGCACTTCCAGTAAATCAATTTAGACTTTGATCGAGAAGTTATGAATTGACATTTCTTAAAATAATCTTATAATTAACGGTATAATTGTACTTTGTTCGCTAAAGTTTATTTAATTTTATGAGTATATTTTATAAGTATACGTAAGCAAGATTGAAACTCGTTTATATTTTTTTTGTTTTGCAGATGTTGCCTTCTATACCTCCTCAATATTGGCTCTTGGTGAATATCATTGAAATAACGTATCCAGATCAGATTCACTGCTTTTAGACTAATATGGGTTTCTATAGCTTACCCATATTTACACTGACAGGTAAAACCTCCTCCTAATTTTTGTATACAAGTGCCATCATTGTCACAGGGATTCGCGGCACACTCATCAATATCAATACTGCATATTTGACCTTCAAACCCTGAAGAAGACGACATGCACATAAATATCAGTACCACATATTATAGCGAAGTACATATACACATAAGCACATACATATAATATAGGGTATATTAATTGTAAGTTTAACTTTGCAACGATTGCAAAAAAAAACAGAGATATAATTCAGTAGCGTAGGCCAGGAAAAAATATACTGTGTATAATCATAACCTCTACCTCTCCCCAAGCCCCTTGCCCTTATGTGACTTGCCAAACGCGTCGAAGTTAAAGTTGCATACATGAATTTATTGAGATGAGTACACATGACTTATGCGTTGTATGTAAGTGTACAACCAACAACCGAAATACAGTTATTTAAAGCACCATTCATTAACATTTATCATATCAAATGAAACTATACTAAAAGTCAACACCTCACATTTTTATGAAAGCAGTCAGTCATTGATCCTCCGTGTACATCTTACTGTACAATGAGTTTAAGTTCAGTTGGTTAATGTTTACGCATGTTAGATTTTTCACTGACAAAAAATAGATATTAAATGTGTCGTATAGTACGCATCATAAACTTCAAAAAAAGAATAATTTATTGCATGAACTTTTAACTTACCATATGTTAGAAGGGGGTAGTTTAATCGTTGGCTATACATTGTAATTACAGGAAATTTGTTTAGGACCGGACATTTTTGACACTTATAATATAAAACAAAACAAATACAATTCGTTAGATGTTAAAATATACAAAATATATTTTAGAGTTCGGATGTTTTCATTAGTGTCACATGGAACTTATTCTTGAATTGTATCAAAAGGTGAAGATGACATTTATCTATTCATAAATGCCCTCATAAGGACAGATAATGTACATATTAACCATGCAGATATAGAAATGAGTTGGGGGTAATATTTGGAGAGTTTCAATTTTACTCAGACACTTCAAAAGTATTTAGATAATAAAATTGTGTAAAGCGTATGGTTAAAATGGATACATCGTATTAAAAGATCGCTTTCAACATTGTGCATTTGTTCCACTAGCTAATAGTGACACAATGTACATACAGATTGTCCTAGATACAGTGATATATCATTCATATACACTTATATATGTCCTACTAAAGCTTACTACTCTATTCTAATAAAAGCCTAAATTAAAGTATAAAAGCCTCATGAATTCAACGTATAAAGGTTTGAAAGTAGATCCAGTTGAAAGTCAATTCTCTCAAAAGTGTATGATGTCTTTAAGTTTTACCTGGTATGCAACAACAAGAGAATGAACCGTCCTTTGGAAAACACGTCCCTCCATTATCACATGAGGCTGAAATATAATGTAATTATAATATTCAAGTTTTGTATTTGGTTATCTTTCAATAAATCATCATTTTCTCATTGGTAAATCATTGCAAAATGTCGGGGAAAGTAAAACGTATTTCAATGAATATAATAATATCATTTTAATCTGTTTCCTTGCATTTTTAACTTATTACAAACAAGTGGTTATAATGTTATGTATTCTTACAGGAAGTACAAGGTTCAGTGACGTTCGATGGATCTTTGCAATTCTCTCCCATCCAACCGTCCATGCAGACTTTGCTTCCTGTCTGTGGATCGCACGAATAGTGTCCTTCGCAATGATTTTCTTCTGTACATTGCACTGAACAGTCACCACCGTAGGATTTTTCATCACACCACACTGATATGGAGTAGGTTAGGCTAAAATAACAAAGAATGTGGAGACCAGTTAGGAACAATTTACCAGGTAAATGGAAAATATTCCGATGATCTATATATGTACTGTATATGTAAAAGTACATGATGGAAACGACATCGTTCCACCAAGAAGCCATCCAATATGTCTCTCCCTAACAGAAGTGCCAATGTGAAGACAATCCTATGAGCGGTTTTCTCTGAATAGGCATGACCGTTCGAAAACTTCTAAAACGGCTTACTAGAATATAGGGCCCAAAACCTTTCAACTGTAGTATTCGATACACTCTCCCATGTGCAAAATAACAAAAGAAAATATTTTTCTCTCATAATGAATGTCGAAATTCTTACAGGGAAAAACAAGTACAAATCGTTGCTGCAAATGTGAATAAAATGTGACATACCAGGTACATGTACATGTACTTTTGATCTATGCAGTAAAAGATAAATCCGTTTACACCAAAACTTGGAGGGAGTAAGTAGGCTTAGATTAGACAAAGTAAAATATTATTTATTATATTTTCTTCCATATGACGCAAGTCATATTCTTATACTACAAGTATAATTTTTATATGTGGATGTACTCGTAGAATTCCATGATCAGATTAAACAAGCTAGAGTCACAAGATATATGATATATTTTATGCTGAAACGAAGACATCGTGTCATAATCTCAAACTATATGACATGTTTATGCTAATCCCTTGAGAATTTTGGGGTGGTGGTGGTGAACTCGCTTAAATTGAAAACGTATTCAATGAAATCAGGGCGCATTTTTTCACCGCTATTTTTCCTCGATTAGTTTCAGATATGGCCGCTTTCTCACTGTTTATCATGCTACACATTTGATCTGGTATATCAGTTTTTGTCATTTAATAAAATATTAAGTATTGTGAGGGATTAGGCATGACATTTAAAATATATTGCTTTCGATAATTTACACTCTCTATCCTTTATGTCTTTTCTTATCCCCTTCCAACTTAAAATATTTGATTCGATCGATCACCTTTCATGATATAGCACGGGTAACTAGAGTATCCGCGTATATTGAGTATGACCGGTTCTAAGCTTACGAGTGTGACCGTATTTCTGTTCCTATAAACATACGAGGTGAGTACTTGCTTTTTATGAACACTTTCGAACGTTTTCTTTTTATCCTACTTGGTCAATGAATGATACTTGGTATACTTATAATGCCAGGCATATCACAAGGGGCCTTAATCAAGAGAAAACGTATTAACATTAGATTGAAGCCGTAAAATCCTAGTTTCCAGCATCTTTGATCAGTTTTTGTGTAACACAACGCAACTCCGAAGAGGATGACACATCTTATGTATAATATATAGCTAGATCTACGAATTAGTCATGAATATTTTAAATAATTTAGCCTGCTCTGTCCAAATATGATACATCTTTGAATTTTTGAGAATACGAATGTCACTGGTGCCCCATTATTGGAGAATACGGTTGTGAAATGTCTTGGATCGGCATTTAACCGGTGTTTGGATACGACTTTTAGCGGTGACAGATGCAAAAGGTAATTCGAAATACCAGAATGTTGAGGCTCTTCAGACGCTTGCAGTAGGTCTCCAATATAAAGTGGGAAGAACTAAATAAGAGTAGATGACTTATAGTGTCAAGAGCCTATTTTTTCCAAAAGAATTCAGTTAAACGTAGACCGAAAACAATAGCCTTGTTTGATTATAATTATGTTGTCCCATTTCAGACCTTTTGTAGATTTGTGGTTAAATCAGTTGACCCGATTTCAGAATGTTGGCGAAAGTAATGGCAAAATATGCTTTTAGAACATTTTTATCGAATTTCAGTAATATATTAAGACAGGTTTTATACCAATACATTACAATGTATGGAAAGAAAAGTTTATCATGTATTTGAAAATATAAACATATTATAAAGGTGTTCAACAGCTGATTGGTACTAGCGATCCCAATGCCACAAAACGCAAGATACTGTTGTGCGCGTTGTGTGAATTTAACACCACACACAAAAATAGTCTTACAAGGCATATGTCCAGAAAGCACACCTCTGTTTATGATGTTTTTGAATGCGATCAGTGTGGCAAGATTTATAAAAGCAAGGACACCTTGAACGATCACGTTCGAGGGTACCATCATCGTGAGATATCACAGCCTTCTCTCAGTGTCCTTCTAGAGCATATTCTTGTGCATAGCAGAGATGGTTTGAGTATCAGAATGGGGTACCATAATGGAGAGTTTAGGTGCTCTCAATACATACACTCGTATTCTACACCGGTAACATTCCGATCACATCAATCAGTGGGCCGTGTTACACTCGTTTCCATGACATTTCACAAGCGTATCCTCTGGGAAAAGATAAATCCTTCTCTTGCTCACTCTACGGGGGATCATATAAACTGAGATTTGGAGATCTTGTTCAGGTTAGCCATAAAAAGGTTTGGGATTTGTTTTTTTCTACTGTGATATTAATGATTTGGCTCTAAGGCGAGAAATCTGTACTTTCTGATTGATATTCCATTATGAACAGTTACATTGCTAAAATAGCTCATGTTTAACATTTTATTGTTACATTACTATTAAATACAGCATAAACTATATTCAACAAACACAATTTCAAAAAGGATAATATAGAAGTTAACCTTTATTTTTCATTTTTAAGCAGCTGTGCCTCTCATGACTTTCCAAAACAGGTCATATTCGTAGCCTAAGAACCGGTCATACTCAATATACGCGGATACTCTAGTATCCCGTGATATAGTCTATTGTGTAAAGACTGCTAGCTTTTAACGTAATATTTAGATATTCAATAAAGGGCACAAAATAGTTATGTGAAACTACATAGTTTGTAACGAGGCGCCATGCATTGAGCTTACAGATTTGGTGTCAAAAGTCAAGGTCTGAAATATTTGCTAGGAATACTATACAAATATCTATACTATTGAGGTGAATACCTGTTGCACTTTTAATAATTCTAGCAAAGTTTATTCCCCGAAACACTGTCAACTCGAGATGCCATATGTCATTGATGATTTGTATTACCATATTGACACATAACATTATAGTAAGTGTTTCAAACTCTTAAATCAGAGTGCAGTTTAATATAGAAAATCAGAGAGAAGTACGTATACACGAGTGTTCACTTTTTCAATACTTGTTTCAATTGTTTCAATTCAAAGGGTCACACCGCAACTTATGAGTTTCAAACTACTTTGGCTTGTAAATTCAATGAAGGCTACATGTAAATAAAAAATGAAAGGAATCCAATTTAAATCCGTTGCTTTATTTCTTTAGACAGTATTACACCTTATTTAGTTATATGAAGGAATTCGTATGTTAATTTTCCAATAAATGCGGATATCAAAATATATCACTTTGAAAATTTTTAAAAGTAATGTTAATATTATTTTATAAATGAATAATTTGATATGATACCATGTCTTATTAATATATTACATTTCTTATAGTACATGTAAAAAATGTGTTGATTGGTTCTAAAGATATGTTTTCATAACTCACAAAATACTAGGTAGTTATAACGATTCAATGTTCAATCCATAACAACAATATTTACAGTTTTTCAAAAATAATTTTCTTTGGAATATTCATGTCCGAGGCTCTATAAGGTAGTTTTTGCTCTCAGTGTTTTGGGTTTTGAGAGATGGATTTATTTCAAGTTCAGTCCAGAATATTGTTTGCTGAGTGTGTTGGAATGTGAAAATTGAAGTGGTTTCACGATTGTCTCCACAATGACACGTGTGTGATTTGGCATTAGCAATGCTACGAGGGTGAATGGAAATATTGAAGATGAAAGCAACATACTAATAGGTAATTTGGAGTTTTTTTATAGGATTTTCATTCAAAGAAAGTTCTACTTTAATTTTATGATTTTTTCAAATGAGTCCAGTATCATAAACATATCTGAATAAAGTTTTTGGCTTTAGTCAAATATGTTCATACTCCTTTGGGAAAATCAGAACTGTTGTATGTTATGCAAAAAGAAACTTTTGCAACGTCGTCGTTGACTCACAAATCATTTCTTTCCATTCTACTACCTTTAAAAGGTCCAAATTCATGCTAAGCTGCAAATATCTGGAGATGGCCATCAGTGACCGGTATGAGCTTATATTTCTGAGAATGTCACACATGGGAAGCAAAGAATGTCAACTGGGAACTTATTTGCCTATTGTACTTTGTTAAAGGACGGGTGTCATTAAGGGCCCTTTTTAGCCCCCAAAGATATCTGATAATAATGCATATCATATTGAAGAAAAATCATTTGTGCTTTATAAAAATACAATTTCAGCGAAGTTTGACCTTTGATGTTCACACAACAGTCATTTAAAGATCATATACCATTTTTGGTGTTTTTACAAAAAAATCTTTATTTATTGTTGTCTAAGTAAATAGTACATAAATATCAACCAATTTAAATATATTAAAATGTAATATATGATATACTGAAGAAAAGATACGATTAAAATTATTTTCATGGAAAAGCACATAGGGCAATATTGACAAAATGCAAATGCTATTTTGGTAGTTTCTGGGCTAGCAATGGGTACATTTCAACTGTGACTGTAATGGATTACTATTGACTTTTATCAACATCACAGGGCGACATTTAAGCAACTTAAATACAAGGAAACTCAAAGATTTCCTCTCATTTCTAAAAGAGGAACAAAAGCATGAATTCACGGAAAATAAATGATGGCCTGTGCCAAAATATATAACATATGAGAAAGTTGTGGCACAGTAAAGGATATGTATAGGATATCATATGATTTTAAATGATTTTATCTTTATCTCCGAGTCGATATCAATATCTTGCCAAGTTAGCATAGCGAATTAGCGCAGATATTGATATCAATGAGTTAGATTAACACAATATCACGAAAATTCATAGGATGTTTTATTTTTCCCATAGTTCACCTCTAAAACTAAACAAAGCATATCAAAACAACATCCATTCATTCATTCATCCCCGTGATGTCATGAAATCACTATGTAACAAAACACATCATATTGGTGGTCAGTTTTCAAATCCCTGCCAAAAGGTGATATCTGTGAAATATTTTCCGTATTCCACAGATATCACTTTTTCCACGCATTTGCAAAATATCATAAATATGTTTTCATGTTACCTAACAGAGCGGAACAGAGTTCAACTATGGGATAAAGAATAAAAAATAGGTACATAATTGAATTACCACTCCAAAAATATTAAATATGAGGGTTTAAGAAAGAATATTGAATATGAGATTCAAAAAGACAAGTGGCCTCATGTCTCACATAACCCAGATCCTCGATGTCATATATACTTGTATACTGTATATCAATGTTATTTACTGGGAGGATTAAATATGGAGTGTATAGCAATGGTCAATACGATATTTCCAGATGAATATTTTTTCCCTAGAAGCGGAACCCAAACTCAGTCATAACATAGAAGCTAACTTTTGCAATTAATAGAAATATATTTTTGTGTTCTATATTTGAGATGAAATAAAATGAGATTCATTTCTACAAGAGGATGGAACGAATGTGAACTTGTATATTGAACTATACTCCTTTTCTGAATAAACAGAACAACATTTTATCCAAGCCAATTAAGAAAACCAAGGCCAATGAGTGTAATTTATGCCCAGTTAAACTAACACAATAATAACTTTTTGTCTGGACTCACTTATTATGTAAGAATGAATTGTATTACTGTTTACTGCATTAAATGTCAAGTATACTATCTGTATTTAATTTCAAATGCTTATCTCACTTATCGAAGGTATACAAGAAATGTTATTTTGAAACAAATTCAGCACAACCAAAACCATGTCCACATAATATGACAAATCCAAGATGGCTGCCACAATTTTGGATCCATGCACATGTGAAGAAGTTAGAAATACACATGGTCCACAAGTTCCATCCCCAATAAAATGGGAAGTTTAAGGTTTTCACACATATCAACTCTATTCTTATATACTTTATATTTGTGGTAAGGCTTGTGTTCTAGGTAAACTTAGCATGTTCATGTACCTCCTATCCTCTGAAGCTAAAAGAGGATGGAACGAATGTGAACTTGTATATTGAACTATACTCCTTTTCTGAATAAACAGAACAACATTTTATCCAAGCCAATTAAGAAAACCAAGGCCAATGAGTGTAATTTATGCCCAGTTAAACTAACACAATAATAACTTTTTGTCTGGACTCACTTATTATGTAAGAATGAATTGTATTACTGTTTACTGCATTAAATGTCAAGTGTACTATCTGTATTTAATTTCAAATGCTTATCTCACTTATCGAAGGTATACAAGAAATGTTATTTTGAAACAAATTCAGCACAACCAAAACCATGTCCACATAATATGACAAATCCAAGATGGCTGCCACAATTTTGGATCCATGCACATGTGAAGAAGTTAGAAATACACATGGTCCACAAGTTCCATCCCCAATAAAATGGGAAGTTTAAGGTTTTCACACATATCAACTCTATTCTTATATACTTTATATTTGTGGTAAGGCTTGTGATCTAGGTAAACTTAGCATGTTCATGTACCTCCTATCCTCTGAAGCTAAAAACAGAAATAGTGACTTCAATTGAGAAAAATGAATCTTATGGGCTCCATATATATTTTGAGTGGCTGTCCGGCTTAAGTTAGATACTACTGATAATCTGAGATTGAAAATTATGTCAAGTTTAGTCCTCAGTCTCTCATAACCGATAAATTCGAGGTAATTGTGTTGTTACTGCAAAAACCTCTATTTCTTCATCACAAATCTACCATCTTTTGCATCTGTCAAAACCCTTCATTTCATGTTAATTTTCAGACTTGCTTGTGCCATCATTAAATATATATATTCAACTTGTTATTCAGAATATTTTAAGAACTTTTCATGAATATTTTTATTTTCACACTTTTGAAAACATGACTAAGTCAGAGAATGGCCTCTTAATGGCATGTCCCCTTTTGGCTATAATGCCCAAATAGGACAAAGCCCGTAATGAATTGCTTAAATAAAAAAAACGTACTTAAAAATAAGGCTTACTCACCTAGTTGGAGAAACAGCCCTTGTACCTGTAACATCCACTTGCTCAATCTGACTCTGGCCTATTGCCGAAGCATTGGCCAGAGTATAGATATCTTGCAGAGTATCAACTTCTGTATCAATTGCTGTATCATCGTCAGAAACGGTTATCTTTATATATATTTCTCCCTGAAAAAAGTTAATTATTAGTCGTAAACAGTTGTAATTTAGTATGAATGAAATGTCCCTTGGTGTTATGGTTTCGGATTGTGATATTGGTATGGTGGAAAGGTGGGGTGATATTAGACACTGTTTCAACTCATGTTGAATTATGATTTGGGATAGTTGGAATTTGTTTTCATTATAGATGTTTTCTTTTTTATTTATGTACACTAAACGGCCCTTAAGTACCCTATGAAGTTTAATTTAGATTCATCTAGTTCATCAGGACATGGATATATCATGCAGTCTCGATTACCAACTATACCCTCGTGGCTATGGTACATGAGTACAACGAACATTGTTTCTGTGGAACGTCATATGATTTGGTATGATTCTATTTGACTATTTGTGTCTGCCTCGTGAGGAAATTGACTTTTTGGGACATATCGGGGCAACATCCCATATTCCACAAGGTTCCATGGGGTCCCATAGGTCAAAATCTCAAGGGCTCCAATCGCAGTGTTCCACGCAATGTTAAGAAGTGTACTTGAGTGCCTTACTGTGGGTAATTTAGGATTTCTAGTCATCTATTTTTCACCAATGTTTCATCTTAATGTTCATTATTTTATCGAAATTCAACTTTCAATGTTAATAAATCGCAAGCTATGATGCATTGAAATAGGCAGATCAAAATGAAAATTTATTACATATTTACACGGCATTAATTTTGAGATCTGAATCTTCAGTTGAAATACCTTTGGATATGTATTACATTCCCTAGAGATGACATGAAGTGTCTTGATCTATTAACCGCTTAAGTGAATCGAAAGGGTAATTTTATAATGGTTTATAAATTAAAAATATAAACTCCTGGTTCCAAGGCCATGAATACTGGGTCATGATAACTGCTTGAATATTTATCTTTTTACAATATAGTGATTTAAATTTTGCTTTCTTCCTGATTATTTGTTGTCATTTGTGTCATTTGTTTGTCATCGTGAATGTAAATGATATTGATCAATTTCTGAATTTGTGATCCCAACTTTACTTCATAATTACTTTTCATTGTCCTCATTCTGGGCTCCAGTATGCGTCGTCTGAGACAAAAACATCCAGACTATACTATTGTGAAGTAGTATTCTTATTCAAAATATATTAGCTGCATTGGTTTATGACTATCCGAATTTTGAAAGTGGTTGTATGGTTGATATTCAATGCATTATCATATATGACAAATATTTATATTTATACTTAAAAGTATATTCTCGGATAATATGGCGTAAAGCAATATTTTTACCTTTATTCATTGTATTAGTATGTGTTATTCATTATATTATTCAATATTAAAAAAAATACTATAAAAATTGGGTGTGACTGCAAAAAGATGTTACACTCTTTTAGAGTTTACGGCAAATGACGTTTATGTTTAAACATAAGTTTAATGGAAATTAATTGTGTAGTCTTTTCATTATGGTATAATCTTTTGATCACATTTTTTCAGTTTCAATTGTCCTTGGATTTGTTCCAAGTAAATGTCTGGCAAATTAGGAAGTTGTGTGAATAATAGGAACGAGTGGGTGTTGTATATACAGGTATGTACCTAAGCCAACATACCTTAGGTACCTAAGCCAATCCCCAATATATATTCATATAGAGTCACAATATTATGGGCGTTTAGTCTCTTTCAGATGAAACCTAATCAGGATAAACAATTTTTCAACTTATCTCCAACTGAACCTATGTGCTTCCAAAGATAGCAGGTATCGCGATATCCTATTAAATGTATAGCGCGAAATTAAATAATAATCATAAAGGAGGAGGGAAATTAGCGCAACCGATTTTGGACAATCTTTTCTAACAATGCACATACATTTAAATTATTATTAAAATTCTAAATCGATTTTAATGATTTATGTTAATACATCTAGTTTTTCTTAAGCTTGCCCATTGTTATACTCATGTAAATTTAAAATAAAAAATAAAAACTTACATTCCACTTTTCAAATGTAACTATTTTAGAAGCATCCGGGTTTTCGTTGAAATCGTCCTCGGAAACGAAATCCTTGCTGTCGAATGGTCCCACGGAATACTCAATCAAATCACAATCATGATTACTGCAACAACAAAATCAATCATTAATTATTACTATATGGTTGAGCAAACGGGTGACAAAAGAAAGAGCAGTTTTGTCCCTGGGCTTGAATACACCAATGGAAAGCGGCGGTTGTCAGAAATATTGATCAGATAAGATAACGGAGCCCCTGTGTCTACACATTTTAATTAATCCTTTCATCCCCAGGGGTTTATTGTGTAAAAATAAAAATATTCCAAAATTCATTTAAACACTAATTATGATTAAGACTAAATATTACTTGCGACTTATTCCAACTACTATATATGTGTTCCAAACTCATGGATTATACGATGCCATCGATTGTCAAACCATATTAATTCTTATGTAAAATTGTCTTCTTCATTTTGATGAACGTTGTATTGAAACGTTATTGTGCCATTCAAGTTCATATGTTCACATTTCAATGCTATCTACTTTTTTCGCTTCATGTTATACTTAATACACTAAGTATAAGATGATTATTGGGGAATTTGCTTAAAATGACACAACCAAATTACGAGTATAAACTCTCGTAAATGAAAATGAGAATTTAGATAGTAGGCAGTTCCCATCTGTCCATAGGTGATGTTGAATGGACCAATGGATGGATGGAAGAACGGACAGACAGTGATGATAAAAAACGAGTATTCCAGAAAAGATCAAGACCAACAACAAACTGCTTTAAATTACTACTAAATTGGCAAAATAATCGACAAAAAAATATGATTAAAACTATGATTTATTTTTTCAATTTATCCTCTAGGGGTTAATTATGACATGGACGGATAATGATGTACAATAAACTACGTTAATGTTACCAAGAATAGCAATTGCATTTGTAACTAACTTGCTGTGACAGCAAAACATCTCCTATTTACTTACCTAGACGACGAGATACACACAGTAAAGATATGATCGCAACTTGTAGTTCCATCACAGGGCTTATCACAGCAGCTTTCAGATATATCTAGGCCTTCGGTGTTGTTGTAACTCAACATTTTCAGTTCAAATCGACCATCTCCTCTTGTGGTTCCAATGACCTTGAAGTGAAGAATAAGTTACAATTGTCAAATTAAAAATCCACATATGGCCTAGGTCGGTATTTGACATTGTTCGTTTAAATCAAGTGAAACGACCCGATTTCTTAGTGCGCGCGCATCAATGGCTCGGCCGAAGCAAAAAAAGAGAATAGATGCTAAATTAAAAATCCACAATACGACGTTGGGAGAGATCATTCAATTCAACCACCCTAATGTGTACAACGTATTTTTCATAACACTATTGGACTGATGACCCACCCCCCTCCTCCCTCCCTTGGCGTTTCCAAAGTTGAAGAGATTGAGTAAAAACCGAGGTACCGTATTATAGGTCATTCCAAACTCTCGAGGAAAGTGTATTAAGATCTCAAAAAGTAGGTCAAATGGAGTCAAGTATAGGTCAAAGTATCATAGGGGCTATTTTTGGTGTATTTTTCTTTTTCAATTAAAAAGTAACATGTAATGCTATGTTAGCCCGAAAGGGTAATGATTGAATGTGATAGGTGTATATAGGATCTAGCTTTTTAGGACAAAAAACATGGGTAGTTATCTTTTCTAGAGCTCGAGATTTGGTAAATCTGGTTTAGTTGTTTGGTCGAATCTTTGAAGAAAAGAAATATCGAAAATGGGGGAGCGGAGGCAAAACACAGTTTCTAACCTAAAAATTGAATAAATAATTTTGCAAAGTAAAAATCTATAATTAAGGAAAAAAGACCGAGATTTTATAATTCATGGTGTAGTATATGACCGACAATTTGATTCTGTTCATTGTTAAAAAAGGTCCTATATTTGACATAAATTATTTAATCGAGGTCTTTGTTACGATTCTAATGTGATAGACAGACAAGAAAGGGGGCCCCCCAAGAAACACAACTATTTGCATTTATGAATTTTAGCCAAAAAAACCTAGCAATTGTAATGTAAAAAGTGACTGTACTTCCTTGTTATGGAGCTGTTACATTAGACCGTATATTGGCTCAACATTCGCCAACGTGTGAATACTTTGGTACAGAGGGCGGCAAACGACACATGGTGGGCAAAACAAATAGTTTTACAGCAAAATGTTAAATCATATATTATACTAACACCTTTGATACCTAAAAATTTTCCCGAAACGGAATCTCAAGTATTTACTCATCCCGAGTAAGCTACAAGCTCACTTATTCAATCTTTTACTGAGTTAACGAGATTCGGCAAACAGAACACACATATGGGTTGGTCTTTAATTCATGTAAGTTTAAACACGTAAAAGGATAAACAAACGTTCTAGAATGGAGATCAGTCAGGGTATTATACTGAACAAGTTGCGTTAATGTTTGGATTTGCAGGTTAAGGTGCCCATCGTCCTTTTGATTTCAGTGAATTGTTGTCCTTTGAACTGAACATGATTCATGTACTTACAACACCATATAGAAGATTAAAATTGCATCGTGGTTTTCCCATCTGTTATCAACATCTTTAATTTCCAATTTTCCATATATACTTGATACGCTCATCGATATTGTTTGCATGTTGTGTTATATAAAGTCCTGTCTTCGTAATGTCGCAAGCAAATATATGTGGTCGCAAGTGTACAGATATGTGTATATACTTTATAAATTGATCCCCTCCCGCCAGGATCCCCTCCCACATCAGCCCAGCTCCCATTCGATCCAAAATTGTAGTTTACCCGTCCCAATGTAGTTTGTTAAAATAATTTGTCGATGTAAAATAATTGAAATTATCAAAACGATAAAGATCACTGAGATAGACATCGTTCATCATCATAAGACATAAAAGACGTCAAAAATAAGATCACCCTAACGAATTTTACAAATCAATGTTATGCAAATTTGTCGCCGTTATTTTTGGATGCAGCCCTAGCAACCGCTGAAAGAGTAACCAATGCAAATTATATCGAGTACCATAAGATGAAGAACTATTAAGTTTATGTAACACGATGCCTACGATTAACATATTGTTTAAAAAAATAAAAATTCCAATACTCACCATCAAAAGCACAAATAAGATTGTGTTCATCCTTTAAATGGTTTCTCTCAGAAAAACCTACGATTCCTGTCCTAGTAAATCTTACATTTCTGATTTGACTTAATAATTAAGTATGTGTAGGTATCCACTCCACACCTATAGACCATCAAATCCAGCAATCGGGTATATGTGTATGTGTATAACTACACTTTGAGTGATGTGTACTTTACTGCCTTGTGATTCTCAATACCCTCAATGATATTAACACTGTGTTCTGTCAAGACGGAATAAAACATAGGTGTCCTCACCGAATAAACTGTTACTTTGCGAAAATTGATATTACTTAATTTTTTTGCATTCGGATCATCTTTTCGAATCCAAAAGAATTTGTTTGGATAAACCTTTTTTCAAATAAAAAAAGTGAACAACACTATTTTCACAGTATCTAACGAGATTCGTCAAATCTTTGTTTGTCTTTATTCTAAGCGTATCAGATCTATTCAAATTCACTTTGTTTAAATATTATGTTATTCAAAAACACATTGAGCAGTTGTTGTATAGCGGGTGTGTCCACTCTGGACTGAAGAATTAAATCTTGAGAGCCTCCATGTATACTTCAAACAAAACAAGTTGACATAAGCTTGTGTTTCACTCGCGAACTCCTACATTCTTCATGATCACGACTGACCTTCCTTATATAAAGAGCATGGTTACTTGAAGGGTGTCTTGTATTGTATAAGTATCAAGATCTATAAGTTTTAATACACGTTTTATTGAGATTCACTTTCATATTTAACTTTAACTCATTTACACTGGGGGGTATCGTGATGCAACAACACCGTGTTGTTGCATCAAGATGGCCAGACTTCCGGTGATAGATTTTCGTACGATATTTTGTTTCCCCAATTTAAACCCATTTCTAGGACGAGTTTCTCAATAACCATACACGTGCAGTTAGCGCACGATCTATATTTAAAGAAACTGTCATTATTATACATGTAGCATCATCAACAAGCAATAAGTTCACTGTTTTAGTTCCTCACTATTGATGCAACAACACCAAACCGAAGATGCAACAACACTCCTCTAGATTTAAGCAATGATGCAGCAACACCAATTAATAACTAATTTCAGAAGACCATAAATCTCGAGAGGAACAGATTTTAAAGCTACTATTGCTACACCGTTACCCATTACCCATTTGCGTTCTTCTCAAGGCATTCTAAAATACACGTCCTGCGGGCGAAGATTTTTTTTATATGTATTTTCAAAAATTCTTTTAAATACTAGTATCATAATGTACTGGACGTTGTTCTATGACATAGTTCAATCGCCTTTAACATGGCAAGCTATAGTTACCCAATCTATTTTCATAAACCACTGTTCCATAGCTTGATGACCCTGACTCCAGATAGTACCATTCAAGATGATGGACAAACATCTTTCGTTCTCGGTAAATATGACGAGCTATTGGAAATTATCTGTCATCCATCTGTGGAACAGTGATAAACTAGTAGATGCAAGTACGTTATCACTGTTTATCAAAATATAACTAAAACTGTTCAAAAAGCATGTTGATGGGATGATTGCTTCATCTATGATATGATATGATATGATATAATTCTTTATTTCCTCCAATTTGGAGAGCCAACGTGTAAAAGCGTCTAATTGACTTTATTAGGGGGGTTTAGTTACACGTTTAATGAAAATCTTGCACGGCGCGCATGTAGAAGTATTGCTCTCTTTGGATTCATTCTCTCCGACTGAGTAAAAAGGTTAAAAAAGTGATACGATTTAAGGCCCAAAAAGGTAAATTGATAGGGGTACAGTACAGTAATCCCAGATTCTCCCGGGCCCTCGGGAAATATTATATTGTCTCTCGGAATAAAACCAATATTGAATCCCTCTCAATATTTTTTCAAAATTAAAAAAAAATCAACATTTAAAAATCATTTTTTCAAAAGTAGCGGTCAACAGTACCTAGTAGCGGACAACAGTATACAATTGTAGACCTCTCTTGAGGTCAACAGCTGGCAAAATTGTATACCGATACTGAAAACCTTGAAAGTACCGTTGATCGAGACCGGAGGTCGAGGTCAACAGTTCTCTCGAGGTTTATTGTTGAGGTATACACTTTTGCCAGTTGACCGAAAAGAGAGGTTAACAATTGTTTTGTAAGTCCAAAGAATATAATAATTGGACGAATATATAATCGAATATCACGTGAACATATTTGATAAGTAAAGGTATCATATTTTGGCAAAAAATCCCCAAACCGTCGAATACTTGTAATTTTTTACACAACTTATTTTTTCAAAATTAAAGAAAATTCCAACATTCAAAAACATTTTTTTCAAAAGTAGCAGCCAACAGTACCTAGTAGCGGTCAACAGTACATATTGTTGATCGCTCATCAAACAATCAGAATTAAGTATTTCAATTGAGGTACTACAATATACAATTGTTGACCGCTCATCAACCAATCAGAAATGAGTATTTTAATTGAGGTACTAACAACACAAAATGACTGATATCTGTTGTCTTTCCATAATTATATTAGTTATTTGTAAACAATTTCCATACGGTAAATCATTGAAACCAAACAAAATACGTTTCATTCATGACTGACTCGCGCGTTTTATTCATGTCCCGACCCGAACACTTGGAAACAGAACATAAAACAGTTTCTCTTGTTGTTCAATGATACATTATATTGGCGTTTTTGCATCAGCACATTGGTGTTGTTGCATCATCGATAATAAACAGAGTGGTGTTGTTGCATCAATAGTGAGGAATTAAAACCGCGAATTTATCGCTTCTTGATGATGCTACATGTATACTAATGACAGTTTTTTAAAATATAGATCATGCGATAACTGCATGTGTATGATTATTGATCAACTCGTTCGAGAAATGGGTTTAAATTGGGAAAAGAAAATATTGTACGAAAATCTATCACCGGAAGTCTGGCCATCTTGATGCAACAACACGGT